CTATTGTTTCTCCCCTTTTAAATCACATTTCTGTCATTCAACACGAAATATATTCCAATCAGCCATCCAGGCGCGACTTAGGTGCGCGCCTGACACATACATATGCGCCTAATTTCCCCATCATCACCTTTGACTTCACACTTTCCACATTTATTTGCATTCTTCACATTCTTGCTTACCATGTCAAATTTGTTCGTGCACACCCTGACGTGCACTATTCTCTTTCACCTATGCGCCTATTGCGCCTTGATAAACCACCCTTACAGCCCATTCACGCAACATTTGCGCCTAATTCTAAACTATATATGTCTCTCGCTAACACATTTGCAGAGAAATGGCCATTCCTCGCGTGTTCGGCCAATATAATCAAATTCATGCAAAATCACCCCAAGGCGCGCACATCGCGCGCATCCTATCAGCTTGTAGAGCACCTCTACACCCCTTGCAGCGCCTCCCATTGGCGCGCCTTCAACCTGCAGCGCGTTGTGCAGGAATTCATTCTGCCACTTACTCACCCACCGAACCACAACAATACCCATTTACTACCCAGCAGAGCATAGTTGAAATCTATTCCTTGGCACCTCACATATAACATCTCTCAGCTTACATCTCTCAGCTTGCATCTCTCACCTCTTGTCTAGAATCTAATCATCACTTAAGCAAACTCACTCTTACTCTCTCTTATTTCCGCATACACGCACGCGCATTCCCGCGCTTCGCGCATTCTCGCGCCTTGCGCGCACCTGCGCTTTCCCCGTGCTTCGCATTTGCCAACCAGTAGTGCCTTCAGCGCCTACTACTAGATCCTTGCTGCACTTGCTTCCCCTTTAGGGTCGAACGCACTTGTCGTCTCAAGTATAGCAGACTAGGCAACACGCGACCTTACAACATTTATAGATACAGTCAGGAGCATTGTTTGTGCCTCGCTGTATCGTTGAACCTTCACCGTGTTTCTTCAGCAGTGGCCCGATAAAGTCGATGGCCACGGAATTCTGCATCCATGAGGTATGGGCAGTGGATGTAGCAGTCCTGGTGCTTTCATCGTTCGACTTTTGTTTCTTGCACAGTCTGCGCAGGATGGTATGTAACTATCTTCCAGGTCTCTCCACATGTTAGGCCAATAGAACAATTTTCTTAGACATGCGTAAGATTTGTCTACACCGAAGTGTCTGAGATTGTTGTGGGCTAATTTGAACAGAGTTTCACACAGATGTGTAATGCGTGGGATCATGAGGCGGTCATTCAAATATAGCAGTCCATTGCATTTCGGTAGACCTGGCAAGGAGTTAATCAACTTTTCCAGTGTCACACACCATGGGTCTGTCAGATAGCCTATCTTAATGTCTTTCACAAGTGATGTGTCTGGCATTATCAATAACACCAGGCTAATGGGCTTTCCACGGGTTATTGATGTTGGCAAGTTTGCAGTGGCATGCACATAGTCTGGTATGTCCTCCACTTCTGGGGGCAGTTGAGATAGTGCATCTGCAACTGCATTTTCTTCACCTGGTATGTATTGTATCGAGAAGTCATATTGTCTGAAGAACTCTTGTCATCATGCTTAACATCATGAAAGTTCTCATTGTGTCATGAAACATTCTAAAGTCTTGTGGTCAGTGTACACAGTGAATGGCATACCTAGCAGTTCTACCCTCCACTTTTTGAAGGCGTGGACGATGGTGAGTAGTTCTTTTTTTCGTGGATGGGGTATTTCAGTTGTGCCCCTCATAGTTGCATTGAGTCGAATGCGACCAGTTGCATGGTTCAAGGTGTCGGTCCATAGCTCAGCATTGCTCCGGTGCACCAGTCGCTGGCATCACATGTCACAAAGATCTTGTTCTCTTGTAGGTTATTGTGATCAATTCTTACTAGGCAGTTGTGGCTAACTACCAGTCTTTAAAATGATGTTGTCAAAGGTGTCTTGGTATTCTTTTGTCCAGCCCAGCCAGTCCATTTCTGATGTCTTTGTCGTCAGTGGCATCAAGATGCGAGTGTAATTTGCCAGATTTGGCAGGAACTGCTCCAGGTACCATATGAGACCAAGGTAGGATTGTACATCACTCGCCGATTGTGGTACTGGCCAGTCGAGTATGTGTTTTACCTTAGAGGCATCGGCTTCTATTTCTGCAGTGGAGATGTGGTGTCCCAGGAAGTCCAATTCCATGCAGAATAGTGCTATCTTTTGAGGTGAGCAAAACAGACTTGCCTTTCTGAGTGCATCCAGGCACTTTGGTCACCCCATTTCAAGTACCTCTTAGGTTATATTATACCTATAAGAGTTTTCACCTAAGGGGTGCTTTTTAGATGGTCTGGCCGATGTTTGTTGGTCTTTCTCCAAGTGCATAGGGTCCAAAATAAAATATGTTGGGCATGGTCCAATGATCAAAATAATTTTTGTGGGAAAGACCACCAGCCAACATTGGACCATACATACATAATATTTTCCCATGGTGGAGGGGTGTTAGGGGTCCTCTTACCACCCAATTTTCTGCGCCAAAAAATGAAAATTTTGGGTGCATTCTTGGCACCTAATATGCAAGCTAATGGGTCACATAATGACTGTAATTACTATTAGATATGTCTATGAAATAGGATTAGAAAACACAAAATGATCATTCATTCACTGCCCCCCCCCCCTCAGCCCAGGATCTCTCCCTTCTAAAAATGATAATTTATTCATGCCCCCCCCTCAGCCCAGGATCTCTCCCCTCTGAAAATGATCACACATTCACCTCACACCAATATGTCTATAAAATTGCCTACACCTACAGAATCATCACTTGGGGATCGCACTATTCAGATATTGATCTACCAATGCCTGGTCTCAGCTACTCACCTACGCCTACAGAGTCATCACTTGGGGATTGCACTATTCAGATACTGATCCACCAATGCTGGTCTCAGCTACTCACCTATGCCTACAGAGTCATCACTTGGGGATCGCACTATTCAGATATTGATCCACTAATGCCTGGTCTCAGCTACTCACCTATGCCTACAGAGTCATCACTTGGGGATTGCACTATTCAGATATTGATCCACCAATGCCTGGTCTCAGCTACTTGTCTATGCCTACAGAGTCATCACTTGGGGATTGCACTATTCAGATATTGATCCACTAATGCCTGGTCTCAGCTACTCACCTATGCCTACAGAGTCATCACTTGGGGATCGCACTATTCAGATATTGACCCACCAATGCCTGGTCTCAGCTACTTGCCTATGCCTACAGAGTCATCACTTGGGGATCGCACTATTCAGATATTGACCCACCAATGCCTGGTCTCAGCTACTTGCCTATGCCTACAGAGTCATCACTTGGGGATCGCACTATTCAGATATTGATCCACTAATACCTGGTCTCAGCTACTTGCCTACACCTACAGAATCATCACTTGGGGATTGCACTATTTCATTCATTCACGCCCCCCCAGCCCAGGGTCTCTCCCCTCTGAAAATAATCACTCATTTCAGATTTCAAATTGGGATTGACATAGACAAAGGGTTTGGAAGAAGCATGGTGGTGGAAAGGCATGGTTGATATAAACAAGAATCTTGGAAGGAGAATGGCAATGGAAAGCTTAGGGTTGATATGGAGGGAAGGACCACAGTAGATGGGAAAGGTCTGTAATCAATTATGGGACGGACCATGGAGGAAGGGAAAGGCCTGTAATCAATTAAGGGAAGGACCATGGAGGATGGGATAGCCCCGCAATCAATTATGGGATGGACCATGGTGGATGGGACAGGCCCGCAATCACTTTTGGGAAGGACCACAGTGGATGGGAAAGGCCCGTAATCAATTATGGCATGGACCATGGAGGAAGGGAAAGGCCCGTAATCAACTATGGGATGGACCATGGAGGAAGGGAAAGGCCCATAATCAATTAAGGGAAGGACCACGGAGGATGGGATAGCCCCGTAATCACTTTTGGGAAGGACCATGGTGGATGGGATATGTTACAGGCATCCGTAACACCTACAGGAGCCCCTGCTCTGCCTATGCCTGCCCCCACTCTGCTAGACTCCCCGCGTGGCGGTGCGCCGCCCGCGCCTAGAAAGACAGCGGTCTGGACCGCTGTGACGCCGCCCCTGGCCTAGACGGCCTTGTACCTGATCCATGGAGGCTGTACGCCTCATGGTACTTATGCGCAGTCGCACTTGGCGCTGCATGCTTGATCAGAGGTTAAGCCTCATGTACCTTATCTGACCTCATGTCTTGTTATCATAGATCCTAGATATACTATAGATTACAGACTGAGCTAGAATACTTATATGTAGCACATATAAGTAGACAGATTATAGTACTTAGACTTTACTTTAATCTACTAGGTTCATCCCAGAACTTGTTCAACTAAGCCTTACCAGCTTCCTTGCATAAGACCGCACTTCTAAGTTGCCCCCTTACGACTTAGCACGTATCCACTAGCCCTGTATCTCGATGAGCGCCGTCTTACCAAGATCACCGGAGGAACCCTTGACGTTCCGTCAAGCCGAGAACCACCCTCAGCTTCAGTAGGCTCACTCAAGCCGTCGCTGAGAAGACCTATCCTAGTTCGCACACGCCGACTGACGGTCAGCATAACAGGATAGGCCTGTAATCAATTATGGGAAGGACCATGGTGGATGGGATAGCCCCACAATTAATTATGGGACAGACCATGGAGGATGGAATCAATTAAGGGAAGGACCACGAAGGATGGGATAGCCCCACAATCAATTAAGGGAAGGACCATGGGCAATGGGAAAGGCCCATAATTAATTAAGGGAAGGATGCACATGGTCTCCATATGCAACTATGCCACTAATCATTGTCACCCTTGTCCTTAGGTATATCTACCAGTCAATACTATGCTTTCTTGTTCCAATATTCATGCTTAACCCCAATTTTCCTTGTCCTTTGACTCACAGTATTAATTGTTTAAATAAATGATCAAAATAAATGACTAATTGTGACATTTGTAGTGACAAGTGTTAAATGTAAATGTGAATAGGGGATATTATATGCAGCGCCATTTTTTAGGTTTCAATTTGGTAGGTGACGAAGGCATAAAACTATCCTCAATGTCAATGTCATCAATAAAGTCCTCATCCTGATACCTGTACTCATCAGCTAATGCAACCTCCTCAATCGCATCCATAAGTTCATCATCTCTAACCTCAGAATATGCCAGATCACCATCCTCGTCACTCTCGTCCACCACTCCGACACTCTCGTCATCATCATCATCCTGGAAAAATGATGACTGCACCTGGTCTCGAGCGGCTCGAAGCAAATCCTCGTTTGTAGGACCCCAACTCTCAACTGGCCAAGTGCAAGGGATCTCTTGAACCTTGTTCTTCCAGACAACACAGATGGACAGAAGTTCCTCTGCGCGGGCCCTGAGGTGGAATGGTATCACGAGATCATTGGCTGCCGAAAAATTAAACATCGGTCATGGTATATTCTGACTACATGCACCAGGATCTCTCAATGCAGTCTGGATGGCCTCCCACTCTGCTAACATCCATTCCTGCATCACAGACCGCTCTCGCATCAAACGAGTCTCCTCCTCAACGCAACAATCTAATTCAAGCTGTAAACGAATACCAGACCTGGTGGCCTCATCCGATAACCATGCTGGCGGGTGCATGCTGTCATCGTCGAGGCCAATATCTTGCCAGATTTCATCATCCACGTCGAGTAGGAAGATGCCTTCACGAGCAATAGGATGAGGGGGAATAGCAGATGGGGGAGCTTGCCGTTGACGTATGAGGGACTGTAGCTGAGTACATAGGCTGTTGTAAGTTGAAACTAGTTTGAGAATTGCAGGTTCTCACCGTTTGATTGAATACTGGGTGTTCGAGCGAAGCTTGTGTTCTGTTGAACAACACATGAGACATGCTGAAAAAGTAAGGCAAAAAAGAGTAGTAATGTACCATTTACTGTTGCTTGATACGACCTCTCTAGCCTCTCCAATTCAAATTTGCGTTGACAGAGACGGTCCCTAATATGATTTTTTACTGCGCGAGCATTCAAGCAGATGGTAAGGTAGATGTCATTCTTCATTGTCATAAGATCGGCCTGTCCTTGTGGTCCAAGGGTAGCCTTACGACGTCGAAGGGTATCTGCAATTTTGGCACGTCGTGACTGAGCATTGGCGAGCTGCAGATTGAACTCCACGACATTAGCAACGGCACCTACATAAAGCTGCATCTCTAGCTCACAGACAGAAATCTCGTGAGCATCCAGGGTCTTCTCCAGCGCAAGAATAGTGGTAATGACCTCTGCTGCCTTGTTCTTGGATTGCCCTATAAAATTTAATCAGTAAGACAGCAAGAACACTAGTAAAACTCTTACATGGGATGGGTCGGGTCTGGTGAGCAATTTGCGCCTTCCATTCAGCACAAAGGATATCCTCATTGACATCTAAGTCCAGTAAACCGTCCAGAGCCATGTTCTTCTTAATCTGGCAATGTAGCCATCGCCGATGGAGCCAATGTCTGTAGCCTTGGATGGATTTTGTGTCCAGGTGGCGAATTTGAACATCGAGGACGAAGAGACGTTGATGGAACTACAGTAGAATTAGAGATAAGATATACACGTGAATATAGACTTACTTACCCCAGAAATGTGTAATGATGGGATGAGTTGCTTGAGAGAACTCCACAATCGTTCACATCCCTCACCATCAGACAATCCAAAACCCTTGCGCTTCCTCAGATGGTAGATGATCTGACAGGGCCATTGATGGCCATAGGCATGGAATACCACAACAGCCAAGGATATGCGCGATAGGGTATTGTCATTGAGAAGATTCCATTTTCGGCAGCTTCATTTGAGTTGACATCCGATGTCATAGAGAAGTCCTACGGTCATCTGAGGGGGTATGTGCTTGAACAACTGGTCCAGGAGAGCGAGCACGTAGTGTTGCTTTTCCCCTGCTGATGTGAGGTTGACAAGCCAGAGGACACGGTCATGTCTGCATAGAAGGGTCATCAGGCCTGTGTCAGTAAAAAAACGAGTACTTGCCTTTTCACGCTTTTTGTCTGCAGCAACGAAGGATTCTCCGCATCCATTCAACACAGACACTGGCACACGCATCCCTTCTTCATAGCGATCCTCCTCCTCTTCCGCTCTTGAGGCTCGTGTTCGACGTCTTTCTCCATGACAACTTTTTACAAAATCCTCCATCGCTTTGACATCGTCGTTCGACAGAAAGAATGTTGGAGTCGGATTAGGAGGGTCAATACTGCTAGTATTGCGAGGATTAGTCGAACACTTTTGAGTAAAGCAGGCATCTATGCAAACAACAACGTCTGGGCTGGTATTGTCAATTAAAAGTGGTACAATACGAGCTGAGACACAAACTTACATAGAACGAGCATCTGCTCCATGGCAAGCATTTCCTCCAAAATAAAGCAGGCAACGAGAATGAAGGTATTCAGATGGCTGATTGATGAGTGGGATATGTGCCTGACCCCTCCGAACGTCAGCGATGACAGTAGAAATGTGATTGCGAGCCAAGATGCTCAGCACTCGGTACCAGTGGAAAGTATTGCTGAAACGACGACGCAAGTTATTCTGATGAAAGACTGAGCATCATTGTACGCGAGAGGATTGGAAAGGCTAACTTTGCATGACAACTTGTACCCCATTCCATCTAGAAAGGTTTCCACCGCATCGCACCACGCGGTTTGGTTGGGAGCCTGGCGTACGAAGAGAAGACGGATGAACTCTAAAATGCGCAAGTCGACCGAGAGTGAGGGAGCGAGAGGAGCGCATGGAAACAGACCGCGACGAAGGAGTTGGAGGGGTACAGGGAAACACGGGCATGTGATGATGTTAATTTCTTTCAATGCTGGAAGATATGTGAGATATATTGTGGAGAAGAGTGAAAAATCACATACCGTCGAAATGCACACATGCAACTGTAATCCTCCGAGTCCTACACCCAGCTTGACAAACTGCAATATCTTGCTGAGCTTCTCCTGGTGCATTGGTATAACATAACACCGAAGTTTGTTGGATATAGGATAAATACGGTACAAGTAGGGACGGAATGACGTCTTGTGACCATCTGCGCCACCGGTTGGCCCTTTTCTGTGAGCTGGTCAGACGACGGCCGATAGGATCGTTGGAGAAATGTAGGGAGTCACTGAAGAGAACCTCATTGGTAATATCTTCTTGTGTTACCGATGTCCTGGACGCAGGCAATGGACGGCAGAAGTTTTGCTGCATGAGGCATTGGCGTCTGGGCAAGACCAACACGGGAGGTGGGGCAGGGAGATATAGATTGAGTTTTCTTGTCTGACGAGGACGTTGCCATGCCGTGTTCATCCAAGGCTCACAGACAATAGTGATGGGCGGCAGAATTGAAGGGCATTCTTCCTGCGTGCGGGAGATCACCTTGGAGGTTGACGGTTCACGATGGCGTGGCTTTGGATGATGAACAGCCATAATAAATGCTGTTGACTCGAAGTCACACAGAAGGCCACCAACGACGCAGAGTCAGTTGGAGGAACTATCCACGGGTGTGCAGTCCAGGACGAGTTCAATCGAGAGTCAACGACCAATATCGGGTCCAGAGATGACCAATACTTGACCAGGAGAGCCAATGACCAATACTTGGAGTGCAAAGGAGAACAAATCTGAGGGGGATTAGTACTGGGGATGTGATTCACTGGCAGACTACAGGAGTGAATCAGGGTAACAATAACGTCAAATTAAGAAATAAAAATACTCAATAACGTATCTGCATAGTGGATACTTTCTCGTCTCCTGCCATAAGTATCGTACTGTAGGAATTAGTGGAAACATAAGCAGAGAAACATACATTTCGCGTGAGCGAATAGATAATAGCTATGGCAAAGTTAATAGAAAATACAGTAGCAGGACAACATGGGTCGCTAGCTATGACTTGGGAGTAGGATGTCTACAAAAACATATCAGATCAGAGTTAACAGCGTGAGGCACTCACCTTGTTACTAAATTGGGACTAGGGGACACTGCAACGTATGCTGAGCCTACTAATACAAAGCATAACCTTATCTGACAGTGCATTACGGAGATTAACAGGTAATGGAACATAGTACAATTCATCATTTATACTAGTAGTAGCGTAGAATGAAAGGGAATAAATGCTTAGTACGAAAATGCTGCAATATAATATCGATCACAAAGGGATGGAATGGGGAATGATGGGGGGCCTGCCAAAATGACGAAAGAATGTCTGCACATAAAACACAGTCGCAGAATGCATGACTTCCCAACACTTGGTATCTGTGAAGCTATCTGGCATCAGTGGCACAATCAGAAGTGGCGGAGCATCGTCCCAAGTACAGATAAGTTCACGGAATTTCTCCAGGTAAGGTAGAACACCAATTAAGGTGTTATTCCACATGCCGTAGTTGTCCTCCAGAAATTGCTCTGACCACATGACTAATCCAGCCTCGCCAGGGAAGACAGAATGAAGGAGCTGCTCGCAACCGATCGGATCATCTGCCCAACGTTTGCGGGCCAGGTAGCGATCGAGGTCCCTCAGCTCATAACGGAAACCAAGCTCGAATAACTCCCATGTGATCCTTTGGGTGAGACGCTGTGGAGGGTTAGCAAGACTGGCAACCAACACTTGTTCACCACGGAATTCCACCAATCCTTCTCGTGTGAACAGGTCTCCCTGAGTCTCCAACACATCATCACCAAATAAGTCCCTCATCACCGCCTTGCGCTTCTCCGCCGCCGTAGGTCCCTTCTTTTTGGGATCCTTGCCTTTGGATGCTGCGCCTTGTGATTGGGTTGTCAGTCTGCTGCCGAGGAAGTCACGCCAGAGCTGTGGCAAAGGGTAATTGCATGGCGGGTCGTGATCAACTCGGGCAATCCATAGCGGACGACAGGTGAGCCAGGTAGCGATATAACCCTGGAGGTGCTCCAGCAGCTTGGGACCGAGGAGGAGAGCAGGTTCAGGGAATCTGTATCCCCGATCGATGGCATAGGGCATGTGCACGCGAGATGGATCCTTGTTGCAAGTCTTGAGGGCATCATCCCAATGCAAAAGAGAGGGCGGAAGATATGGGCTCTCAGGGTCTTTCCACTTGTCCCTGGATTCCCCTGACTGGGAGGGCTGGGTGGGCCAAGCCTCTTTTGAGTCTGATACAGTAGTAAGTAACACAAAGCAATTAGTAAGGGTTTACTTACAAGGCTGTCACCTATGCTTTTTGAGACTTTGTTGAGGTGCTCTTCCAGCAGCAGATGTTTGAGAGGATGGCGCAAGAGCAGAAGAACTAGGAGTAGAGAAACTGCTGGATGAAGCGGACGAGGGAACCGCAATGTCGGGATTTCTGAAAGTTGTGCTGCCGTACAGGCGACAAACGTGAAGTTGGCACTGGTGGCCACCTTGGCCATGATAAATGATATTGTAAGGGCGGATTCTGTTGCCCTCCGCATACATCGAGATGACAATGTCATCCGGATGAGTAATTAACACGGGTTTGTGGACCTTCATATTGGCAGGTATATATGCCATCGTGTGGACAAACCAGACAGGCACACCAGCCATGTGGAGCTTGTTGCACATGTCACTGTCATGCGTGAAAGCGCCCATCCATTCTGAATTGACGATGACAGTCCCGACGCCAGAGGAGATGCGAGGTTGGGCAATGAGAACCCAATCCATAAAAGAGTGGATTTTGAGGAAGAGGCGTTGGGCATCCATGACGAAGATGAGGAGATCACGAAATGTCAGGGGATGTTTTTTGAGCCGCAAGATACCGTGTCGAAGAGAGATGACACAATTGATGATGACATCCTTTTTGCCTTGTCGATTGGCCCTCCAGTCCTGTACACGTTTTTCTACTAATTTGAGGAGTGACTCCAGTCCTTTGACCTTGTCAGAGGCAAGCGTGCCTACAGGAAACAAATTGCCTGGGATGGTCTTGAAGTCCTTTTGCTCAGGAGTGTACCATGCCCAGTGAAGCGGGTGCGGGAACAGGTAAGCCTCCTTACGAGGAATGCAGACGGAATTGCAAAAGATGTTGTCATAGGCTTGAGGCCATTGAAAGCAGTCGACAACACCGAAACGACCATCGGCACGGGCTTGTACATTTTCTTCTTCAAAATGGTGGAACTTGGGAACGAATTGCATGTTGGGCGTAGTGATGACTAGATTGTCCTGGACGGCAACGGCAACGGCATCGTAAGATTGTAACCAAGCTGCAGGATGCATGCACATAAGTAAGTGAGAATGCTAAAAGACAAAATCACATACATGCACGAAGTGTCGGGTCACCCTTGAACATCGTCAGAGCATTTGGCATGATGGAAAACTGTGAAAGTTAGAATATGTGCTGACAGGTATAAGGCAAACACACCTCAGAGTTTGGTATGGTATGGTGAGAGTCTAAGCGCTGGTCAGTATACAGATTAATGAGATGATGAAAAGGATACTTACCAAAAAGGAAGACGTAGCTAAAGTGACGGGTACTATAATGTAAGATATGCATCAGGAGAGATTGTAGATCAAAGATATCGAAAACTCACTGATGAGACCGACGAGTGAAAGGTGAAAAATTGGCACACCTGAAATATGAGAGGAAGTCTGCAGCAGCGTGTGGCGCACCAGAAATGAGCCAAGTGCGAAGGCAAAGCACGCCCAAGAGGGTCTTCAACCCCACTGGTGCAGCAAAGTATGAGCAACTGGGGCGACCCTCCAGACGCGAAGTCTAGGAGTGGGAGATCAGCGACGCGAAGTCAACTGATCAAATGAGTGAACGGCACGAAGCCAATTCAAAACGCCAGGAACTGTGGTTGTTGGATCAATCGTGATGATGAGCTTGATGGGCTTGACGCGTGACGAGCTGAACGATGCGAGTGATGAAGGATGCGTGAATGTTGTGGTCTGAGGGCAAAGAAGGAACTTGGAACTGGGGAAGGAGAATGCAGAGAAGGAAATGAGACAATTCAGTAACAAGGTGGGAACTTCCCAATTGAGTCGAAAAGTCGAAGTTTGCAGATGTTCGTAGACTTGTGGGAAAGTCCCACAATTCACAAGTTTCACTCTTTCATTGACATCGACAACACTCTGTCCTTTATACTGTCCTCGCTGCCCTCGATCCTGCCTTCCCGCCCTCGATCTGATCATCCCGCCTTCCCCGCCCTCAATATGTCCAACAACGACGGTTCCTGGCACTATGAATTGGCTTCGTGCCGTTCACTCATTTGATCAGTTGACTTCACGTCGCTGATATCCCACTCCTAGACTTCGTGTCTGGAGGGTCGCCCCAGTCGCTCATACTTTGCTGCGCCAGTGGGGTTGAAGACCCTCTTGGGCGTACTTTGCCTTCGCACTTGGCTTATTTCTGGTGCGCCACACGCTGCTGCAGACTTCCTCTCATATTTCAGATGTGTCAATCATTCACCTTTCACTCATCAATCTAATCTGTGAGTTTTCGATATCTTTGATCTACAATGTCTCCTGACGCGCATCGCACTTTACCCACTATAGCCCTCGTCACTTTACACCACTTTCAAATCTCATCTCACGCGTATATCTATGACATTGGTGAGTCGCATTTGCACTTCATTCATATAACAACATTCCATTCACACATCAACAGAGGATATCATTTTCCTTCAACTGCCCAGCTACGCTACTCAACAATCTGTTAAGACTTTGCCAATTGGTGAGTGTATTTACTTTATTCATTTGTGACAAGCGCATAGACATGACCGTTTAGGATACCACTATCGTCCAACTGATTTGATCAATGTCACAAGTACCTGCGCATGAATAGCCACCTCATGCTTACTCGCCCATCTGTTCGCCAAACTGTACATATAACTTACCTTCTTGTTACCATATTATAAAATCCTGATTTATTCTTAGGAAACAAGCACCCTTCGCATCTCTCAATGTTCATCTGCTAGTGGCTGGTGCTCGACAAGGTATATTTTACATGTTCCGCTGCACAATTAGCGTCTGACTTGTTCTTAAGCAACCAACAGGGTTGGGTGTGCCTCTGACCACTGACCGACCAGCAATTTGTCTTCTCAAAATGTAAGTTCTCAAAACAGTTATGTTTAGCCAATCAGTCAGATCCATCCCGCTCATTTTTGTATTAGTCAGGGTCAGCTGAGTCTTTCATTGGCCAATCTCGCCGTCAGGGTTGTATATCAGTGGGCCTCGACCTCTCCTGTCTTGGATGCAAATCTGGAATGAGATCCGAGTGTTGCTCTGTATGTGCTCACTACCGCTGATCTGTCCGCTAACTTTCCTCAGCTGCCAGACACGGTTCTCATTGGCTCATCTCCCAGCCAGCGATGCACTCGTTCCATTTTAGTCAGTCTCAGACTTGACCAATCTAAAGGATCGGGCACTGTATGTAGCCACCACCTCCGATCCACCATTAAATTCCAGTAAGGCCAAGTTCGATCTTTTTTTCTATTATTTAGCGCTAACCAGGTTTAGCTTCAGTGATGTACCCTAGCGTTTATGGCAACAACATCCGCACTTCAAACTATAAAGGTAATGAGTCTCTCAAGTCTGAGTGCGTCAAATTCCGCTTTCTCAATCCACTATTGTTTGCAGTTCACCATCTTCTACTATCCATACATTGTCTGACTTCATGTCGACCAAATATTGTTGAGCAAACTTCGAGTTCTCAACTTGTATTCCACGTATCTCCGTGATCGTAGGAACTCTATCATTTCTCTTGAAAATGCCCGCTGTTACTACCCGCTCAGGTCGTTATGTCAAGCGTCCCCCTCTGCCTGATGAACCCAAGGTATTCTTTTTATCTTCTTGATGTCTGTAGTAGCTGACTCCTGTCATGTCAAGACTCGCAGCAAGGCAGCGGACATTCATACTGAGTCTGATGCAGACACCATCCAGGCAAGTATTTTTTTTTCAAAGTTTGTCAACCATAATTGATTTTTTATTACTTCAGTCCATCCAGCCTTGAAAACGCCCCTGCCCTCGTCGTTGCGCTGGGCCTAAGAGTGTTATGGTCGACAACAACAACAACAATGACAACGATCCACAAGAGGTAAGCTATATCTGTGAATATGACGGTGTCCCCACTTACTTCTTAGTCATCTATAACTCATCATCGTCCTCCACCCAAGCCTCGTCCGCTTGCATGGTCCAAACGTTCTGGCCCCATGACCTCATCCGCTGAGGAGGGGATTTTCGAGGCCAGTTTCTCAAGGTGCTCATCAATGATTCAAAAGACCCCTGATGTCGCTACAGATCAACAATCCTGCCCATCTCATGTTCAACTTGCTGATGGCACTTCATTGACACGTGCCGAATTCGCCTCCCTTGCAGATGAAGAAATATGCGCCGACACCCAAGATGGCAATATAGAAACAAGTACAGTTTTTATCGTGGTGTGAATGTCCTGTATTGACTTGTTGCCTAGCAGCTCCTGCATTGGTTACTGAAGCACACAGCACTACTGCGAGCAAGGATCCAAATCCTGCCTCTGAAGTTCAATCAAATGACCCCAATGGTGGGACTTCAGGTGAGATAGTCACTCTTTCGTATTTCATAGCTTCACTAATTGTGAATACAGCTACTCCTACTGAGTCGCACAACACAGGGCATGGAAGCAAGGATCATGGCAAGGATACTTCAGGTGAGCCATAGACATTCGTCTATATCCAATACCTCAACTAATTATGCATACAGCTGCCCGTGCTGAGTCACACAGCGCAGAGGATGGCGGAAATAATTCTGCTATTCCTGCTACTGGCCGCCCACGTAGGTCATGCGGTGTCATGTCATATGCACCTGATCGTAATGACGGTGAAGATAGCTCTCCATCTGACAGTGACTGGGCTGCCAACCAAGAGCTGTGCAAGAAAGCACAACGAGCTGCTGTTGATGCCGCTGCGAACGATGGTGACAACGATGATGGTTCCCCTGCAAGCAACCCCCCATCTCCATCTCGGTTGACGGCCAGACAAAAGCAAAAGTCCAAGGTGATGGTGGACGTCAATGAACACAACGACAGTGAAGACGAGGACGATGAAGACTTTGTGAAGATCAAAGGGAGAATACCTCAAGCAGGTATCTCGAAGGTGCAGGAGCTTGGAAAGAATACGATGGAAGCCGCCAGAGCAATCGGAAAAGAATATGGGAAGAGTGCAAGGACGATCCTCATCGAAGCTGGGTTGACGATGAAGGCAACCCGGAAGGAGTCTCTGTGGAACCAACATCAGACGTGGTTCGCAGTCACCTGCCCCCCACCTAAAGGAGTATCGGGAGCTGTGTCACCAGGTGTGTTGCGGTCTTCATTATTGATTTCTTAATGCAAACGATTTTTGCAGCGGATCTTAAGGCTTGGAAGGTGAAGCAACGAGCTCATTACAAGGCCCACCCACACGGTGACCCTCAGCACTCATCAGTGTGGAAGGAGATCCTGGAGAACTGGGATCGTGCTGTTGCGGGTTCAACCGAGGACCTTACATCACGATCTGCTGCAGGTCTGATGATGGCTGTTCGTGATGCTTTTACAAAATCGGTAAGTGTCGTATTCATGCGATCTTGATCCAGAGACTAACTATGATCAAGGCTGCATACTGGCATCGCACCCATGGCATTCACATTGCCGGTGTGGCAATATTCCCTGGTGACAAAGAGGCAGGCCGCCAAGCATCAGGACTGTTCGCCGGCTCTGACATGGTCAAGGCCCTCATCAACTCACACCAACTGGATATCAAGTGTTGGCTAGATGAGCTCACCATAATCCTTAAGTGCATCTTGTATGATTTATAGGTGTCAGTGCTAAATTACTTCCAGGTACAAAGACTTGGAGGCCGCACACGCCAAAGGCAAGACTTTCAGTTTGCTCCCCCCTTCTTCCACCACTCCGAACGGTACCCTCTTGTGTAACGGCAAGCCAGCCAGGGATAGGAACAGAAAGGTGGCGCCCATGATGATCAGTGAGAAATTTGGTACGTTCATTTAATTGCAGTGTATTTCTACTGTACTGACTATATGTTGTATAGCTGAGGCCGGCCACCCGCTCAAAACCTCGAACAGTAGGTGGCTGACCATGTTGGACATCCTGTATGCCGAGAAGCTTTGCATACATGATTGGCCCGCTGGTGTTCCCCTGCCTGGCCCCGATTTTGATCTCAAGGCTCTATCTGCAAGTCAACTATGTGCGTTGGTTGCTCCATATCTCAGGATTCATCTCGGAGCCATGTATGAGGCCGAGTTAGGCCTTGACGATGACAATGACGACAGCGAGGCAGAGGCAGCGAAGGTGAAGAAGCGCAAAGGCAAGTCCAAGAAGTCAGGCGACAAGGGAAGGAAGAAGGGGCTGATTGCAAAGGAGCCAAGTGTAGTATTGCATATCAGCAGATGGCCTGAAAGTACATATTGGATACTGCAAATCATACACAAGCTGATATCACAACCACAGGTGATATTCTTGCTCTTGAGATGCAGGCCTCAAACGCGTGTCTCATCCCGCTCGTCATCGACACTGACGGCAGGGTCGTTCACACCCTCCAAGACTCGGAGAAGTTCATCAAGGACCTTCCACAAGACGACACTCCTAGACGCCGCACCAATGAGGTAATCAAAAAACCCACAATCTCTAATTCAGCAGCTTCACGCTCAACTATGGAAACTTCGCGCTCAACTATTGGAGCTTCGCGCTCCAATCAGACAGCTTCGCGCTTCAACAATGCAGCTCCAAGCTCCAACCGTGAAGCTTCACACTCTCATCAATATACTAACCAAGTTATCCATGAGGATCTCCTGCCTTCATCGCCACCCCAGGAAGCCCCACGCTCGTGTCGCCCTACTAACTGAGTCTTTGACGACCTCCCACCTTCGTCACCGTCAACACCATCTTCGCAATTCTTGTCTCCCCCTCCTATTTCATGCTCGTCAACTCCTGTGCCAACCTCAGATTATTTGCACGTCCGGTCCCGCTCTCGATACAAGCCGTCCCACAATGGAGCACTGCGACATCAACATGCATATAACGATGTTATGCCAACATACAATCCAGATATTCGAAAACGGACTCGGCCCCATTATGAATCTGCTCTGGAGACTGAAGACTTGGAGCGTGAAATGGTAGAGGAGAGGCACCATGTCAGGGTGCATGACAAGTGTGTTGCTATACCCTGACTTCTATGTATGTTTGCTAACTGTCATATTATTGTATCAGTTCCCGTATACATTCAGGGTGGGCCCAGTCGCAAATTGTCAGCACCTCCCATTCTCGTTTGCCATCGTGTTGCTCTGTTGTGCAGACCTCCTGTGCTGGTTCCTCTGTTGTGCCAATCTCCCGTGCCGGTTCCTCGCAGCGCCGCCATCATCATCCAACTGTCAGATCTCCGCGTATTCGCCCAGCATCTCCTGATCGCTGTCTAATCATCGAGGAAGATGAGTATTACTAACTTTGCAGCCCTTGTTACTGCCCACTTCTGGCAACGTCTTCTGGTAACGTCTACTCATTATGCTTATTCCTTTCGTATGTTTTTTCATATGTTTCCTTATGCTTATGTTTTCCTTATGTTTTTCTTATGTGTTCTCATGTTTGTCTCATTGCATATGCTTCAAGTTAGTTATGGTACATGTAGGCCTCATCTTATGTTCGAAATGTGTATTTTAACAATTGATGTTGTGTGAGGACCCAATAATTTTGATAAATGCTCAAAATTGCTGAGTCCTTGCGCAATCTTACCATGATCCAAATCTAGCTTTGTTTGCTTACCGACTTATGCTTTAGACTTCGATATCAACTTCGAGAATACATCCCATTTCACTACCTCAACAATTATCTTCATCTCCCGTCTACACTAACTATACGAAATGATTGAAAGCGCAACATATGTGGTTCGTACAACCTGTTATTGCGAATTTATGTTTGACATCTTTTGTTATGGCACATTAATTCTCTTCGCTTCTCCTTTGTTACCGGACAATGGTACTTAAACACAGCTGTTGATGAGCGACCAATTACTTTCCAGACTCTTACTCACATTATCGCCAAGCTGACTTTCCGTACTAGTAACCATCACTATGTTTAGCCGACCATCTCTTATCAAAGCGGGCTGTCCGCACCATGGTTACTATCTCTTATCTCTTATCGTCTACCAAGCGGGCTGTCCGCCTTCTATCTTGATACGCATTTACAAGCTCCGCTTGAACTCTCGCTATATAGATACATAGCGTACCACATGTAGTTCTTCACTTTAATCTACTGGGTTTTACCTGGAACTAGTCCTTTAGCAAGGTCTCCAACCTTGCTATCTAAGAACCATCATTCTAAGGAAGTCGCCGATACTTGCCTTAGCCAGAAACCTTTGACCTCTCATTCGAGAGAAGAACCACGTCTGTCTCGCCGAATCTCAGTCCACTTGGACTAAGACAGCTCGACATACCCCAGTTGTAACATCTTTCACTACAGGGAATGCAGAAGCCTGAAGAGAAATCAGTCGGGAGTATGGACATTGTAACCAATTTCTCGTTCGATGTTGATGGAGACGTCATAATGGTATGTCCCACCTTTACTCTTGCAATCTCACTTAATATTGCTACAGGAAATCCATCAGCCGGATGACAAATTGGAGGCGCATATGGATGTTGATGCAGACTTTGTCACGGTGAGCACGTCTTACTATATTCCACTTCGTTTGATTGACGAATATTTTAATTCTTAGCTTGAAAGCATGGATATTGTGCATGCGGCTGGCGAATTAGAGTGGCTCGCGGTGAGCATGTCTTACTATATTCCACTTCGTTTGATTGACAAATATTTTAATTCTTAGCTTGAAAGTATGGATATTGCGCAGGTGGCTGGCGAATTGGAGTGGTGTATGGATGTTGATGCAGACATTGTCGTGGTGAGCACGTCTTACTATATTCCACTTCATTTGATTGATGAATATTTTAATTCTTAGCATGAAAGCATGGTTATTTCGCAGGCGGCTGATGAATTGGAGTGGTGTATGGATGTTGATGCGGACATTGTCATGGTGAGCACATCATACTATACTTCACTTCCTTTGATTGACCAATATTTCAATTTTTAGCACGACAGCATGGTTATTGTGTAGGTGGCAGATCTATATACTTCTCCTCACATCTAAGTGGATATCACACACCCCACTCTTGTAATGGCCCAGTAAGCTTCTGCTATGGAAATTTCACCCCTCCCCCCCCCTCCCCCCCATCACTATGCCTTTGATATCGACATTTCATCGAGTCATGCTAATCCACACTTGTATACACCATATTCTACCCCATACCATTGAGATTGTGTTATGACAATGTCACTGTAATTACATGCTATCTCAGACAAGTTCTCCACAATTCCACCATGTAATACACTTAAAATCACGCTGCATATAATATCCTGCCTTGCACTCCAATCAGCACACCACAGAAGTCGGCAGTGACACATATGTCATCATGAGTCACATGTCACATGGGTTGATTTCAAACTCAATTCAGCAAAATTGGTGTTTGAATATTGACACAAGCAAGCATAGTATTGGCTCGTAGATCTACCTAAGGACAAGGGTGACAATAATTGATTACAAAGATATCCCATCCCATGTGTTCCTTTCCGTAATTGATTATGGGCCTATCCCATCCCTCATGGTCCTTCCCATAATTGATTATGGGCCTTTCCCATCCACTGTGGTCCTTCCCTGAATTGATTGCGGGGCTATCCCATCCCTCATGGTCCTTCCTGTAATTGATTATAGGTCTTTCCCATCAACCGTGGTCCTTCCCTGAATTGATTGCGGGGCTATCCCATCCCCTGTGGTCCTTCCCATAATTGATTATGGGTCTTTCCCATCCACTGTGGTCCTTCCCTGAATTGATTGCGGGGCTATCCCATCCCCTGTGGTCCTTCCCATAATTGATTATGGGTCTTTCCCATCCACTGTGGTCCTTCCCTGAATTGATTGTGGGCCTGTCCCATCCCCTGTGGTCCTTCCCATAATTGATTATGGGCCTTTCCCATCCACCGTGGTCCTTCCCTGAATTGATTGCGGGGCTATCCCATCCCCCGTGGTCCTTCCCATAATTGATTAAGGGCCTTTCCCATCCACCATGGTCCATCCCATAATTGATTGCAGAGCTATCATATCCACCATGGTCCGTCCCATAATTGATTAAGGGCCTATCCCATCCTCCATGGTCCTTCCCATAATTGATTGCGGGCCTGTCTCATCCACTGTGGTCCTTCCCTCCATATCAACCCTAAGCTTTCCATTGTCATTCTCCTTCCAAGATTCTCGTATATATCAACCATGCCTTTCCACCACCATGCTTCTTCCAAACCCTTTGTCCATGTCAATCCCAATCTGAAATCTGTATCTCTTCATCATATTCCATTCTGTGTGATTTAGACTGGGAGATGGGAGGCGAACTGACAGGATGGTGATGGGGGCAGCATTGGTGGCTTAAAAATTGATATCTGAATAGTGCGATCCCCAAGTGATGGACTCCATGGATGTAGGCAAGTTGCTGAAACCAGGCATTGTTGGAAATAGCAAGGATGATAAAGTGAGACACACAGACCAGGTGGCTTAACAGTTGATATCTGAATAGTGCGATCCCCGAGTGATGACTCTGTAGGTGTAGGCGAGTAGCTGAGACTAGCATTGGTGGATCAATATCTGAATAGTGCGATCCCCAAGTGATGATTCTGTAGGTGTAGGCAATTTTATAGACATATTGGTGTGAGGTAAATGTGTGATCATTTTCAGAGGGGAGAGATCCTGGGCTGAGGGGGGGGGGGGGGGGGCGTGAATAAATTATCATTTTTAGAAGGGAGAGATCCTGAGCTGAGGGGGGGGGGGCAGTGAATGAATGATCATTTTGTGTTTTCTAATCCTATTTCATAGACATATCTAATAGTAATTACAGTCATTATGTGACCCATTAGCTTGCATATTAGGTGCCAAGAATGCACCCAAAATTTTCATTTTTTGGCGCAGAAAATTGGGTGGTAAGAGGACCCCTAACACCCCTCCACCATGGGAAAATATTATGTATGTATGGTCCAATGTTGGCTGGTGGTCTTTCCCACACAAAAATTATTTTGATCGTTGGACCATGCCCAACATATTTTATTTTGGACCCTATGCACTTGGGGAAAGACCAACAAACATTGGCCAGACCATCCAAAAAGCACCCCCTAGGTGAAAACCCTTATAGGTATAATATAACCTAAGAGGTACTTGAAATGGGGTGACCAAAGTGATCCAGGACCAGTTTGACATTTTTCACGTGTTTCACGTGTTTCACGTGTTTCACAATATTTTCTGACCAAATGATAATGTCATCCAGGTAAGCATGACATATTTTGCCGATTAGCAGTTGTAGTGCAATGTACATGCGCCTTTGATGTGTGACTGGTGCATTTCTGCCACCCTGTGGCATTACTGTGTGAAGTCCTTTCGGTGTGTCAATGGCCATATACTTGATGTCATCAGGGTGTATCCAGGTCTGAAAGAATGAGTTTGTCATGTCAATCTTACTGAATATTTTTCCTTTAGCGCAGTCTCACAAAATCTTGTCTATCCATGGCAGCAGGTGATTATCAGGTATGGTATTTGTGTTTAATATGCAGTAGTCATTTACCCATCTTGGTAGAGCTGTGGAGTCCTTCTTCAGGATTAGGAATGTGGGGGACACAAATGAACTTGAGGATGGTTGTAGCCATCCTGCTGCCACATGCTGATCCAAGAGTGCCTCCCAGGCCTCTCAATATTTGTGTGATGTATTTTATCTTCAACATTGTATGATTTTGTCCGGATCTTTCAGGTGGATTCAGTGTACAACATCAGTTGGGAGGTGATCAATATGAGGGATGTCATCTGGGAACCGGTCTTCATACTTATGATGTATTTCAGTGTCCAATCAGTGTGGGTACAACAATTCTGATGGTGATTCAGAACAATGTGTTGGGTCTTGCAGAACCTAGCTGCAATTCAACCCTAAAGGGTTTCTGGACCAGGCTCAAGGCTCAGAGGAGAGGAAATATCATGAATACTTGCTGAAGACTCAGACTCATACTGGTAACTGGTGAAAAGGTAACTTTCTTATGTAAGCTAAGGTGCAAACATAACACTAAAGTAAAAACAGTCTCTACAAGCCTAGCCAGGAATCAGTTCCTACATCGGTCCAGTTGTTCTTTATTTTTCTCAGTGAAGGCCAATGTATCTATTTGCTGGTGTATGACAGCCATGATATATGGTGCCTCCATCATAGTGTGATTTTCAAGGTCCTTATGCTGATTTCCTAATACTGAGCACAACTCATTGATCACACCCTTGCACAGGTGTTTCACATCTCATTGTGAAGGTATTGGTGTGTGTCTCTTGTGCTCAGGGGGATGTAACAGGTCATATTGCAATTTTTTGTTGATGCAGGTCTGTAATTCATGATCTATGAGAAGACAATTGTGTGATAAGAAAGGCCCCCCAAGGAGTAGGGGCACAACATGGTTGGGTGCAATGATAGCCCATATCGTACATGAACACCAGTCATGATTTATAGATGAAGGGCATAAAAGCATGTATTCAGAGAATGAAAAAGAAGAAGAAATGGATGGTGCCAGAAAGGCCAAGCTCACTTCAATTGTATTGTGCAGTTTGCGTCTTTGTAGACCCATTTTAGTCACAAGCTCATCATTAATAAGAACTAAGTGTGACTCATGGTCAATTAATGTGTCTATGTGCTGTAGCACTCAGCCTCGTGCTGAGCTCACATTCACTGATTTCCCGATACACGTCAAATGCTCATTGTACACCATACATTCCTTGATGTAACCCAACACTAACTCAATGCAACCCAACACTTTGACTAGTGGACCTGACATTTCAGCCACATTGGCTGACCCAAAATCCTGCACACCCATCCTATCCGTGTCCCGTCTCACTAGCCCCACTAGGTGCGTAGTTCATTATTTTGCACATTACTCACATCATAGCCAGCGCTATTACATGTTTTCCTGTTGTCCGCAGCACCTCGTGTTTGTTTACATGTACTTCAGATCTGAAATATTCTGCCACTACTTTCACCTATAGGTTTCTGGATTTCTATGTACTTACATATATATTGGACTGACTTCAAGTACCTTTCATCATCCAAGTAGTAGGGAGCCGTTTCCTGATACTTAGGGGTCAAACCCGATATTTCATAGTTCTTAGTTGATATTGTGAATATTACCACTCTTTCTATCCAAAATACCAGTCATCATCATTAATCCGCATACCGCTCACTTTCCCAACATTCACTATCACTATTCCCTGCAATCTGCTGAACCCAAACCCAAGCCCGCTAACCCAAAAACATCAGACCCGACACTTTGGCATCAGACATTGTAATTATACCTTCGGACATTATTTCCCACACTCAGACTTTTGACCGCATATTGTTTCACTAACTACAGACCTATCCCAAACAGCTAACCCCTCGGGTTGAATGCACTTGTCTCACAAGTATAGCAGACTAGGTTGTGCAAGACCACAACACATTTTATATTGCTGGTTACTTACTTTGTGTAGTGCCCAGCCATTGTTGTATCTCTACAGTGCTCGAAGGAAGTAGAGGAAGGTCCCATCAAAAGACAGGGCCAAATAAAATGGGGGATTTCAAAAGGAGCTATGCATGTGTCATCATCAGAATCAGACTCCTCCTCAATTATTGACGAGGGCATCACTGCTCTGATGGGAGCAACAGGCCTGTGGCAACAGGTTTCACAGGTCTGTTTGATCTTGGTTTTGACATGGCAGCATCCATCTCTGTCAATGTCTTGTATGTGGTAGGATCAGGTGGGCTGTCATTGCAATCCTTCAATCGGTGTGAGACATAGAATTTCCTGCACTTATAGCAGCCATTGTGTTCATTGAGGAGGGTATGCTCAGCCTGTGTTAGAGGGTTGGTTCTGGTTCTGTGCACATGAACACATGGTCAGAGACTGTTTGACTGTTGGTTTTCCCTGTTTAGGAGGCAGTTTAATGGTTTATGAGGTGGGTGGGTCGCCCAGCAGTTTGAGAGGTAAGGTTGTAGAGAATATGGGTATTGTCGATATTAAAAAAAAAGTGGAAAGGGCCCGCTGGGATAATGGCGGGTAACACTAAGTGAATCAGACGAAGAATAATAGGACAAGACCATGGATATTTGGAACATAATATAATGAGTAGGTGATGGTAAGTGGTTAACCCTTGTTCGACCGAGAATGATGTCAAGTAGCATGATATATAGGGGAGGTCATGTGATTGTTAGATGTCGTAAGCAGCAGGCTTACACATACTCAAGGCTTTCAAAATTCAGACACTTGTACAAATCATACTCTTTTGATCAAACACGACATAATTCATTGTGTAGAGACTACTTAAACAGAGTAGAAGATCCATACCGCTTCAGAACATCATGAACAATATTCCAAACACTAATGTGAGCACTTGAGTAAGTGGGAACTGGAAAATGTCAAGAACCCTTCATCAACATTACACACGCATCTAGGCGAGGTCGTTACTACAATATACAAGTATTGATATACAGTATTAAATATCTCAAATATACGTACCAATCAGACGTACGTCCCCACCATTTCAGTCAGTGCTAACATTGGCAGCCTGCAGCACAACCACAGCAGTCGCACAACCAGAGGCAACAAAAGCAGTCGCAGCATTCCCTATAGTGCTCCTAGTATCATCATCCTGCTCCACACTACCCCGCTCCTTCAGTATCATGTCCAGCTCCTGCGTGAGATCATCCGATCCAAAGCGATGTGAGCGCCCAACAACAACCAAAACAGGTTTGCGCATAGATGCCTGTTGGATGGCAGAATGTAGCGGTATCGACGACGAATGCTCAGAGAATGTGATGCATGACAGGGCAGCGCGGATTGAGGGACGTATGTCGAACGAGGAATGCGAGTTGACGTATTGCTCCCAGAGGATGGTATCGGCTGTCTCAGATTCGAAGCGTGTTTGTCCGTACGATATGCTTGGCATAGCGACAGTCTACAAGACTTGCATCAGAAAAAGACGAGAAGCACATACAGTCAACGTACTGATTGAATAGGCATTCCGTGGTATCCTTTATCCCGTGTTTTATCACTGTCTTCCGGCTCTGGACGCACGATCGATGGCCATTGTGCCGCAACACGCGCAGCACCACCTTTCGACATCCGCACTACTGTCGCACTAATCCCGGGATTAGTACATAGCTGCATCACGAACTCAAGCGCCAGTCGATCATCAGGACCACCGAAAAAGGGGAAAAATATGTGGCGCGCACTCCCGGGGCCGGTCCCAGAGAGAGAAGTGCCCGGATCGATGAACAGGGCAACATCCGTATTGCTCTCTGCCAATATTTTACGCACGAACTGCGAGTGGATCATGGCTACCGGGTTTCCCGTACCTGTAGGTTCGATTTTCGTGCTGCGTGGACTACATGGGTCCTCTCCGTGAATGGACGATGGCGAGAACCATTGCAAGAGGATGAGCTCAGATCCATGTTGCGTCGCATGATCGAAGACAGTTTTTGACATGTCCTCATACGGGACAAAACAAAGCGAACGCGAAACGCGTATGTTATTGAGCTCTCCAAAGGTGCGGAAGGCGCCCATAACCGGATCAGCACGGATGAGGGTACGCACTGCTGAAGACATCTTCATGTCCTCATTAAAGTCTGGCATCCCGATCAAGCGGAGAGCATTCACGCATGTCTCAGTTCCTCGAGGACTTGGCAGTGCCAGTTGGGTGGCCGCCAGCATTCCCGACATGTGGTCGAATTTGTCGATGACAACAGTGAAGCGGGAGCGCCACGGTTGATCCTCAGTCACGGGAGACTGGGGGTCATCTATATCTTCCTCCCTATCTCCAATCGACCAACGTGGAACCTCTCCAGCAAGCGCACGAACCCGGTGTTCAGGACGATAAAAAACGAGAACCAAGGGTGTGGTTATGAAAGTCAGCACAAGGGCTTCGAGGACGAACATCGAGAACACTCTTCGGGTGAGAATGCCAGTAGAAAGCCCAATGTTGAGAATGATTAATTCCACGGGACTAAGAGACTGTCAAGACCACACAATCTAGAGAGGATCAGACAACTGACCCTTTACAACACATCAACGATCCAACAGTGCTAGACTCTCGCCAATTCATTCCAGAAATCCGACTGGTGATCGTACAGGTACTGAATTTTCCAGCAAAGTCCAGACATATGATTGCGATGATGAATCCCCAAGTCGTACCTGCCAAAAGCATCAGTATATGTATGATCAGTGTAGGTCGCCATCGGCAGGACAGACCAGTGTTAAGCAATCCAAGATCTGTATTCAACCCAGAGAGCGTGAAGTACTGTCAAGTAATGAGCCAATCGATCGCAGCAAATCCAGCGCCCATACCAGAGGTAAAAACACAATCGTCACCACATCTTCAAGTTTCCTCGTCAGCGAGACAGCAAGGGCTCCTTCGCGGGGGACAACGACGCCCGCCAGGAACGCACCTGAACATGAGGTCTGCATTGCTTTATCGCAGCAGTCCACATCACTCACCGAAAAATGCACTGATCCCCACGATATCCGTGAAAAATGCACATGCCCAAAGCACGATCAAGATAACAATCATGAAGAATATCGTAGGGCCGTTCTCCAGACTTCCTGTGAACCCAGAAAACTGGAGCAGCGCGATTCTAACCGGCCACATGAGAAATGCTGTGAATGCTACGAATGCCAGCAAGATCCATAGAGCTGTAAGCCCGGAGGTCCCATTGATAAGAGCCACGACCAGTGCCAAGAGACTCCAACAGAATACGTCGTTGCACATGCTAGCTGTCAGAGCAACGACGCCGACCGTTGTGTCTAGGAGTTTCAATGAGGTGAGGATGCGACAAAGAACGGGGAAAGAGGTGATAGAGAATGACACGCCGGTGAAAAGCATGAAGTGAACAAACTCGACGGGGGGACCAATGAAGTTGTTGTAGAGTGGCACAGAGATTGCAGCGCCGAGACCAAAGGACAAGACCGTGGTAGATAGTGCAATGAACAGAGATGAGCGAGCATTCCGCGTGACGATACTTGCGTCGACTTCAAGACCCACTATGAAGAGAAAGAGGCAGATGCCAATGTTGGCAATGAGTGAGAGATATGAGAAGGATTGAGCGGGGAAGATGTGCTCGGTGAAACCGGGTATTCGCCCCATTACACTTGGACCTACAATGAAATGAGCAGCTGTTAGTACCATACGAGAGACGAGCTGACCGAGGAGAATTCCACCAAGGACTTCAGCGATGACTTTCGGCTGTCTCATCTTGCCCAAGGCGAGTGATAGCAATCGCCCAATCAGAACAATCATACCTATAACGTATTTAAATTGACACCACCGACGCACTCGGAGCAGAGGACGCTTACATATTCGAATAATGCATAGCCTCACTGGATCAGCAGTGGTGAACGCCGTAGGATCTACTCCTGACAATAAACCACCCTACAGCACCCTTTAACTGTGCACGAATGGTACGTCATAGAAAAAACACTTACCTGGCCCGTGGTCTCCCTCTTCCAGATTCGAAAAAGCAAAGCATCCGTGAGCATAGACATAATAGAAAGATAGATACAAGTGAGGGAATCTCACCTCGCCTAGTCTGCACTTGTAATACCAACCGCAAGAGCGGAGTTCCATCACCACCCCAACATGACGCAAACCGAATCATGCACACGTCCCGTGAAGTTGCCAAAGATGACACTGCGGATCACTTGGAATCACTTCTGGCTGTGACTCTGGGAAGTCTGCTGCGTGGCTAGATGCTGTTCGAGGGCGTTCGCAGTACGGATTTGATTTAGGGGGTGAAGATGACAGGTAGTCCAATTATATCCGACAATGAAACGATTCCTCAATAATTGGTATCACCGAGCATGTTGGACGAAGCTGGTTGTTCTTGCACAAATCTCACATCCTGGCTCATCTAGCTGCTAGCAAAGGCATCGTAATGGCAACCGTCGTGACTACAATGTCCGGCCGTTCGTGAGATGGAAAGGAGGAAAATTGAAATTTGGTCTAATGCCCATCGTAGCCTAGTAGACTGGTATAATGCCACCTGGAAGGCAATGCATGCGTGAATGCGGTTGGCAGGTGTGGGAGTGATGTGGCGAATGGGCACTAGTACTATGCTTGGACCAGCGAATGGCAGCGCCGAGCGCAGAGGAGTTTACTTACTTTGGATTCCTTTCGGCAGATGCCGGGACTCTCTCCGGCAAGACTTTGCATCTCGCGTCATCACTAGCACTATCAAACTAACCTGAATGAATCATATGTATAGCATCGACCTTTGGATTCGTCGTCATCGAGACTCCGACTCCGATGTTGGCCAGCGCGCAAAGTGACTGGGAACCAATCTGCAATTGTGAACTCTACTATTATACACGGCGGTACTACGTAGACTACTACACCAAGATGGAATCCAAGATATTAGATGGTAGCTATACATGCAGTACAGTGGTATATACACCAAAATAATAAACAATTGTCTCAGATACAAACTTGACGTCCCCTCCGTCAAGTATCAATATTCGAAGCCTGGAGAACCACGACAGCAGTCGCACACCCCGAGGCAACAAACGCAGTTGCAGGATCACCGATAGTTTTTCTAATAACATCTTGCCCCACGCTGCCCCGCTCCTTAAGGATCTGTTGCAGCTCTGACGTGTGATCCTCCCCTGCAAGGCGCCGTGAGCGCCCTACCACTACCAAAACAGGCTTGTGCGCAGACGCAAACTGGATGGCAGAATGTAGCGGTAACGGTGATGAGAACTCGGAGAATTCGATCCGGGAAAGGGCAGCCCTCAGCGAGGAGGGTGCGTCATACGGGAGTTGAGAGTTGGCGTATCGCCCCCACAGGAAATTATTAGCTGTCTCGGATTGAAACCGCATTTCCGCGTTGGCCTGGCCATAAACTGTGTCTGGAAAAGCAAGATTCTACAAAGCATGCATCAGAAAATAACCGAGATAGAGAAACAACATAACTTACCGAAGAGACAGGCATTTTGTATGCTAGATCCGGCATATCCGTATCTAAACTTTCTTTCCCATCTAGATGTACGAGCGACGGCCTTTCAACCGCAGCAGTCTCAGTGCCAATTTTTGACATCCTCATAATCGTTGCACTCATTCTGGGATTAGTACAAAGCTGCACCACGAACTCGAGCGCAAGCCGATCATCTGGGCCGCCGAAAAATGGGCAAAATATGTGCCGCGCACTCCCAGTGCCTGTGCCGGCTGGATCGATGAACAGCGCAACATCCGCCTTGCTCTCTGCGAATACTCTGCGCACGAACTGTGAGTGAATCACGGCTGGGGACTTGCCAGTGTGTTTTGATCCGCCAAAAAATGCTTCGAATGGACTCAGATCGGTTTTCAGACCAGATAGGTCTCCACTTGTATTGCCGAAGTTGGACGACGGCGATAGCCACGGCAAGAGGACGAGCTGGGACCCGTATCGTTTGGCATGATGAGCTACAGTACCCGGCATGTTGTCATGAGGGTCAATTGAAAGCGAGAGTGAAACCGGTATATCATTGAGTTCCCCAAAGGTGCGGAACACACTCAGGAGCGGGTCAGTGTGGATGAGGGTGTCAACCGCTGAGGACTTCATAACGTCCGAGGTACGGTCCGACAGCTCAATCAAACGAAGAGCATCCACGCTGACATTAGGCATTTTCATCTTGTCAGATACAGTCGTCGACATAGGTGATTCAAGAGAGGGCGTGCACACCAGTTGAGTGGCTACCAACATTCCAGACATGTGGTCGAATTTGTCGAGGACAACAGTGAAGCGGGAGCGCCATGGTTGATCCTCAGTCATAGGAAACTTACGATCGCTCCTGTCTTCGCCTAGATCTCCAGGTGACGCCCGTGAAACACCTCCAACTGCTGCAAGAGTCCGGCGTTCGGGAGGATAAAGTACAGAGACGAGGGGTGTAGTCATGAACGTCAGGATCAACGCTTCGAAGACGAACATTGAGAACACCGTTGGGGTGAGAATACCGGCATTGAGCCCAATGTTGAGCACGATCAATTCGATGAGACTAAAAAAATGTCAGTGACCAAATAAGATGGAGGAAATTAATCCACTAACCCTTTGCAACTCATCAATGATCCGACGGTGCTTGACTCTCGCCAACTCATTCCGGTTATCCGTGCGGTGATCGTACATGCAGTGAATTTTCCAGAAAAGTCCAGACATATAATTGCGAAAGTGAATCCCCAAATGGTGCCTGCCGTAAAGGTTCATAAATGATCAATGCGAGTCATGGTTGGCAGGACTGACCAGTGTTAAGCAATCCAAGGTTAGTACTTAAGCCAGAGAGTGTGAAGTACTGCGAACTAATTAGTCTTATCGACGTGACAGATTCAGATACCCATACCAGAGGCAAAAATATGATTGTCACCATATCTTCGAGCTTCTCGGTTAGTGCGATAGCAAGACCGCTTTCGCGGGGAACAATGAGTCCTGCCAGGAAGGCCCCTACATCCTAGATAAGTGTTGAACATCAGGAAGAGATGTCATCACTCACCGAAGATAGCATTTACGCCGACAATATCCGTGAAGAACGCACATGCCCAGAATATTAATATGGTAACTGTCATGAAGAACATAGTGGGACCGTTCTCCGTACTTCCAGTGAACCTAGCAAACCACAGCAGCGCGATTCTAACGGGCCACAGGAGAAATATTACGAATGCCACGCATGTCAGTAGGATCCATAGAGCTGTAAGGCCGGAGGTCGCATTGACGAGGGCCACGGCTAGCGCCAGCAGACTCCAGCCGACTACATCATTGCACACACCAGCTGACAGGACAACCATGCCGACGGTTGTGTCTAGGAGCTTTAGTGCGGTGAGGATGCGACAAAGAACGGGAAAAGCTGTGATAGAGAATGACACGCCAGTAAAGAGCATGAAGTTCGTAAACTTAACGGAAGAAGGAATGAGGTTGTGGTAGAGTGGTACAGAGATGGCAGCACCGAGACCAAAGGACAAGGCCATGGCGGAGAGTGCAATGAAGAGAGATGAGCGAACACTACGCTTGATGATGCTGGCGTCGATTTCAAGACCGATTATAAAGAGAAAGAGGCAGAGGCCAATGTTGGCAACGAGAGAGAGATATGGGAGGGATTGAGCGGGGAAGATGTGCTCTGTAAAACCAGGTATTCGTCCCATTGCAGTTGGACCTAGGATAAGATGAGCAGGTGTTAGTACAATATGAAAGATGAGCTCACCGAGGAGAATGCCGCCAAGAACTTCAGCGATGACTTTCGGCTGTTTGATTTTGCCCAAACCAAGTGAGAGTAGCTGCCCCATCATAATGATTATACCTGCGGCTGGCTTAGAAAGGTGTGGTAGACTTTCGAAAGAATATAGTGACCCATTTGTATAATCCATAGCCTCAGGGGATCGGAAGTGGTGAAGGATGAGGGATCTACTCCTGACAATAAGCCGCCCTGAAGCATGGTTCAGTTGTGAATGAGAGGTATGTTGTAGAAGAAAAGTTCACCTGGCCCGTGGCTGTTGCCCTCTTCCAGAGGCCGGACCCAAGACTGACGACTGTGTTTGAGAAGTCGGGCATGGTATGAGCGCTGGGTGATATCCGAGATGACAGGGATCCGGAGTATTAGTAGGATTTTTCGAGAGCGGAGTTTGTATACATCACATATTCACGCGCCTGCTCAGCACTGCATCAAGACATTATGAAGGGACCACCAAGGAAAGGGCAAGGCACATTATGACTAATTATAGGAGTCGTCTCCTATACGCAACAACACCCTGCACGTCGACGGCCCTTCTGATACTTACATACTAGCCAGTGCCTTGGTACGTATCACTGATCGTCATCGCAATATAACTTTTACTACTGATTGGGTTGTATGTTTCGGAGTCTAAAAAACATTTCCAATGTCCCCAAGTACTAGTGCATGGCGAGGATGATCGGTACCATGAAACTCATCCGTCGTCATGATCTTTGCGCCGAACATATCAGTTACTAGCCGGTTGCTTAAATATTCCCCAAGCAACACATGGAACAGACTTATTAGTAAAACCAATTGCAAATTGCAAGACGAGCCGTTTGCGAACAGCTGAGCTACACCACTATGTAGTACTCATCAACTATACTTATCTCAGGCACCATCTCTCTCAAGCAGCGTGGGAAAAATGTCAGATTCAGCTCTTATCATCCTCCATTTCACACTACTGCGCCATGGATCATGATTCAAGTCACCGTTTCCTAATAACTGGTACCCTCTACAGGTACCCTATATGCATAACCAGGTCATGATCCAAGTCGCTACCGACAGCGTTTCCTGATATCCAAATAACTAGTACCCTCTGGTCTAACCCAAGTATGGCTTGTTCCCTACTCAAAATCGGTTATGTGTCATGAAACTTCTTCCCAAAGCTTCCGAGACGAAATGGAACAATCCGCAGCACACGCATAACGTTCCCCGCAATCTATGGCTATGGCGTTCTCGAAGCATCATCACAGCACTACAGCAGAGAACGCCGGATGACCAACTCAATCTAGACTACGCACGTCACACGACCAACAGAAGGCAGACCAATTCTTCGGCTACGTCCTCCCAATCTCTTCAATGAGGATTTTCAACATTTGATCTCGGTGGTCGCCTGCAAGCGAGTCGCTCTCTGCATAGAAAACCCCGAAGCGAGTCGCTGTGCGTGGCAATTCAAATGCACATCGCCCATTCAATAACGTGCCTGGTCTATTCATAATATAAATACACTGATGAGTCTCTCCCCAGCCAGCTGGCATCCCCTGATAGGCAAGGGGAACCGGTAACCGGTGATGCTCTTCTACTTCTAAATACTACCACAACACGCGATGTATGAACAGGTGCCAGCAATTGGCAATAACTCGTGTACACATACTGCTCGAACAGTTTACAAGGACAACTTGACGCAACTTGATGCAACTGTAGCGTGTAATGCAGTGATATAGGGTCTGGTCACCCTCTCAAGGTATAGCTGGCACAGCTCGATGTAGTTCTTGAACCCTAAACGGCATGACTCAGTAAGACACCGGAGATCATCAGAGGCTCATTACCTAGGGCAAGCGGCCAGCATCTCGCAAGGCTCTATGCCTCTTTGGCTATATGTGCGTGTAAGACCCGCTTATGGTAGTAGTATAAGCTGAGCTCCGTCGTTTTCCAGTATGACCACACGACTCTCTCTAAACAGCAAATATCAGAATAACGATCCACAAGCGAAACACTGGACTCACCTCCTGCAGCTGACTGTACAACTCAAACGACAGGTTAAGGCAGATATCGCCCAGAGACACCGCCCTCGAAAGACTTTCTCTAGTTTTCTTATCAATAAGCTGCCACATGACAGTTCTCATCGCTTGTATGCTGTAGACATGCGAGTGAGATTAGTTAGAAAAAGAAAAAGCCACACGAACTCACCGGCTAAACTGCGCCACGTCGCTCTCGTTGCCGTACCGCATCAGCGCAGTACACTGTCGCAGCACCTCGCTAGTCTGATGATACCACGTCTGAACCATCTCCCGAGTGCCCATCGGACAATCAGAAGCATACTCCACAGAAGCACCATGATACACAAACTTCTGGATAATCGTGATCGACATGACAGGCGATGAGCTTGGGGAAAGAAAGTGGTTGTTGAAGTTGACTGGAGATTAACCGGCCGAGCGCGCATCTTATATCTTTCAGCAGAAATAGCTCCAGAAGCGAAAACAATCAGGTTCCAAGGGGCACAGCGGAGCAGGGAATCATGCCCACAAAAGTGGGTTTGGTAATTCTTGTAACTTACGGACCGTTCTTCTAGTTAGGCACCATAGAGATGGATGCGTGCCCAGACAGTCGAAGCATCTACCGCTTGTGCCGCTCTGTTGTCCTTGTTCTGTGGAAACAATACTATGTATGTCGTGTTTCTATGGCAGCGCGTGAATAGGCGGGATCCTGCGGCCACGTCGGCGGGGCTTGTTGTTTCGTCGTTGTGAAACGTGTTCTGATTAGTGCTGTCAACGAAGCGACGTTGAAGACAAAAACAATGTCGGGTTGAGCTCGGCCTCAAAATACTTCTGGGCGCTAAATGGTTTGACATTTTACGTATACAGAAGACGAGTGTTCTTCCCACTAGTAGTGCATGTTAATAACAAATAATGTATTCAACACATTTTTCGACACAACCGCCGATACATAATTAATGAGACACTGGGATATTAGTCGCCCCAGAATCCAAGCGGAGCGCGACGTCCTATCATCGAAAAGAGGACGGCCGGGAGATCACAAAGGTCCGGGGATCGATGGTGACAACATAGGGATCGGACAAAGCTGCTTTATCAGCTGCAGCTGTTCTTGCTCCATAACCTCTCTCTAGACAAAAGAAGGGTGATCAGTCTCCTAAAATTCTACGGGATGGCCATCCATACCGTGTAAGACAGCATATCTTTGAGCCCACGCTCTGTAGTCCAAGCCGTTCTCTCGATGATATAGCTAAAATATACCAAATATAATAAAACGATACTGACCACGAGGGATAACTACGACGTACGATTTGCAACTTCATGCTAAGGTACTGAGCTTGATAATTATATGTTTGTGCCTCGGCCAGTCGCTCGTCATAGGTAAGGCGGGTGTCGGTCAAAAGCGCGCCGTTCATGTTTCGGAGACTAAACGGCGGGATAGTCAAGGAGACAGTTAGTCGTTAACTGGATGCAACTTACGAAGAGCTTTGGACATCATCCGTGGCGCTGCCATAGTTCAGATAGGTCTGACAATAGTCGAGAACAACGTTGGTGCTATCGTGCCACTGGGTAACTTCGTCGCGTTTGGGAGGCTTAGGGCTGTTCCAGGAGAGGGCCATGGTTTTCAGTCGTTTTTGTTGTTGTAATTGGATCTGGGGAATATGCTGAGAGACCGAAAGACGGAACTCACTTTATATACTGTACTACAGGATGTGCGCAAAGCGGTTGTGGCCAGTGGCTGTGTGGCCCGAACTTGAACACCATTGACCGAGGAACTCTCTTTGTGGACAGTTTAAACCCGCCGCCTAGGGTTTTGACCACCGCAAACAAAAAACAGATCCAAATATGCAATGGGCGCTCGCTGGCTGGCCGCCACAAGTCACTTGTTCAGGGAAAACGTCAGTATGAGAATCCACGAAAGGGTCACAAGCCATTTTGAAAATCGAAGGAAGTATAGGAGACAGTTATCATGGCATGCCCATCTGAGTCATACTCAGATCAGCAGACCATTGCTGACCAGCGGTGACTATGTGGATTCTGAAAAGCCATCAATGTCCAAGCCTATTATTGGGACAGAAGATGTGGCAGTTTCCTTGCTTGTGAGGAAATGGCTGGGCCACAACAGGTATGTGGATCTTATGGAAGGGTGCCGCAAGACAGTGCAATTCTTGTTTTTGGGTGATACGAACGTACATTGTCTACCACATCTAGCTGATGCAGTAGACGGTCCTGTAGAGAGAAGGGTTTTGACGTTACAACTATCGACAACATCCAAGCGTCGTCTGTGGTAGTATAAGACTGGATACCAGGCCGGTCTCCCCTAGAGTCCTAGACTGGTTATATGAATTCGGAGTGATGATGACTCGGGTTAGGCCTACTATGACTCTTGTACCCGAGGCCAGCCCTAAACATCACATGACCTTCAATTTGACTGGAAGCTGCGCAGTCCTGGCAGTCCCAGCCTCCAGGTACTCGAGCCGCCTTGGCAGTTCCCCCAAATGTATGACTGAACCTCAACGCAGTTCAGTGGCTAGCTGTGTCAGCAAGTAGTGCGAAAAAATGCACATCCCAATGCGAACACTGCACCGTGGTCCTGTCAGGTGTACCCTCGACTGCCACAGTATGACGGTAAGTGGATCGATATTACTGTTCCGCTACATCATACTCGTCTAGTAACAAGTTACGAAAAATCGACATTCAGTGTTTGCCTAGACAATGCTATACACAACACACGGATATCGTGTCAACAGAAGAATCTGCTCTACCTCGAAAGTAACACCAAAACCAATCCCGAAGACTTCCATCACCCCACATCGCTGGCTCGCAAACAGATCGAGGATGAATTTCCATTCTATTATTGCCTTGATACAGAGCGGCGCGAGCTCAATGATAGTGAAAGCGACAACAGAAACTCTGACGAGGACGGCATTGCGGTCATCCCCATCTGTTCAGGCGAACCTGCTAACTTCGACCCACTCAAGATTAAATGACGTTGCGCTCGGTAGTCTCAGCGGTGGGTTAGTTATAGGAAAATATAATGTCTTTATCGAATCCAATAATTATTTCAGCCTGCTCTTGAGCAACTTTCACGCAAGGGAAATCCTTGAACTTCTGAATCACGTACCTGGTCTGTACATTGTCCTTCAGTCTTTATCCAAGCCAATCGACGAACGCCAAGCACTGACAAGCATCTGGATTCGTTCGTATGTCAACCTGTGTACTTGAGTGTTCTAACTTCTAGCTCGGTGATTACACAGATCCGCTTACAGCTGGATTTCAAAGCCCACTTGTCGAATTGCAATATTCCCGCTCAAACAGCTAACTGTGAGCTCCCCTCTTAGAAGTACGTTTCTAGTGTACCTTGCCATTCGGCACGAGCCTGACTTAATCCTGGCTGAAAAGAGCGTCATGAAAATCGCGCTCAGGCTGACAGCCGCAGCTCAATCCTCAGCGAGTTCATCCTAACATGCATCCTGAAGGACACTAGCCTGACAATTAAACTCTGCATGTTCCACAAACTATACTAAATGTGAATATTATCGCAAGTACGTCTATGATACTACGGTACAGATAGTCCTAGCCATTCCATTGACAGGATCACGGTGGCGGCAACTTGTTACATCTCTGGGGGACTTGCTTGAGCAAGGTGAAGTAGACGGGTGCTAATGTAATCAAGATTGAAACCAATGCCTTCTTGGTATATGACCTTCTCGGTTTCCGGCCCTGCGGTGTCATCCTTTAAACTATTCTTCAGCTTCCTTTGCTCTTGGACTAGAAACGGGAGCAATTAAGTCGCAGTCCATTATCACATCAAAAATACTTACATTCCATGACAGCTAGTCTCTTTCTCCAGCTTTGGTCATTCAAACCTTTGGCTTCTTGTTCTTTCTAAGAAAACAGTAAGCCATTACCTATGCGCAACAAAATCGGTCTACTCACATCCAAAAGTGTGTAGTGCAACTTTTCTACTTGATGGCTGCATTCTTCCGCTAAGGCTACGCCGTTCTGGTCGTCATGAGCAACACGTCCTTCGAGAAAATGAACTGCGCTGTTCATGCCCCTGAGGCTAATGGTAGTTCGAATCAGTCGTCGTCGCAGCGAACATGGAGCATGAACGTACAATGCTAGCTGTGCGCTATCTTTAGCATCCCCATATACAAGCAGAGGTTCGCAGTAGTTGAGCAGGTCCTCAGTACTCTTGTACCAGGCAGCGAGCAAGTTACGCATGTTAATGGAGGAGCAAGTGTTAAGTGATAGAAGTTAGGGGTTGTAAGAGGGAGTCGTTCAAATTGAAGCTGTTTCGAGATGTTAGCTGGACTTTATAATGACCGTTTGGAATTTCTGGATGTGCATCTCATTAGCGAACACGTCAAGAGTATACAAGAACAAGTTTACAGTCATGCATAGAACAAAAACGCAACGACTCAGCCGGTTCTCCATGGGGTTGTGCCATTGTTCTGATGACTAACAAGTATTTCACAGCCGCGGTAGCGTGTCCACAGTAGCCCACAGCACGTAATTTTTACCAGCGCGCCTGCCTCGATTGTACAATATCATTTCTCACACCGCTGCATCGCAAACAAGGAAGTGCTGCAAGTTGGCAAGGAGTTGAAACGAAATTGAATGGTTTGCAACCAGAGCTTTGACAATGAGAATAACAAATTTGAGGCCTTACCAAAAAAGGAATGCGACACCAATCCTTTCTCGTAATCAGACGATTCCAATAAATGAGAGATTCAGGATGATCTCAGTGTGTCACTCGGTCCGACGGTGTAGTTGCTACTCAAGTAGTGATACAAAAAGAAAATAATTTTGTGTATCCAGAATATTTCTCTTCAAAGCCGGAACTCAGAACAAACTATTCGAAGTACCATGACGAAACCTCAAGCAATCTTTCCTGATACCTGCAGATTACCTGACAGGCATTCCCCTGCTACACACTACTGAAAGTTGGCACATGTATAGTATCCTGAAAAGCAATTGAGGTTATGCTAGCTGCTGCATCGGAGTTGGCCACGAGGTCGGCATGATACATTCGCAAGCTAAGGATGAGGCGTGGTCCCAGCACAAACATCTGTATGTACGAGAAAATCTCAAAAACAGCGTTAGAAATCTGGACTCCCGCAGAATCTAGGTCCTATAAAAATGATGAACAGCGGTCACACGTAGATATCGGTGACAAATAGGCGCACCGAGACCTTTGGAGAGAGCTGAGTACCGAAGGCGGAGCAACAAACAACGGTGAAGCTAGCAAGCGCGGCCTTTCAGCGTAAAAAGATAACCGCGTTCAATTACAAGCTTACCTTGCAAAGTAAACCAAATGTGATTCTAGTAACACTCTGAAACAGTCCCTGATGGTCGATCTTGTCGATGGGCCGAGTCGTCGCAGCTCACGGAAGTGTTTCACAGCAACCCAAACTGAAAGGCAGAGTGCAAGAACCTCCCATATGGCGGTGAGTATCCAAGTTACGGAGATCAGGAGTAGGTCGTCTGCTGTATAGATATAAGCACATGCATGTGTGCCGGAGAGAATGAGCTCCTCTGCTATTCGTCAAACGAGCTTAATTCCTTGATATGTAACTAAAGCTTACCCCCTGACGTGTAGCTGAGAACCATTGCCGCAATCACTCCGCAGGTAATGTTGACAACCAAGAGGATTATAGTGAGAAAGATAAGGATCTTTCTGGACCTCTGATACATGGCGTGTAACCGAGTAAGCGTGATGACTTATACGATGTTTCAGTCAATGGCACTGAGGTCATGCAGCAGAGTCGCTCACCACCTAGCATTGCGGCTACAATCACATTGATCCAATTTAATGTGGAATACAGAATAGCGCCTGAAACATCCGGTTAACGGTCATTCTGGAAGAATCGATATGTCCAAACGAACTCACACCTATTGTGGTCATTGTATTGAAACATGAAGCTGGTCGAGCGTCGCACTCACTCCTACATAGAAGGACAGTTAATAGAAAGGTACCAGGGCAGGATACTCACTGCATCTGTCACCGAAGATCCTGTGTGCCACCGATCAGAAGACGCGAATACATTGTAAAAGGAGACGCACCCATCATAATATTGATGCTAATTGTGAGGGATGGCTGATTAGCACAACGCCATCATATTAACCCTATAAACATACATATAATATGGTATTCCAACGTAGCGTATCTAGAACAGATCAGAGTTAGCCCAACTTGCCAACAACACGAGTCACTTACAATTAGATACAGAAGAGTCATCAAGGACCAGCGTTGCCTCTATACCGACAAAATTGTACCATTGCGTTATCTTCTGATACGGGTGTCCACTCACCCAGATCAGTTCAACCTGTTGAACCATTCTTGGTGAGATGGCTGGTCCCGTAGTAATGGCACAAACCCACCTCGTCTCCGAACGTCAGCACTGGAAATATCATGAGCATATCAACGGTTCCGCAATAATATTTCACTCACCCCAATCGTATATCAGTGCGGTAGATGAGGCAACTGCGAAACCGCTGTCCGTGTTAGGATGAGACGCTATCAACATGACTAGCTCACCACGAACACGTAAAATAACTGGATAAACGAAACGAATTGATCATCGGCCACCAGGCGGGATCGCTTGAGACTAGCGTCATTTTCGCGGGAGGGTATACTAGCCTGAGTGCGAGCAGCGAACCTGATGAACATATAGCGACGGCTTTCTTCCTAGATATAATAGTACCTGCATTGAGAACATCAATGATATAGATGAATGTACGTTCTCGCCACAAAGCCCTTGATTGACTCGGAGTGAAGTATCAAGATTCTTAGTAAGATCGTGATACCGAACCAAAGTAGGGTTTAGTTGAGGAGCTGCCAACCTAGTATCACTCGCAGGGATGATTCAACACCGACAAAGGTCAAAAGCAGTTAATCAATCATGATGTCGGCGAATTTTGTCCAATTCTCGTAATTTCCTTGCGATGCACGATTGATGTATTTGTAAATTTAACCATTGAGCTGTAATAACTGGATGACACTACGCGATGCAAAAAAAAGGATAAGGGTTATGCACCTCTGATGCGAATCGGAAAGCGATGCTACAACGCACCGTGACTGTACATTAAAGTCAATGCGTCGGCCCTGCATCAACTTTTGCACAGCTAGTTAACTGAGACTAATAGTCTGCTGAACGTAGTATATGACACTGCCCCTAGCTCAACACAGAAATGAGAGCACATGGTAAAGAACACGACTCCGATGGGCCTGTATGCATATGGCCGGAGGACTATGCAGCAAACCCGGCTACGAGTCCACGTACATGCTTGCTTGGCTTTCAGTGGGAAGCCGGCGCGAGCTGACCTACCCTGAACCACTCACGTGACCAGCCATGTACGCTGAATTCATATCACTGAATAAATTCTTTACCAACTATTCGGAGTGATGCGTCGGTCGAACAAATCACACAAGGTGCGCACGGGCTTGATCATTGACTACATATACATAGACCGGTCATCCAGGTTCCCAATGTCAAACTTAGACCCGCTCAACCACGATCCAATCATGTGGACGCGCCATATGATCACAGCTCAGACTCCGAACTTGTCCCTCCCAATGCGAGTATGGTTGACCTGTGTCCTAGACCGTTCAGGGGTGTTACGCTTTGCGCGACAGGTACAATGGATAAGGTACGTTGCTTCTGGTTGGGGTTGTGACAGATAGTGGTGAAGTTAACAGTGTGTGGGAAGGCTACCTTGTTCAAACAGGCATTTGAACTCGGCGCGACATCTACAAGTGACTTTACGGATAGAGTGACTCACTTACTAGCGAATAGCCACGGCGGAGCCAAGTACGCGGTGAGATTACCCACAGGTGCCTCTTGTCTTTGTTTAATCCTATTCATATGGGTGTAGTGCGCGTTAGAACGCAAAATACCCATCATGCGTCCCGAATGGATAACGGATGCACACCAGGTTTGGTTGCGTGGAGATGACGTAGATCTAGCAGAGGTGAGCACAACATAATCATTGACAACACATTCCTAACGTCTGCAGACTGTTTCTACACACCGCCTTCCCATCTTCTCCGGTGTCACACTCTCATTATCAGGTATTGATGACCTCGAGCAACGCGCAAATATAAATCGTGCTCTAACCAGACACGGTGGGATATATGTCAAAGCCATCGAACGCCCTGTCAAGGTGACACATCTACTCTGTGCGGGCGACAATGAGACCGAGAAGATGCGCTACGCTGATAAATTCAACAAACGTGGCGAGGCAAAAATCCACGTCGTCTGGGAGGAGTGGTTCTGGGACTGCTTGGAATTCAGAGGGCGCTTCGAGGAAAAGCGTTACGTCGTCACGCGGCCGAGACCAGAGAGGAAGACCATGAACGAAGGTAAGTAGACATCTACTCCATAACCTTGAAAATCAATTTACACATAATAGAGCTCACCACTTCAATACCAGTCCACGACTCTGCCCCAGGCACGCACCCTTCGAATGCGATTCCTGTCGACGGTCATCTACCTAGGACGCCCGCCCCACCGAAACCAAGTCACGATTATGATCTGTTGGAGGAGGAGGAACCTGCATCCCTAGCACACACTCCCGTTCGCGCAGTGACGCTTCAGCTCTGGGGCAGCCTCTTACGTCCACGGGGTTTCGAGATCGATCCAGTTGCGAACAAGCTCGTCCGTAGTCCTTCAAAGTCACAGTCAATGGCAGGTCCGCCGATGTCGCCGATACAGTTACCGGCACGTCTTACGCCTGACGTGCGAACGAGAACCGCAGAGAAGGTGATAGAATCCCAGGGGAAATCTGTAATCTCGTCTTTCAAACGTGCCAAATCATTTGCGCCGCCTGCAAAAGAGCCAATGACGCGGCAGCCGTTCAGGCGAACAACCACGATTGCAGCTATGGGACCTGGTGATGCAGAGGGGAGTACAGCATCTCACCAACCTGAGGTGGAGGACTCTTCGATGGCGACACTCTTTGCAGGTTACCACTTCCGTCTACTGGGGGAGGCAAAATGTGCGAATGTGCGCAATGCTATTGATCGTGGGGGAGGCGTGGTCGTGGACGAAGATACTGACGATATCGATTTCATTGTTGTGCGACTCATTAGGTGAGCTTCGACTCTCTCATATCAATGGGGCATCTTATGCACCGGATTGCTTAGTGGGAGCAAACTCTACCAGAACGAACCTGATGAGACGTTGCGCGCCAAATATCGCACGGAATGTTGGCTCGAACACTCGGTCTTCCAAGAGCGAATATGTGGACCGCACGAAAATATATCATTCAGGCCTCTTAGCCTTCCCTGTCCAATACCTAGTACGTGTCACGGCTACCTTTACTCATTTTATACGTGCTGACATGATCACAGACACCGAACAAATTATTCTAAGCCTTTCTGGACTTGATCAGTCTGAGCTATGCTGGACAAAGCGTTTGTTGCGGGCGTTGGGTATAACGCTTGCCCAGATATTCTCTCGACATTCGACACACCTACTTTGTCCGAGTGCCTGTGGTGCCAAGTACGACAAGGCAAAAGAGTGGAACATCCCCATCGTGGGCATGGCATGGTTAGAGGATATGGCGAAGGCGGGTAAGGTACCTGACATCAGCGAATATCTCATTGGCGACGTTGGCAACCGAGCGGCAAAGGGTAAGGCGAGGGATGTACAGATGGTGGATACCACCAATGACAGTAAGCTAGAGTATCGTCAAACATTTAACGTCATTTTTATTGTTTTATTGTCACAGGTTTGCCTGTCCTTCCGCTTTTCGTGAAGAAGCCACATCTCTTACAAGATCTTCGGACGCCTACTCTCCTTGACATAGAGCATGCCCCTCCGGCCACGTTCTTCGGCGAGTCAAATGGCTCACTCGACGACGCTCTGCCACAATACAAGAGCGACGATGGGGCGCGATTTTCAGCCTCTCCGCCTCTTTTGCCACCGCAGAGTAGCTCACCCCCAGTCGAATATGTTGCTGTGCACCCCACACGCCGGAGACCTCCATCATCCTTTGAAGACCTTAATCCTCCAGTCCCATCCCTGGATGCTAACGGACGCATACCCTCCTCCACCTCACCCTCGCCAATGAAGCTCCCCCCCAGCTCAGATGCGCGGCTGACGTGCGAACCCTCGCCAGTGCGAGTGCCTCATCCAAGAGACGTTGCCCGCGAGCTACAAGAGAGCCTGACAACGCTGCTCGGGAAGAGACAGGTATCAGAAGAAGATGTTATGCGCCCAGGACAACGGAAGGGCAAGCGGCCGCGCCCACTGCCGCGCCCCGGGGTTCGTTGGCAATCTAGAGTTCCTTTCTCTTTCGTACTCATTCATCCATTATATGTAGGTACAATCTCGGCAAGAATCACGCGAGACCATCATTAGGGAGCCTCCGGCACGACTTGTGCCGCTTCCGCAGCCTATGTATTACGATGCGATGAGCCTGCTGGACGGGAGCACGCGTCCGAGCGAGGATAGTCTGCGCGTGACATATGAGGACCCTGGACAGGAGGCGGAGAAGCGGAAGCTGCTGGCTTTACTTGGGGATGAGAATGTCGGGAGGAAGGGCAGGAGGAAGAGCACGAGGATACCGGGCTATTGATCGTGATGTGCATTGGAGTGCCGTATCTCTTTAGCGCGTATAATATTATCATCTAGCCTGATCACATCAATGTAAAACATTGGCAAGTCTGCACGAATTCATGGGCATTAATGGGGTAGTGGTAACCTGGGTCGTTGCCATCGACCCGCCGGGGGTTCGATTCCCTCTTAATGCAGTGGGATATTTTTGCGGCGGAGGGCCAACGGGGCCAAAATGTTTCGTAATTTAGGTAAACTTGCACCAGTCATGCATATGTCTCACAGACCTGAAAGTTGTGTCTCAGTTGCATAATATGGACATTCCGCCTTCCTTGCTTTGTCCTTCGAGTCTCCAGTTCTCCTTCCGTGTAACACTTCCTGTCCATCATTTGTATTGCCCATGGAATAGTCTATCATGTATACTTTTGTGCATGAATCAAAGGTGCTCTTTTGTGCCAGGACCGAATTGAAGAATAGTCAGTGTGCTATTTAAAATTAAAAATTAAAAGTTGATCGCCTACTAAGACAGCTGAATTGAATATGATGAGGATACTAAGGTTTAGCCCGGTCTGTTTAGAAGATGAATACTAAGGTGCCAACTATGAGTAAAATTTATCAGTGAGGATGTTCAAGCTCAAGTTGTGAAACGTCCGTAGCATCGTTGGCAACGATGTCCTGAGCCTTCGGGTCCAGCAGCTCTCCGTCCTCGAGCTGTTGTAGCGCCTCTTGTTTTGCTTCTCTGTAAGCTAACGACTTCTCCCTCCATTCCATAGCTTCTTCACTCCACTTTAGTTTACACCTCTCCTCAGAGGTTGGCTCACCTCATGTAATACATTTTCGTCAACGATGACCTGAGCTTGAGGCTCGTCAACATCTGCCGGTACATTGACCACATTGGGGTCCAGCAGCTCTCCGTCCTTGTGTGGTTGTTGTAGCGCCGCTTCTTTTGCTTCTCTGTAAGCTATTGCCTTCTTCCTCTTTCGTTCCATGGCTTCTCCTGAATCACTTGGCTTTCCTTTGTTTCCTCTTTTGCCTTGTCTTTGACTTGTATGGGTCACCATCATAAGGAAGGACGAATTTCTTGGCCCTGGGCATCGGAAGTGTTCTAGGCTTCTGGGAGTAACTGAAATCAAATAATGCTAACACTCTAGTCGTAAGAATTGCGTGGTGCTGCATGAAAGAAGTAAAACCGATCTCACGAGTCACCTTCATGCACTGGATGTTAGGCTCTACGAGACTTTTTGGGAAGCAGCTTGACAATTCGGTCCGGCATGACAGTATAACGGGTGGAGTTGAGGTGCCAGTGAAGTGAGCCGACATTAATCCAGTTCTGCAGCCCCGGGTTCGGTATTTTCCTGGTGCACGTGAACCTGTTCGAACCCAGTCGCAACGAAGCATCGAAGCCTCATGCACATGTTCCAGCTGGTGAGGATTCCCCATTTGCTTAGTACACTCATCCTTCGAATATGACCATAATCTCAAATGATCGCAGTCGGTGGCTGTTCAACAATTTAAAGGTTGGTCGCATGATTAAACTCCGCAGCATGGAGCAGAGATATTCCAAAAGGTAATCGGCCTCCAGCAGATGCAGCTCAGCAGAACAGCTGGTGGGCTTCATGTTTGCGCCCTGGGTCATCTACAATATTTCAGAAATCAGGGCTTCTTACGTGTTATAGGCAGCCGCAGAAGGCTACAAGGAGACACTCACTCGCCTAATCGAAATAACCGAAAGCCGTGTCGATCAGCATTCTATGCCCAAGGCCGCGATGATGACCTCCGTCGCTCAGCGAGTGCATCCTGGAATCAAATAGAGGCATTAATTAAGTGAGTCTCGCTTGCCTCGTTATTATCCGCTGATTTACAGTTTCGTTTGGAAATCGACTGATTGTGTGCAGAAGCTGGGTGTTCCCTTTATCAGCATATCTGCTCCCTCTATTGTGTCTGGCATGTTTGGAGAGTCAGAAAAAATACTACGAGATACGTTTGACTCCCGCAAAGCTGTCTACGTCATCGCCGCAACGAACCGTCCCGATATGATCGACCCAGCTATGGTTTGCCCAGGGCGTCTCGACAAGCTCCTCTATGTTGACCTACCAAGCGCCGATGAACGCGTCGAGATCATACGGACGCTAGCGCGTAAAGTCCTATTCGCCCCTACAGAACCAGATGCCGAGACGATCCTGCAGCGCGCGGAACACATCGTGCGGGAGAAATGTGATGGATACAGCAGTGCGGACCTCGCAGCTGTCACTCGGGAGGCAGGCGTTGTGGCATTGAGACGTTCTCGGTGCGCTTGACCAGATGGATGACAGTGATGGAGGTTTGGTAGAGAATCAGCTGCGAGTAGTTGTCGTGTTGGAGGATTTCATTCGCACTCACGATAAGGTCGGTCCCAGCGTGTCTGCTGTGCAGCGGAGGAAGTATGAAGCGCTGCGAGCCAAGTTTGCTGGCCTTCCTGTGCGAACGGGGAAGGATGTCGATTAGAAGTGAGCTATTAACAGTATCGCCATTATAATAGGACGCTGATATTTGGCACTCCTGTGACACATGCGTGATTCGCTTGATTTAGTACTTGCACTTTTTCTAGTGCTTAAAATGACTCAATTAATTTGGAATGAACCGAACGAGACAGCCAAGAATCTGAGCAATACACGCGTCCTAGTGCTACTCAAATAGACACGGAACTCTTCCGGATTTATAAAGGAACACTACCATAGTGAGGCATCATAGCTCTTTATGCTATGTCGTCTCCGCAGAGCAGGCCATTACTGCTATTCCAGTTGCTATAGGGAACGGTTTGTCATATGGTGACATACGTTGCTCTAGTCTGGCACGCTCGAGAGTACAGGTACAGTCTTATATCGCTACTAAATCCATTATCATACATTTTGTTCGTGATGAGAGTAAGAGTCTATTATCCAAAGATGTAGTATGTCCACAGGCACTGATATGAGGACCGTTCGTTATGTCGTGATCTGGTTAGCATCGGTCAATTCGGTTGTCCTCTGACGTCCTTTACTTGAGGGTATCTCCAGATGTCATGTTGATCTGAGCAACCGGCCAGACTGAGAATATAAAATTTCATCTACTATGGCGCAGCGTGTTGGTTCACCCACCTGATTGGTCGAGTAGCTAATGATAAACGCACAGTTCGACTCTTCATGTCCCTGAGTGCAGTAGTCGTCCAATGGCGCAGTCGATTCCATGCTGTTTTTAGGCCTAGCTTTGGTAGGAAGCAAGTATTGGAGGATGCTTGTTTCTCGATCCCTTCATCCCTCCCATCGGATTTCGCTTCGGTAATCCATCCTAGAGAATATGGAGACTAATATGCAGAGATGTCATGAAATTCAGACAGATCGAGAAGAAAAAATGGGATAGCACTCACGTCAGATTGGACAAACTTTATTGATTCTTCATTATAAGCGCCCATTGTTGTCTTTGATGGTTTATTTCCGGAGTATGATGCTGGCTTCGACATAGAACTCGGCATCTCCACCACTGTCACGCTCTCTGCACTCAATGAGTCCTGAAGTGTAATGTATTAAGAAACTGCTGGTGAGGACAGTATACGAGTCTAGCGCTCACATCAATCCGCACGATGTTAAGAACGTCTTGCTGTATGTCGTAGTTCATGGGCCGTCGAGAGCGTTTCAATGACGGGCGTGATACCATCCGCGTCCATAAGTTTGCTTCTGACATTGGATCTGGGTCAAGAATTGTAGTGCAACATGAAGGGTTCGGTCTGGAACCTGACGGTACTTGCTGAATCTAGAGGTACGATCAGGCACGGCCCTCATAAGCTTCTCGAATGCTAAATCGCGCTTCGCGAATACATGCCTCGGATATCCGGTAGACCCATTGATCACACGAGGGAGGTCCACTGGAGCATCGGCTTGTGAGAGATGGCTCTCTCACACCTAGCGTGGTAGAGTGTGGCTGCTGCCGATCGTAACTGGAGGAAGGCGACGGTACTACGAGACTTGTCCTTGGATACTCTCCAAATGTGAAGTACTTCTCCAGGTCATCTTCAGTCAGAATTCCTCCCTGCATAGAAAAGCTGAGCGCTCGTGAGTAAGATGATGCTGTCGAGAACTTTACGGGGAAGACTTACGGACCCGGTAGGGTTGGACGAGGTAGGGATAGACAGAATCACAAGCTGTTCGAAATTGAGGGAGTTATATTTTGAAATTGTTGTTCCCGCAGGATTGCACGAGGCTGATTGCACAGGAATCCCGCGATAGTGTCATCGTGCAGGTCAACTTGGCTACGACATTTCTGGACCCGGTAAGGGATGACCGCCCGGCCTCTTCTGCATGTACCGGTCCAGACGCCCTCGGCACCGTTAGTAAAATGCCATGTGACACGTCCCTCCACACTTTTCGATGAGAAGAACCCCAACCAACCCCATGGATGACGGCGAGATTTTAGCTCAGTGAGAGTGTTCGGCTGCGAGCGCAGCCACGATCGTGGGACTGACTCATCGGTATCCTTAGAAAGATGATCATGATAGTAGAGGATAGCCACATCGATTGAATCACCGATTCATGATACTGACCCTGTGTTGCTTGCTAATGTCCTATGATGCTACTGTCTGCTTGTACCAAACTAATAAGTTATACGCCTATTACCTCAATACGGGTTCCATATTATGGCAATGACCTGTGATATTAGAAAGCTGGAGTTTGGCTGAACACTTTGCCTAAACTTAAGAGGTGAAATTAGACGCCCTAGAGAAGTACATTCGAAGATCTTGAAGCTTGGAAGCGGGAATCCAAATCCTAGAGAGGATACATTATATATGTCATGGTAATGCGCTTAGCTTAGCTCATGATTCAAGGCCAATCGATGATCCTTGGCAAAGTGCCCGCGCATGCGGAGATACATTTATGCTATACCTATATAAGCTCGAGTGACCAAGATGAACGAATAAACGGAGAACATGCACGTGCACGAGCTTGCCGCCTCAGGCAATTGGACGTCAAACAAATTGAAAAAAATTCTACCACTCCCTGACAAATACCGTCTTACCGCACATGTTACAACATTATGCCTAAGTGCAGGCTGGAATATTGGACACTGGAACATGTTGAGGTTGATCTTGAAAAGAATGCGGTGGAACTCAAGTCCCCGCAATATACCCGTGTGGCAACGGCGGTACAGCTTGCTACTGGAGGACGTCCATCATTCTAACGTGAGTGTGATGACGAGATCCAGGGTGTACGCCTCATGTATAGCTCCAAGAGCATTTGCGTGGAGCATGAATAATTGACATCCGTGAGGAGCAATCGGGGTGGCGGGAAAATCTGCGATGCATTCGTGGTGTCGTGGGACTGCGGTATCGGACTGGGGGGCAACTCATGGTACAGCAAAAAACGGCAATTATAGCTTGCAATGCTTGAGCTGTATGTCAACGATTAATCAGGTAGTCAGACACGCTCATCTGGTCAAAGCAGTGTGGATAAGGCACAGACAACAAGTAACAGGAATGATTGTGACTTACGGTGGAGCCACGAGGCATCTGCTTCGAAAGATAAACGCCGCACCATGAATTTCATTGTTCCGATGAAAGACAACATGATGGCAGAGAGCGAAAGCAGACACCACCTGAAAAGGTTATCGAATCTTCAAATAACAATATAGGCATATAACTAAGGGAAAACCAATAATAAACAAGAGGATGAGAAAGGACTCTGGTCAATGGAATGATGTGGCCTTTAGTTTATAAAGCGGGTGAGTGCAGAACGAAAGAGTGCGAGATGAACGGACCTGGTCATGAAAATTCCCATGCAAGCTCTCCCAGTTTTGTGCCCTGTACCTGGTACCCTCTAGATGCCTTCCTCTCCTTCCTCTGCTCTGACTGAGAGCGTACAGCCTTTGCTGGTACATTCTCAACCTCGACTAATTCCTTCACCTTGAGAATTTTTCCTGCAGCTTCTGGACTGTGGACTTGATACACGGTTTGCATGCGTCTATGCAGCCCGAGTGCTACCAAGGTTTCCTTCTTCCGTTCACCTAGTGCAATTGCAGAGCGGCGGAGAGTGATTTTGAAGTGGGTGTTTGGTTCTGATTTAGACGCTACTTTTGTTTGTGCCGCTGTCGCGAATGACCGTGACGAAGGCCTGAATATGTTGTTCGATGTTATGCGGAACAGCGACGCCATAGTCCTTGCAAAGTTTCAGTCGATGCGGCAAATGTCAATTTCGATGTTCGCTTACTAATCAAGTGTTGAATATTGGTCCAAATTGGGACGCGTTGGAACTCCTGATTCACGATTGCGTTTGTCGAGATGAGCTCACTATATCGCTCTGCAATCAGTGCCCGAATAGCAAAGTTACCACAGCTACCACCAAGTTACGAGGACGATGATGAAAAATCCGAGATTGCTGATGGAATCGGCGAACTCTCGACTGGCATGGGGCCACCTCCACTGTATGTCACCTTCCATCAGAGTCCAATTCTTTCTTGCTCACTGTTGAATAGACCACGGCCAAGTACATCAACACGAAAGCCAAAGCCACCAAATCCCGAATTCAAGCCATCAAGTCCTGCTTCATACTTTTCACAGGCATTGCAGATATCGCTCCCTACCCGAGCCCTCGACGTTCGGGTATATTACACTCCTCCGAAGTACGACAATGGAGGTGTTATAGTATTCCACCACGGTGCAGGATATGCGGGTACAAGCTTTGCATGTCTCGCGAAAGAGATAAGTGAGGTCATGAGGGATAATGTCGGTGTTCTGGCCTTTGATGCCAGGAGACATGGTATGTATTCGCTTCAGGTGGATGCTGAATATTCATCGTCTTTTCAGGAAAGACAACGTCATCTCAGTCTGATGAAGACCTTTCGATCAATGTCCTTGTTGATGATTTTTGTGCTCTGCTACAGACGATCTACCCAGATGTGGCAGCAGCTCCGAATTTAATGGTAAGCTTCATTCTCCCTTTTATGCAAATCGAATTAACGACACTCTGGATAGCTTGTTGGACACAGCATGGGAGGATCTGTCTGCGTTCGCGCCTGTCCCATACTTCAACAACGCAAATACAATATCGCAGGAGTAGCCGTTTTGGATGTAGTAGAAGGTACCTATTATTACATCAAATCCTGTAATTTACTCGAGTTTGACCCATCACCAATAGGCACAGCAGTAGAAGCGCTGCCTCACATGCAGGCGATTCTCAATTCTCGACCCGAGGGTTTCGATAGTGTTGAAGAAGCAATCGAATGGCAGTACGTGTTTGGCGTTGCCTTTCGTAAATGCTATATTCACGTTTGCTCATACAGCGTCAATACGGGCCTTATCCATAATCCCATTTCTGCCCGTGTTTCGATTCCATCTATCGTTGTTCCTGCGGATTCTCCTCTTACGCCCAGCACGCGTGCAAATATTGGATTCAAATACAAGTGGCGTACACCACTCCGGTCGACGGCGCCATACTGGGACAGTAAGCCTACGCTTGCTCCCTTGACTTGCACCACCCGCTCATACCGATTGACTTTCAGGTTGGTTCCCATCGCTGTCGTCTCTATTCCTCGGGCTTCGCTCCGCACGGCTCTTAGTATTAGCAGGCGCAGAGCGCCTTGATACGACGCTCATGGTCGGTCAGATGCAGGGCAAATTCTGGCTCGAAGTTATGGCTGGTTCGGGTGTGGGACATCTCGTGCACGAGGTTCGTCGCTTGCTTGCGATAGACGTTTACTTATTTATGTTGACATGAAATTAGGACGATCCGACAAAACTGGCAGAGATTCTGGCAGATTTCTGGAGGCGCAATGAACGCATCGTGGTTCGAGGTAACGTCATCAAGGCGGTCGGGGAGGTTTAGACGAGTTAGACATGTCAATCAACGTATCTTTGGTTGTGCGCTTTTTTTCTTTTTCCGCAGCGTAATCGTTGCGCGCGTCGACCTAAATCACAGGCAAGGTGCAGGACATAGGTAACATGAACTTTGAAGACGGTCGCATTATTGGGTCAAAACTTACTCTCCACTAATAAGGAGACATCCCATCAAAATTCAAGTAAGGTACCTCAGATAAATGTGCTGATACGAATAGAACCAAGATCTTTCGTCCAGCTTCGTCTCATGCAAAATGAGAATGAGGCCAAATATACAGTGGTTGGGCTAGGATAGAGCGTTAGCTGGGTTCGAACGCTGGCGAGTTTGCTGTTGGGTGGGCGGGAAACTCGAATGCAGTTGAATGAATGACCTTCATAAGCATTTATGGTATACGAAACTGGTATTATTGAAGGAATGTTAAAGTGCCAATGTAAATCAACGGCAAATTGAATATTACAATGTGATGGCAAAAATGAGTGAGTGAGTGAGCGAGAGTGTGTGTAAAACGAGCGAGCGGGTCGTATGGTGCAGTGAGGAAAAACAAATTGCGAGGGAAGGTGATGTTAATTGCCGCTCAGCTGCCAGTTCCTCACGAATTTAATTTGTCGTAGCATAGGTGTACTCAGTGGTGGCGAATCCGACTTGAGAGTTTGTCGTGTCGAACACCGAGTAAAAACGCTCACTATGGAAGAACAATTCAGTATTTTATTTTCCCGGAGAAAAATGTAGCTCAACGTACAGGAAACAGTAGCCATTCGTGAAATCATCACCAGAACCACTGGAACTCCCACTGCTACTGACAACCAGGTATATACCGTCGCTGGTACCGTTAATGGCGCTGTTCAACGATCGAGGCCAGATTTGCGCATTCGGGGTGAGCTCATAAGTGACCTCGCCAATAGTGAGATACAAGGATGATAGCTGGTCGTACTGGTCGGATGAGATCTTTAACAAGCCAGTGGCCTCATCGAGGGTTCCCCCCGTGGCAGACTGATATTTGTCGAAGGCATCTGAATAGTGGTTTAGAAGGGTTTTCATGTCGCACGGGACACCTACCGGAGGGAATGTAAATCAGGGTGGTTCCGGTATCGACGATACCAGCTGTCTCATCTAAAATGAGCGTATCCCCATAGCTGATGGATTGATTAATGCCCCAATATCCACTCGCTGGAGATGTCGATGTGATCGGCACGTAGCTAACGCCTCCAGTGATTTTGGAGGTGTCATAACCACCGAATGTGAGCTCGCCACTACTATTATCGGAGGAAGCAGGTGCGAAGAACACTCCGAGTACTTCCGAACTAATCGTTTCCTGATGATAGAGGTTGTCCATCACAGTTGCAACTTGACCTTGATTACTGACGGTGCCTCGCGTTAAACCAACTGGTCCAAGGCCAAGAAATCCATCCAGGCCCTCCGTCCCTAAGGATACACGTGCGACGCCAATAGATTGGTTGTCGATGACCAAATCAGAGTTGAGCGTCACGGTGTCTGTATATTCCTCTCCAGCAACGTCCCCACTACCATATGCAACCCACTGGAAGCGGTCTGACAAAATGTATGTGCCACGTGGAAACAAACACTCACGAAGATACCGCCTGTGTCATGGCTTGTAGCAGTCTTCTTGTAAGCCTCATCCTCGATCCAAGTATTTGAGCTTCCCGTGTCTACCAGAACTGTGTCTGAATCGACAATGCGTCAGATAAAGAAATGGCAGGTAAACGAGCAGCTTACAGTACGTTGGTGGACTCCCCACGCCAATGTCAGCGGTGTATAGCATCACATTATTGGTTGCACTGATGGAAGAGCTGCCGCCAGCTTGTCGGGCTTGGATTCGAGCTCTATCTGCAGCCGCGATGTTCTTGATCCCGTACGAGTTTATTCTAACAGCGAGCTTGAGCGTAGCTGGGCTTGACGCTGTCCGAGGATGAGGCAAAGCGCTCGCTGATAGAGAGAAGAAGGCAAGCGCCGGCAGGGCAAGAAGAAATGAAAGCGATCTAGTAGAGGGAACCATCTTGCCGATGGCATCCCTCCTACTAGTACCTGGGCCGTTTTATATGGTGCCAGTCGGTAGTAGAAATATCATAACGTTACTCTGGGAATATCATGGAGGCGAACAATAGCAAGGCTTCGAGGCAACTACGTTAGCTGCTTGAAATGTAACTAGGCCCGGGGCTCTTTGTGTGGAGACCATTTCCTGCGTAGATGAGTGTCGGTTAGTAAGTGGCTGCAGGGGAAGTCTGGAAATGACCTTTGGATGACCTGCAGGGGAACCTGTTTAGCAGAAACCTGATCGGTAATTCATTGAGAAAGGCAATTTTAGGCTTGCTATAGCCCGTTTGAACATTTATTTACATAACGTAGATTTTTTTTAAAGTTCAACGTTCAAGCTCAAGCTCAAGCTCAAGCTCAAGGCCCATTTGGAAGTTCTGAATCCGAATGCATTGATTGATTCAAACAATTGCGTGGTTTGCATTGATTTCTATGATCAGTAACGTTAACCCATGGGCCATGTTAGCCCACCTTACTACACCAACCACTCAGTCGGACCCGTTTACCTGCTCCGCTCTATCTGCCAACTCGTCTAAATTCATGTCAGTAGTGTAGTAATACTGAAGTCATCATGCGTGGTGTGGGACGGCCAATGCGCCAACTGTAAACTATATCTTACACCAAACTCGGGAATTAGCCGGATAACCCATATGCGTGGTATTCCGGTTACACGACCAAGTGTGCTCTTTCTTTGCGGGCGGGAAACTCGGCATGCAGGCAGAATGAGTGACCTCTATGAGCATTTAAACTAGTATTAGCGAAGGAATGTTAACGTGCCAATGTAAATCAATGGCAGATTGAATATTACAATGCGATGCCAAAAATGAGTGAGTGAGCGAGCGAGAGTGTGTGTAAAACGAGCGAGCGAGTCGTATGGTGCATTGAGGAAGAACAAACTGCGAGGAAAGGCGATGCCAACTGGTGCTCAGCTGTCAGTTCCTTATGAATTTAATTTGTCGTGGCATCGGTGTACTGAGTGGTGGCGAACCCGACTCGAGAATTTGTCGTGTCGAACACCGAGTAAAACCGCTCGCTATGGAATAACAATTCAGTATTTTATTTTCCCTAAATAAAATTGTAGCTTAACGTACAGGAAACAGTAGCCATTCGTGAAATCCAAGCCAGAACCGCTGGGAGTCCCAGTGCTACTGACAACCAGGTATATACCGTCGGTGGTACCGCCAATGGCGCTGTTCAATGATCGAGGCCAGATTTGCGCATTCGGGGTGAGCTCGTAAGTGAGCTCGCCAATAGTGAAATACAAGGATGACAGCTTCTCGTACTGATCGGATGAGATCTGTAGCAAGCCAGTGGCCTCATCGAGGGTTCCCCCCGTGGCAGACTGATATTTGTCGAAGGCATCTGAATAATGGATTAGAAGGGTTGTCATGTCGCATGGGACACCTACCAGTGGCAATGAGAATCAGGGTAGTCCCGGTATCGACAATACCAGCTGTCTCAACCAAAATGGGCGTAGATCCATAGCTGATGGATTGGTCAATGCCCCAATATCCATTCGCTGGAGATGTCGATGTGATCGGCACGTAGCTAACGCCTCCAGTGATTTTGGAGGTGTCATAACCACCGAATGTGAGCTCGCCACTGCTATCACCCGAGGAAGCAGGTGCAAAGAACACTCCAAGTACTTCCGAACCAATCGTTCTCTGCTTATAGAGGTTGTCCGTCACAGTTGCAACTTCGTATGTATTGCTGACGGTGCCCTGCGTTAAATCAACTGGTCCAACGCCAAGAATTCCATCCAGGCCATCCATATCTGAGGATTGAGATGCGACGCCGATAGATTGGTTTTCAATGACCAGGTCAGAATTGAGCGTTACGGTGTCTGTATATTCCTCTCCAGAAACAGAACCAATGCCATATTGAACACTCTGGAAACGGTTTGACAAATGTACGTGCCACGTAGAAACAAACACTCACGAATGTATTGCCCGTGTCCTTGCTTGTAGCAGTCTTTGCGTAAGCTTTGTTGGCCCCGATCCAGGTATTTGAGCTTCCGGTGTCTACCAGAACTGTGTCTGTGTGAAATTGACAATACGTCAGATAAAGAAATTGCAGAACCACGAGCAAGCTTACAGTACGTTGGTGGACTCCCTACGCCGATATCAGCGGTGTATGTTGTCACATTATTGGTTAGACTGATGGAAGAGCTGCCGCCAGCTTGTAGGGTTTGGATTCGAGCTCTATCTGCAGCCGCGATGTTCTTGATCCCGTACGAGTTTATTCTAACGGCGAGCTTGAGAGTAGACGTGCTTGACGCTGTCCGAGGATGAGGCAAAGCGCTTGCTGACAGAGAGAAGAAGGCAAGCGCCGGCAGGGCGAGAAGAGATGAAAGCAATCTAGAGGTAACCATTTTCCGATGGCATCCTTCCTACTAGTACCTGCACCATTTTATATGGTGGTCGGTGGTAGAAGCATCATAACGTTATTCCGGAAATATCATGGAGGCGAACAATAGCAAGGCTTCGAAGCAACTACGTTAGCGCTTGAAATGTCACTAGGCCCGGCGCTCATTGTTGACTTGTGTGGATATATACTATGTCCTATGAATTCATCTACGCAGGAAATGAGTTAGTAGCTGCAGGGGAAATCTGGAAATGACCTTTGGATGACCTGCAGAATTTTATTACACTGTGAGCCTGTTTAGCAGAAACCTGATCAATAATTCATTGAGAAAGGCGTGATTCAGCCCATTTGAACATGTATTTACATAACGTAGATTTTTTTTAAAGTTCAAGTCATATTTGGAAGTTCTAGTCGCAGTACTAGTAGCTTGATCAGCCGATCAAGCCATCGTGTGGTTTGCATTGATGGCGGAATATTCTATGACTAGTAACCTCACGTTGCACCAACCCTGGGTCGGACCCGTTGACTTACCTGCTCCGCTCTATCTACCAACTTCATGTCAGTGCCATAGACCTGAAGGTACTGGCTAATGCGCTGACTGCAAACTATTGTTATAATTCATTGTTGGTGATACCTGTACACCGAACTTGGGAATTAGCTGGGTGACTGGTACAGATTAGGATTCTATAGGCACTTGATCGTGTGTCTGAATACTATGATGCTGATAACAAACCGGCAAGCTTCTAATCAAGATCTTCCTCGTGTGCACAGAACCATGACTCTGATCTCAGGGCTTCATACCTTTTTATAACTTTGCTATACAGTGGACATAACGGGGTTAATCTTATGCTGAGCACACATAAGATGCTGGAAGAAAGTCGTCATGGTCAGAGTCCGGTCGGTAAGTTTACCATAGCACCATCGCTCTCAATCATGGACCAATGCACATTGAACACAAAATTCAAGTACGTTACGTTGGGCATATATGCTGATATGAATAGGAATTTAATTTGTTATAGCATAGGTCCACTCAGTGGTGGCGAACCCGACTTGGGAGTTTGTCGTGTCGTACACCGAATAAAATCGCTCGCTATGGAAGAACAATTCAGCAACAAATTTTCCTGGAAAATGTAACTCGACGTACAGGAAATAGTAGCCGTTCACGAAATCCAAGCCAGAACCGCTGGGGCTCCCAATGTCAGCGAGGACCAGGTATATGCTGTTGGCATCACCGTGAACGGCGGTGTTCAACGATCGAGGCCAGATTTGCGCATTCGGGGTGAGCTCGTAAGTGACCCCGTCAATGGTGAAATACAAGGATGACAGCTGGTCATACTGGTCGGATGAGATTTGTAACAAGCCAGTGGCCTCATCGAGGGTTCCCCCCGTGGCAGACTGATATTTCTCGAAGGCATCTGAATAATAGATTAGAAGGGTTTTCATGTCGCACGGGACACGTACCAGTGGCAATGAGAATCAGGGTGCATCCGGTATCGACGATACCAGCTTTCTGATTCAAAATGGGCGTATCCCCATAGCTGATGGATTGATCAATGCCCCAAAATGTACTCGCTGGAGATGTCGATGTGATCGGTACGTAGCTGATGTCTCCAGTGATTTTGGAGGCGTCATAATCGCCGAATGTGAGCTCGCCACAGCCATCATCGGAGGAAGCAGGTGCGAAGAACACTCCAAGTACTTCCGAACCAATCGTTCCTTGCGTATAGAGGTTTTCCATCACAGGTGCAACTTCACCTGTATTACTGACGGTGCCTCGCGTTAAATCAACTGGTCCAAGGCCAAGAAATCCATCGATGCCTGCAGTTACTGAGGCTTGAGATGCGACGCCAATAGATTGGTTGCTGATAACCAGATCACAGTTAAGCGTTACAGTGTCTGTATATTCCTCTCCAGAAACGGAACTACCATCGCCATATGCAATACTCTGGAAACGCTTTGACAAAATGTATGTGTCCCGGAAAAACAAACACTCACGAATGTATTGCCTGTGTCCTGGCTTGTGGCAGTCTTCTCGTAAGGTTTTTTGGCCCCGATCCAGATATTTGCGTTTCCGGTGTCTATCAGAACTGTGTCTGTATGAAATCGACAATGTCTCAGATAAAGAAATTACGGAAGCACGAGCAGCTTACAGTACGTTGGTGGACTCCCCACGCCGATGTCAGCAGTGTATATCGTCACATTATTGGTTACACCGATGGAAGAGCTGCCGCCAGCTTGTCGGGCTTGGATTCGAGCTCTATCTGCAACTGCAATGTTCTGGATCCCGTACGAGTTTATTCTCACAGCGAGCTTAAGAGTAGCCGTGCTTGACGCTGTCCGAGGATGAGGGGAAGCGCTCGCTGACAGTGAGAGGAAGGCAAGTGCCGGGAGGGCAAGAAGGGATGACAGCGATCTGGAGGGAACCATGGTGGTCTGTAGTAAAAGCATCAGAACGTAATATCTGAATGACAGAAGCGAACGATAACATGATTTCGAAATGATTACCTTAACTTGAAATGTGACTGGGCACGGGGCTCATCGATGCATCACCGCGTGGAGATGTATTTACTATTCGAGTCCCATGAAATTCATCTATGCAGGAAATAATTGTCGGATAGTGAATATTTGAATAGTTGCAGCGGAAGTCTGAAAATGACCTGCAGGATTTTATTGTAAAACCTGTTAGCCAAAACCCTCAGTAGTACTAGCCAGTGTCACTGAACAAGAAAGGCGCGCGTGATATGGCAATTTCAAACATTATTTACGTAACGCTCTACACTTGTTCATTTTAGTTCTGTTACAACTCGGAGCCTTGATCACTTTGGAGTCAAAATTCTATCTTCGCGCGCTCCACAGAGATATTGAGTCCCGTCAGTGCCAAGTTCTTCAAAGTTCGTTCCATAGATGTCCCATTGCCTGCTCTCAATCATGGACCGATGCACACTAAACACAATTCAAGTAAGGTACGTTGGGTATATAAGCTGATACGAATAGAACGGTGATCGCGCAGGAAGAGGAATTTAATTTGTTGTAGCGTAGGTGTACTTAGTGGTGGCGAACCCGACTTGGGAGTTTGTCGTGTCGTACACCGAGTAAAACCGCTGGCTATGGAAGCACAATTCAGCAATTTATTTTCCCGGAAAAAGTAACTTGACGTACAGGAAACAGTAGCCGTTCGTGAAATCCTCGCCAGAACCACTGGGGCTCCCAATGTCAGCGATGACCAGGTATATGCTGTTGGCATCACCGCCAACGGCGGTGTTCAACGACCGAGGCCAGATTTGCGCATTCGGGGTGAGCTCATAAGTAACCTCACCAATAGTGAAATACAAGGATAAGAGCTGGTCGTACTGGTCGGATGAGATTTGTAACAAGCCAACATCCTCATTGAAGGTCGCCCCCGTGGCAGACTGATATTTGTTGAAGGCATCTGAATAGTGGATTAGAAGGGTTCTCATGTCGTACAGGACACCTACCAGTGGCAATGAGAATCAGGGTGCTTCCGGTATCGACGATACCAGCTGTCTCATCTAAAATGGGCGTATCTCCATAGCTGATGGATTGATCAATGCCCCAATATGTACTCGCTGGAGATGTCGATGTGATCGGCACGTAGCTGACGTCTCCGGTAATTTTGGAGGCATCATAACCGCCGAATGTGAGCTCGCCACTGCTATCATCGGAGGAAGCAGGTGCGAAGAACACTCCGAGTACTTCCGAACCAATCGTTCCTTGCGTATAGAGATTTTGCGTCACAGTTGCAACTTCGTCTGTATTACTGACGGTGCCCTGCGTTAAACCGACTGGTCCGACGCCAAGAAGTCCATCGACACCGTCACCTATAGAGGTGCTAGATGCAACGCCAATAGATTGGTTGTCGATAACCAGATCAGAATTGAGCGTTACGGTGTCTATATATTCCTCTCCAGAAGCATATTTCTTTGCGTCCTTCTTTGCGTCCGACTCGTAGCCGTATGCAACGTACTGGAAACGGTTTGACAAAATATATGTGTCCCGGAAAAACAAACACTCACGAATGTATTGCCTGTGTCCTGGCTTGTGGCAGTCTTTTCGTAAGCTTTGTTGGCTCCAATCCAGGTATTTGAGCTTCCGGTGTCTACGGAGAGTGTGTCTGCATGAAATTGGCAATGCATCAGAAAAAGAAACTGGGGAGCACAAGCAGCTTACAGTACGTTGCTGGACTCCCAACACCAATATCAGCGGTGTATATCACCCCAGTACTGGTCACAGTGATAGAAGAGCTGTCGCCAGCTTGTCGGGCTTGGATTCGAGCTCTATCTGCAGCTGCAATGTTCTTGATCCCGTACGAGTTTATTCTAACGGCGAGCTTAAGAGTAGCCGGGCTTGACGCTATGCGAGGATGAGGGGAAGCGCTCGCTGACAGTGAGAGGAAGGCAAGTGCCGGGAGGGCAAGAAGAGATGACAGCGATCTGGAGGGAACCATCTTTTTGATGTGGCATCCTTCCTAGGTGAGCCATTTTATATGGTGGTCTGTAATGAAAGGCATCAGAACGTTATTCTGGCAATATCTGAATCACAGAAGCAAACAATAGCAAGATTTCGAAATGACTACGTTAACTTGAAATGTGACTGGGCCCGGGGCTCATCGCGTGGAGATTCAGATGCTATTCGAGTCCCATGAATCATCTATGCAGGAAATAATTGTGGGTTAGTGAATAGTCGCAGCAGGAGTCTGAAAATGACCTTTGAATGACCTGCAGGACTTTATTATAAAACCTGTAACAAAAACCCTCAGTAGATTTCTGAAAGGCGTGATTGGCAATTTCAGCTCATTTGAACATTATTTACGTAAACGCTCTGTCCAACTCGGAGCCTTAATTGGTTCCGACACGAGTCCGAGTATTTGGTACATACCCTGTTCCAACTCGGAGCCTTGATCGGGTTTGAGTCAGAATTCTGCTTTCGCCACTGGCAGGAAACGGATTGCTCATTCAACTTAGTGAGTGCATGAGACGGAATGTTTTTTAAAGCTTACTTCAATCGAGGATCCAGAAACGGACAACATGTCTAAGTCGTCGTTGCTGTTTGCGAGTGTGAGGATGTTGATGCATTGATGGCTGACAGGGACGGTGGTATTGACGCGGGCTCGTGTTTTCGAATACTTGTCTGATGCCGATAACTTATAGAACACAATGGTACAATCCTCCATACCTGAGACATTGATGCTGAATAACTCGGCAACAGCGTATCCAGCACTGTCAGCAAGATAATATAGAAAGCAGGCTTCGGTAGAGAATGATGATGTGAAGATGCCAGCGTTCCAGGAGTACGGCACACATGGTCAGTCAGGCTATCATCTAGACTTATACCGCCACAAAGCGCGATCACACTTAACAGTTGTACAATGTGCAAGTCCAGGACACAAAGAATGAATGACTGCCTTCCTCATGTGTCGTGGGCTATCTGGAGCTGATCAAGCACAACTTATCTCTGGCAGGCGCTTGAGACCCGTATGTGAACCGTCTTCCTGATACGGTTCAATGTCCTAGGCCTCTGCCCAATGTAGACTAGTAAGCATCAAGGATCAATACCAACGCTATACTGTACCTCCGTGTATCGAGCTAACCGTAATGCGTCACAGGGCCTTGGTTACATTTCTAATTTATGCCCCACCATAACGCGTTAGAGGAGGTCAGCCACTCCAACATACAGGCATCCGATGATGGGCCACTGGTTGCTAACTTTGCAACTGCTGCGGTACGTCACCCACAATCCACGCCATACGGTTGCCTCTATACACAGATATATAGTTCAAGAACACATCGATGCGCTAACCAAGCTCAGGTGCTTACCAATGATGCCGCTCAGCCTTTAAAAAGAGTTTCAAGATTGGCCGCAGCACTTCAAACGCCATGTCTCAGTACGCCATGATGCAGACACTTGTCCTGTATGACACCCTCTCCAACCTACCAGGCAATAACCTTTCAGCCAACCCCGCAAAATCGAGGTCAGTAATTCATATTCTGTATGTCACACTTTGGTATCTGACCAGCCTACTGCGCCCTAGATTCGTTTTGAGCTACAAGGGTCTTCCGTTCGTGACTGTCTGGGTCGAATACTCAGACATCTCGATCGCTATGAGGGCTATCGGTGCAAAGCCAAACAAACGCTCAGACGGCTCGGATTTTTGCACCGTTCCCGTCCTCAACGACCCTAACACCGGCGCCCTCATCAGTGACTCCCTCGAAATCGCCTCCTACCTCGAGAAGACATATCCTGAGAAGGCCATTTTTCCCAACAACTCAGAATCCTTGATACGCGAGTTCAACTCCACCCATATCAGACTCATTCTACCCGCTTTTAAGTCTATCTTCGTACGCTCCGTAGAAGTATTGAGTCCCGCCAGTGCTAAATTCTTCATCAAAGTTCGTTCCATAGACATCCCGCTGCCTTGGGATGCGACTTACGACGAAGACTGGGCCCTACTAGAGAAGGGGTTCAATACTGCTTACAAATGGTATCAGAAGACAGATGGGAAGTGGTACATGGGCGACACTTTTTCGTATGCAGACATCATTGTAGCTTGTTATTTGCTGTGGTTCAAACGAGTTCTGAAGGAGGATGAGTGGGTCAGGATCAGTTCTTGGAATGGGGGGAAATGGGCTCAAGTTCTCGCAGATGTTGAGAAGGAGTGCGGAATAGCGTAGGAGATTGCGTGTACTATAGCAGACATTTAAAACAATGATGAGTTCCTTCAACAGGTCAACCCAGGCCACCGTCGTAACCACGAAGTGAGCACCACACGTCTGGCTTAGGTCAATGTTGTGTGGGCCTGGACCCCCTGAGCCTGAGCTGATTGAACTAACTTACTAACATAGATAGCAGTGCACACGGTCAGTCAGGCTGAGTCATCGATGCATAGACTTATACAGCCACAAAGCGCGCATCAAGTTTTGTACATGCATGCAGGCCACAAAGAAGGAATGGCTGCCTCCCTTGTGTGTGGTGGGCTGCTGGGAGCTGATCAATTATAACATCTGGCGGGCACTTGACACCCGTACGTGAACCTCTTTTTGATGACTCAACGCCCTAGGCCTCTTAGTACGCATCAAGGATCAATACCAACACTATCATATACTGTACCTCTATATGTGGAGGTAACCGTAATGCGCCTTGGTTGCATTTCTGAATCATACCCCACCATAATGCGCGTCGCGTTAGAGGTAGGTCAGCCACTCCGACACAGCTTCCGATGACACCACTTGGTTGCTAACTTTCCAACTGCGGCGGTACATCGCCCATGATCCATGCTGCATGGAGGTATGGTTCCGATGTTCAAGCATGCTAACCAAGCTCAGATGCTTACCAATGATGCCACTCAGCCTTTAAAAAGAGTTTCAAGATTGGCCGCAGCACTTCAAACCCCACGTCTTAGTACACCATGACGCAGACACTTGTCCTGTATGACATCCTCTCCAACCTACCAGGCAACAACTGGTCACCCAACCCTGCAAAGCCGAGGTCAGTAATTCATGTCCTGTATGTCACTTTGATATCTGACCAAGGTCTACTATGCCTCAGGCTCGTTTTGAACTACAAGGGTCTTCCGTTCGTGACTGTCTGGGTCGAGTACGCAGACATCTCAACCGCTATGAGGGCTATCGGTGCAAAGCCAAACAAACGTTCAGACGGCACGGATGTTTACACCGTCCCCGTCCTCAGCGACCCTAACACCGGCGCCCTCATCAGTGACTCCCTCGAAATCGCCTCCTACCTCGAGAAGACATATCCCGAGAAGGCCATTTTTCCCAACAACTCAGAATCTTTGATACGCGAGTTCGACTCTGCCCATTTCAGATTCATCGTACCTGGTGTAAAGCCTATCTTCACACGCTCCACAGAAATAATGAGTCCCGCCAGTGCGAAGTTCTTCATCAGAGTTCGTTCGATAGACATGCCGCTGCCTTGGGATGCGACTCACGGTGAAGACTGGGCCCCACTAGAGAAGGGGTACAATACTGCTTACGAATGGTACCAGAAGACAGACGGGAAGTGGTTCATGGGCGACACTTTTTCGTATGCAGACATCATCGTGGCTTCTTGTTTGTTGTGGTACAAACGAGTTTTGAAGGAGGATGAGTGGGTCAGGATCAGTTCTTGGAATGGGGGGAAATGGGCCCAACTTCTTGCGGATGTTGAGAAGGAGTGCGAATTGGCGTAGAGGATTGCGCATACTATCACATTTATTTCGGAGACATTTCAAACAATGATAAGTTCCTTCCACAGGTCAACGCAAGCCAGCATCATAGTCACAAAGTGTGCACGCTTAGGTCAATGTTGTGGGCCTGGACCCCCTGAGCCAGGATTGGACTAACAAATAGCTGCCGGCTCGGACTGCTCGGTATCAATTGTGTCCACCTTTGCAATCCTTTTGACCTCCAAGTTGCTCTTCCAGCACGCCGTAGAACACTGACGCAAGCTCACATCCTGTTATCACTTCTCATTGCTCCTTTTTCGTTCTTTCGTTCCAGTGCTGTGTGGCGACCACCTGTACTTTTCATGAATTGGTCCCCAGGTATCACGACAATACAACAATACAACAATAAAAACTACTGGAAATAAAACGGTTACATCGTTCTACCTGGGGGTGACTTCACGATATGCAAACAATATTCACTGTCCTCCTGTTACCCACTGTTGTCTCACGCTATTCTCACAGGAACCAATAGAACCTCTCAGTGACGGCAATTGTGTGTTGCCTATTCTCATTGTGGCTGTGAAACAGACATTGACGAAGCTCTCGCTTTTCTTTTCCCGGCGCACATACTGGCTGATGGGCTCGCGTTTGCCTCGAACGTGCGTTCTTCTCTCCACAAAACCTATTTTGCGTTATTAACAGCTCTACATCGTCGATTCGTCGAAGTCCAACTGCTCAAGAGCCACTGTATTCGACGAATCACGTTTTATTCTCATCCTTACTGCTCCTGTTGGACAGTGAAACGCAAACAGATTCATTGGCGACTACTCTCAAAGGCTGCCAAGGTTTCGCTCTCTCGCACAGTTCTCGATTTCAGAACAGATCTCTTTGCTCATTCGTCAACCATATGTCCCGTGTCAAAAGCCGTCGAGTTTGAAGAGGAAGCGAAGGGACATTGGTGCAGGTATAGTGTATAAAAGTCTGCCTTTGCAATAAAGCAACGACCGATGGTCACCCCTTGTACTAACATAGATACGGTCAGTCAGGCTGAGTCATCTAGACTTATACAACCACAAAGCGCGCATCACATTTTGTAGAATGTGCAAGTGCAGGCCACAAAGAAGGAATGGCTGCCTCCCTTGTGTGTAGTGGGCTGCTGGGAGCTGATTAACTATAACCTCTGGCACCTGTAAGTGAACCTTCTTCTCGATGATTCAATGTCCTGGGCCTCTTACTAGTATGCATCAAGGATCAATACCAACACCATACTCTATGCGTGCGTGTAACCGTAATGCGCCCAATTGGTTGCATTTCTAATTCATACCCCCATTAGAGGAGGTCAGGCACTCCAACGCAGCATCTGATGACACCACTGGCTGCTAACAAGGTGCAAGCTTTTTCTCATTCTCATATGTATTTGGTTCTGCTGGCACGACGGCGCCTTTTTATTCTGGTCCTATTGGTGTCAATCTTTCCAACTGCGGCGGCGGTACATCGCCCATAATCCATGCTGCATGGAGGTATAGTTTCGCTGTTCAAGAATGCTAACCAATGAAGCCGCTTAGTCTTTAAACAGATTTTCAATATCGCTGGCACGACGCTGTCTCTTTATTCTGGTTCTATCGCTATCAATCTTTCCAACTGCGGTGGTACTACATCGCCCATAATCCATGCTGCATGGAGGTATAGTTCCGGTGTTCGAGGATGCTAACCAAGCTCAGATGCTTACCAATGAAGCCCCTCAGCCTTTAAAAAGAGTCTCAAGATTGGCCGTAGCACTTCAAACCGCACGTCTTAGTACACCATGACGCAGACACTTGTCCTATATGATATCGTCTCCAACTTACCAGGCATTAGCTGGTCACCCAACCCCGCAAAGCCGAGGTCAGTAATTTATGTTCTGCATGTTACTTTGATATCTGACCAAAGTCTACTACGTCTCAGGTTCGTTTTGAGCTACAAGGGTCTTCCATTCGTGACTGTCTGGGTCGAGTATGCAGACATCTCGACCGCTATGCAGGCCATCGGTGCAAAGGCAGACAAACATTTAGACGGCATGGATGTTTACCCCATCCCGGTCCTCAGCGACCCTAACACTGGTGCCCTCATCACCGACTCCCTCGAGATCGTCTCCTACCTCGAGAAGACATATCCCAAGAAGCCTGTTTTTCCTAACAACTCAGAATCCCTGATCCGCGAGTTCAACTCTACCCATTTGGACCAGATCATTACGCCTTCTATCAAGTCCATCTGGGTACGCTCCACGGACATCATGAGTCCCCGCAGTGTGAAGTTCTTCACCAAAGCTCATTCCATAGACATCACGCTGCCTTGGGATAAGAGTTACGATGAAGATTGGGCCCTGCTAGAGAAGGGGTACAAGAATACTGTTTACAAATGGTACCAGAAGACAGACGGAAAGTGGTTCATGGGTGACACTTTTTCGTATGCAGACATCGTCGTCGCTTGTTACTTGCTGTGGTTCAAACGAGTTGTGAGGGAAGATGAGTGGGCCAGGATCAGTTCCTGGAATGGCGGGAAATGGGCCCAACTTCTTGCGGATGTTGAGAAGAAATGCAAGTTGGTGTAGAAAGAAGAAGTGCAAATTGGCGTAGAAGAATTGTGTATACTATAGCAGTTATCTCGAAGACATTTCAAACAATGATAGTTCACTCAATAGGTCAACATTGTAATCACGAAGTGCGCTGGCTTAGGTCAATGTTATGTGGGCCTGGGCCCTTCTATGTTAAGCCCAAGCCGACCTATCGTACTCATGACAAAATAGACACCAAAATCGCAGCGGGGACGGTACTCAAATACTCACCAGTCATGGCTTGGAAGAAACAGAACATTAGAAATAACTGGACGCAGGCTCATGATATGTATTTCTTGTCTTTGTCATTTCTTTGTACCCAAAACGATATCAAATATCGAACTCATACGTCTTTGATTCCGTCAGTAGCTCAGACGTCCCAGAACTTTACAGCCTTCTCTGCTGCTGTAAATTTTACCTCCTTGCTCGCTCACCCTCATTCTCTGTGGTGGTCACAGAGTCTGCCTTACAAAGCGACAGTGCAAGTGACATGATCCTCATCAAATATAAATTAGTAGGGGTGTCACGAGCGAGATCTTCACCAAAAGCCTCTGGAATGAGAAACCAAGGCAGATGAAGTGGAGCAGGGTTGCCAGTGAGAACAGCGGTGGGTGACCATAAGGAGTCGGCAGTGGAAGAATCAGGGTGATCGATGATGGTCACAGTAAAAACAACCAGTGGGGTGCCAGAAGTGTTCAAGGCCGGACCACGAGAGGGGAAGAGAACATCGCCCGCCAGCAGAGGAAAGAGTAAAATCAAGTGGGGCAATAGTCCATTGCAAATATATGTTGGGTAGGGCAATGGCAGGGAACAGCCCTCATCTGAGCCGCCTAAGTAACCACACAAAGGGAGAAAAGCCCAAGCTTATGCACCAACTGCGATACAACCCTCAAAAATCAACATATTGCGAATGTCCATCGTATCAGATCCTTTGCAGAATCAGATACACCTACATAATCCACAATGGGGGGTAAGTTCATCGTTAGCGGAGATGTCCGGTTCATATAGTGATTGAGGGTTGCGCAAAAGAATGTCATGGTGAACGATCGTAAGACTTACATTTCTCATTTCCGAATAATATACGACTCATCGCATCAAGACGAAATCCTATCAATAGCACTACGCGTTTAGCCGGAAAAATCACAATATGTTCCGTCCGTTGATGGCTTGGACCCGATGATAGCTGCCAACAGATCCTTGACATTATTGGCCAGGGAATTGAGAACGTAGATCTACATCATCAAAACCCTGAGTGGCTGTACAGCACCGCACAGTGCCGCAGTGCCATACAACCACTCAGGGTTCATAGGGAAGTCCCTCATGCACAGCCGAGCCACAATACTTGGGCACTTTTGCTGATGGAAGCGCACTGGTAAGTCTAGCAAGGTCCAGCAAGGTCCGGTTATTATCCCACAGCCACATGATGCCTTCAGAGGCTGTTGAATCACATTTAGTGATGTGCATGGCCCGGCTTTGGGCCGTGAGCTGGCCAAAGCCGGCCCCCATTGAGCCGGGCCAAGCCAGGCCAAAGTCATGGCCTGCTTAGGGCTTTGGCCTGGCCCACCATTTTGCAAAGCCGGAGCTGGCGGCTCGGGCCGGGGCTTTTAGTGTATTATGTATTGCCTCGGACTTGTGTTTCCAGTGCCAGATTCTATTTTTACTTTTGTCTTCTGCTTCGCCTCACCATCACCACACCATCGCTATGGCTGCTGCCACTCGACTGCATCCGCAATCACAATCATGATGATGGCTGCTGCCACTCATACAGATGCGCAGGCTTGTGTACAAGAAGAACTCAATAATGTTGTGGGGTGTACACGGCGTAGGTTATGCTTCGAGGTATGTCTTATTTGAGTTGCATTTTTGTCCTCTCACCTTTGGGTCTGACGTTCATGTTTCAACATTTAATCCTCAGCGTTGGATTGACGATGCACTGCGGTCATATGCGCAGTGATCTCCAATTTTTTACTTTTGGCTTTGGCCGCTGGTGAGTAGTATTGTTCATCTCTTAAATTTATTGTTACATCTAACTTTGTATGTCTTCATAGATATTTTAGGGTTTGGTTTGCATTACTTGATGTCTCCCTTCCAGCTCGTCTCGTCCATCTCCTCTCCCTCATTCTCCTCCTCGCCTTCTTCCCTCCTCCTGCTCTCATCCGTCGTCCGTATTCGTCCGAGCCACGTCAGCAGTTGCTGATGTGCACTGGGCGTTTACGCATGGCATTTGCGATGTTGGGAATGGTGTGGTGGAGCTACTCAATAACATTGTGGGGTGTACGCAGCGTAGGTTATGTCATTCATCTACTGGATAACATAATATTGTTTAATTTTTGTTCTATATACCTCTTAATCATTGATTTCATTTACCTACTCATTTTCGTACTCAGGCCGCAGCTCAGGCCAGGCCGGGCCAGGGCCAAGCCATTGTCGAGGGCTTTGGCCCGGCTTGTGATTTTTGGGAGCCCAAGCCGTCTGAAGCCAGGCCGAAGCCGGGGCTTTCGAGCCAAGCCGGGCCGGAACATCACTAGAATCACATTGGGGTTTTTGATATTTAGGGGAGGTTTATATTCTATGCATTGCTGACAGATTTCGAGGTAAAGATCAAGAAATCATCTCTATTCGACTGCTGAATACATCTGATTTCATACAATAGTCATTATACAATTGTGTAGCTATTGGGCTCAAAACCTGAAGAGTTTTGTGACCCGAAACATTGTTTTGAACCTGCAGAGAAAATCCAGGATGTGCTGTCATGCCCAAAACAGAAGGAGCCCTGTGACGTGTCAAGGTGTAGACTGGACTCCCACTTCAAAGGAGAAGGGCGAAGTGTTAACATACCTTATTAACTCATCAGAGGCATGGTATAATGAGTGAATGGCTCCAGCGCCAAGGATACTTGCAGATATGGTGCCAATATCAGCACATGTTTGTGCAAATACGCTGTGAAAGCTTCACTGGTCCATCTCCCCATGAAATTGACCACATTGAATGGGACCCCACACAACAAGTACTCTAGAGTCCCTCCAATGTGCAAGCCATGTCCCTTCAGGTTTCCCAAGTGTGCTCCCTTTACTATTCCGCTAACTCGTTTCCAGAATTCTGTCTGTGTCAAGGGCCTCATTCCTTTTGGATGTTTCCAGGTGAAAAGGTGAGATTCAGATGTTGGATTGTTAATGGCAAAATGATTGAGCAAAGCTGTCTTTGGATTGGTGTGATTGTCTTGTTGTGCCCAGTATACTCCTTGGCCATTGTCCAATGTCTTTGTGCACGGAAGATCTTTGTCATGAGAAGGTCATGGCGGTCTTTGACATCCATCTCTACATTTGAACATTTCACATGCTTCTTCGGATCAAAGGCCTTTAACGATTTGACTGTGAGCTCCCCCAAACAACACAGGGCATAAAAAGCCATTGTCAGACATGTGTAGACTGTGGTGTCAAGATGCTTGGAAAGATCTAGATGTGCATGAATGTTGAGAATGAGTTTCATAGAAAAGGGTTCCCATTTCATGTGTTTGGATGTGTCCGGGGTGAGTTCCATTGCTCCTTCTAACACTGCCTTCAATTCATCCTGTCGAACTCTCCATGGCTGGCCATGTAACTGAAGAAAAGTCGGGCCCCAGCAGTCAAACGGGCAAGGTTATAGACATAGGGAGTAACAATCCCAGCAGTAGTTGCATCTAACGTAACGAGAGGTCATGACATGCCTAGCGTGAACCGGCCATGCAACTTAGACATCACAGTGATATTCTACGAACGAGGTAGCAAATACATCATGTAGGTCGGTGTAGAGATACAACAATTGCTGTACACTACACGAAGTAAGTGTTTAGCAATATACAAATGTTGTGGTCGTGCACAGCCTAGTCTGCTATACTTGCAAGACAAGTGCGTTCGACCCGAGGGGTTAGCTATTTGGAATGGTCTGTAGTTAGTGAAACGATAAATGGTCAAAAGTCCGAGCGTGAGAAACAAAGTCCGAGGGTATATCTACGATGTCCGACGCCAAAGCGTCGGGTCCGATGTTTTTGGGTTTTGGGTTTGGGTTTAGCGGGTTAGCGGGAACGGCGATAGCGAATGTCGGGAAAGTGAGCGGTATGCAGATGTATGATAATGACGGGTATTTCGGATAGAAAGAGTGGTAATATTTGCAATGTCAACTAAGAACTATGAAATATTGGGTTTGACCACTAAGTATCGGGAAATGGCTCCCTACTACTTGGATAATGAAAATACTCGTAGTCAGTCCAATATATATATAAGTATGTAGAAATCCGGAAGGCCATAGGCGAAAGTAGCGGCCGATGATTTCGGGTCCGAAGTACATGTAAACTAACACGAGGCGCTGCGGATGATGGGAAAACATGTAATAGCGCTTGCTACAACGTGAGTAATGTGTGAAATAATCAACTACTCACCTAGTGGGGCTAGCAAGACAGGACGGGACACAGATAGGACAAGTGCGCGGGAAAATATCAGGTCCGATGCAGCTAAAACATTAGGTCCACTAGTCAAAGTGTCGGGTTTGCGTCGGATTGTGCGGGTTACATCAGATAGTGACGGGCATCGAACATGTATCGGGAAATCAGTGAATACGAGCCTAGCGTGAGCTCGAGTGCTACATCGGCTACTTATATACTAATGGCAACTGCGCACGGACCATGCTATCCAAAATAGGTAAGTGAATGATTCAAACTTCAACAGTAATGTGTGCCATGCTTTTATAGCATAAATATAGTTCACTAAAGTCTTCCCAGAATATGATCCGGCACAACTTGACACAAAATTCAGCATCGTGTGCGTGTAAACTGGACAATGCTGCACTTCTGGTATGTTCCTTTCATCGCAAAAGACATGAAAAACAAGCAAACTGGCTCCATAGCACTCTCTTGTACTTGGTGCCCATGACAGATTCATTACTGTCAAGACCCTTTGAAGGTCTTCTTTGGTGATTGCCAAGCAGCTTCCATCCAACATGTTTGTTAACCTAGACTGTCATGGGAACCACAGCTTTAGCCAATCTCATGCTAAACAGTGAGGGTGTTGTAGCACTCGAGCTTGCACTAGGCTCGTATTCACTGATTTCCCGATACATGTTCGATGCCCGTCACTATCTGATGTAACCCGCACAATCCGACGCAAACCCGACACTTTGACTAGTGGACCTAATGTTTTAGCTGCATCGGACCTGATATTTTCCCGCGCACTTGTCCTATCTGTGTCCCGTCCTGTCTTGCTAGCCCCACTAGGTGAGTAGTTGATTATTTCACACATTACTCACGTTGTAGCAAGCGCTATTACATGTTTTCCCATCATCCGCAGCGCCTCGTGTTAGTTTACATGTACTTCGGACCCGAAATCATCGGCCGCTACTTTCGCCTATGGCCTTCCGGATTTCTACATACTTATATATATATTGGACTGACTACGAGTATTTTCATTATCCAAGTAGTAGGGAGCCATTTCCCGATACTTAGTGGTCAAACCCAATATTTCATAGTTCTTAGTTGACATTGCAAATATTACCACTCTTTCTATCCGAAATACCCGTCATTATCATACATCTGCATACCGCTCACTTTCCCGACATTCGCTATCGCCGTTCCCGCTAACCCGCTAAACCCAAACCCAAAACCCAAAAACATCGGACCCGACGCTTTGGCGTCGGACATCGTAGATATACCCTCGGACTTTGTTTCTCACGCTCGGACTTTTGACCATTTATCGTTTCACTAACTACAGACCATTCCAAATAGCTAACCCCTCGGGTCGAACGCACTTGTCTTGCAAGTATAGCAGACTAGGCTGTGCACGACCACAACATTTGTATATTGCTAAACACTTACTTCGTGTAGTGTACAGCAATTGTTGTATCTCTACAGCGTAATTGAGAAGATGTAGGAATGAGACCTTGTTTGTATGGTTGGGGGATGGCTGGTACCTCTGGTGGGAGAATGGCTTTAGAGCGCGTGTTACCAGTGAGTGCATTGTTGATGTTCACGGGCATGATCAAGGGAATCTGTGATGATGTGGTCACATTTCTCAAAGCTGTTATTGGAATAAATGAGAGGAGTTTATGTGACAGTGACTGATGTGTGGCTGACTGTGTCATAGTCTGCTGCATTCATGGAGATGATGAACGGATCAATGATGTATGGTTGGAGTGCAATTGGGATTGGGAGGGTCGGGAGCAGAAACTCTGTGCTGCTGTATATTCCTCTGGATGGGTCATTGGTGGGGTTGCACTTGCTTGCAACATATGTTGGGTGGAATGAGTAATGCTCTGAGGAATCATGGATAAGAGAAAAGATTCATCGAAACACTGCATTGACTGCCAAGTTCCTGCTGTGACCATTCTTCCACTCTTCAATGACTCCCTGGTTGTCCCTGTAGACTCTGAAGTGATGTTCTGATCCCCCTCCCCGCATAATATGCTGAATGAGGAGTCCGAAGCCGACTGCTTCTGCCCAACCAATGTCTTTGGATCCATTGAGTGTTTGCCAACCTTTGCACAGTCACCATGCTCTCCATCTATTTCCAACAATGATAGCAATTCCAATGCCTGAACTTGCATCTGAAAAGGCCGCTGGGTCATGCAACATGAGGGGTCTAGGTATTGTGCATCCCATGAACGCACTTTCGAGCAAAGTCTTCCACCAGTCCAGGTCTGCTGAAAGGTTTTTGACTGGTTGTCATGAGAGAAAAGGCTTCTCTGCAGCAAGGCATAACATGCTTTCCAAAGATGTAAGGTACACACTGTAGGACTTGGAGTCCTTGTGGCCTCATAGAGGTCTATTTTCCGATGCATGTTGAATGCTAATCATTACCCAAATTATTCCCTATCATATCCGACTTAATACGCACCAAACCTGAAAAACATCGGACATTGGACATTGGGTTTCGCATTGGCCAATCGGATGTCATGCGCACTTGTCCTACCTATGTCTAGTCTCATTGCACTAGCCCCACTAGGTGCATAGTTACTTGTTTTCACATCACTAACATTGTCAACCGCATTATTACATGTATTCCCATAGTCCGCAGTACATCATGTCTTATTACATAGGACATCAGATCCGAAATATTGTGCTACTACTTTCACCTATAGGGTTCCGGATTTCTATGTATCTACATAAATATTGGACTCCCCATAGCATCATCATCATCCGAGTAGAGGAGAATTGTCCCCGATGCTTAGGGGTCAAACACAATATTTCGTAGTTCTTAGTTGACATTGCGAATATCATCGTTCCTTCACCGTCCGTATCAGTCATCGTTATTATTGCGCACACCGCTCGCTTTCCCAATGCTCGCTATCGTGTCACTATTAGTTTCCGATACCCTGAAACCGAACCTGATAACCCAAAACCAGAAAAACATCGGACCTGACGCTTTTGCATCAGACATCGTAATTATACCTTCGGACATTGTTTCCCACTGTCTTGTTACTTAAGGGTCTTATATGAAAGTTGTGTATAATGACAACACAATTATACACGTGAAGACTTCTTGCCAGTCCTTAAGTCCACGGTGTAGCACTCGGATCGGCGTTGGGCTCGTATCCTGCCAATTCCATAGGTATCCCACACTCATATTCCTCGACACTCCATTTACCTTCCGAGAGTTCCGTGCGCTCGTCCAGTCATCTGAAGGTCGTCTGTCCATTTCTGAGGCCTGTATACAGTTCTGATCCTCCGTACCATGTCCCGTCCATGTTTGTTTGACTTCGCTGGTGCGTTTTTCACTTGGTTATCTGTTATTGATTATGTCTAGGGGCACATATGTTGTCGGCCCATCAGTTATATGTATAACAACACACCTTGTGCCTTATTACATGCATATCTCTGTAGCGGCTTGCCTTGAGTCTTATTACATTTCGGATGTCTTATCTCACTACTGGTTTCGCCTACGCAGTTTCTGGACTTTCACGCTGTAGGATATAATCTGCCTTGCTAGCTACTCACACTTCACTTCACTTTCCCTGCTACAAGTCATAGTTAGTAGAGTCACTTTCGGATAGTCGTACTTCGTGCAATTGATCTTTTGTTCATTCGGAATGATTGTTTGGCCTGACCGCTGTCTTACTAGGATGTGAAAACAGTAAAATCACCAATTTTCAGTATCCTACCACGGTCAACGGTTCAGACAAATACCAATGGTTGATAACGTGGTTGTTTGTGGGAAAAGTGTGTTGAGTTCTCAAAGGAAGTACACAGTGACTAAAGGGGGAACAGAATCAATAACTGGCTTGATGCAGTGCTATGATCCTAAAGAAAGTCAATAACTGGCGCAATGCAGTGCTACGACTTCAATGAATACAGATGTATAACTTATGCAATGATTCTCAGAGCTATAACGATACTCCCTATCTTCTCAAACCAATTGGAGATCAAACTAAGCCTCTAACACGGATCAGCCCAAACTAATACGTGGCTTTGAAACCTACTCTCTGCTGCTCAAGCGCTATACGATGAGTGTGACACAGGACAGACTTAAGTGGGCCAAGTTCTTAATATTAGTGACTGACTGTTAGTCTTATTTGTCTTCCCTTGCTGATGAAAATATCTATATTCTCCCCACAGAATAGATTTCCTGTGTCTAAAAGAGAACTGGAATATATCTGCACTAGATGACTGATAACTGTGTACCAGCTAGTGTAAAAAGTATGGCTCAATGTTGGCCTCAAATATGCTTCTGTATGTCATGGGAAACAGTGTCAAAAGTGGAATGAAATAACTTAATATTTCACTCAGTATGTCACTTAGTATCTTAGAGGAGAGAATTTAAAAAGAGCTCTCTGAACACTCTTCTTATTCTCCACTCACTTATTCACACTCAAGCTTAGATAATATGGAAATGGGCTCTCTGTAACTTGGATTGGAGCTCTCTCTATTAGAGGGGATAATGGGCCCCTTATATACTATTCTACTAGTGGCTATGCTACTGATTACTAATCTACTATTAAAGTTTCAAAGAATGTCATAGAATTTTCCAGACTGTTCCACCAAACTCCAGTGTTGTCTGATAGAATATTCCAGAATCTTTCAAATCAACATTAGTGGCTGTGCTCTGTGGCTATGCTAACCTGTGCTACAAAGCTATGTACACTGCCTCTGCACTGCCTGAATGCTGTACTCTCAGGCTGTGTTCAAACTTTGTTGAGATTCTCACAGTCTGATGTTAACTTGTTAAATACCATAATATTGGTCTTGCATATTTGTTATAATGAAGCTTTGCATGTGTGTCATAATGTGCCACCAAGTCACAAGAGACTGATTATGTAATGAAGTTTGAAGTCTTTCAAACTTTCCTCTCAGTACCGTAAAAATGAAAAACCCGTGTATGTGAATATGTCAGAACATGACACAAAACATACCCTAGAATATATGAAAATGCGTGAAAAAATTCTAGGAGGTGTGAGAAACTGCTGACTAATTGACAAATTACAAGTTCGAAGGCAATCTGTCAGAAGGATAAGTATTATTTTAAACCGTTAAGTAGTACTGAACAAATTTGAACCCAAGAATACTTAAATAAAATATGGATGATGCATAGAAAATTCTGGGTAGATCCATAGGCTATTATGAAAGGTATTATAAGCCAGATATTTGCCATGTTCATGTACAAAACAGGTTTTGTGCATGTCACCGCTGCCATTTTGCATCTCGCTGTCTCTAAGTTCTTTCGATAGGCTTTGCTTAGTTATACTTTGTGAGTCTTATACTTTGATACACCTGCCGTACTTCTCTCGGAACCTTTGCTGTTCATCGGAAGCTCTTCGGACGCTTCACGCAACCTCGGACCTTCGTTTCTAGACATCGGACCACCTTCGGACCACTTCAGATGAGTACTTCGGTACTTCGGACACATCCTCGGAACACCGAGTGCACTCTTGGTAGCTTTTCCTTCTCTCATCTTCGATCTTAACAAGATATCCCTTGCATTATATCAAGGAGCATTTCTATAGGCAGTCTCTTTGGGACAAACATCACACTCGCACATTGAGTTCATAAGGTAGCATATTTGTAGCGCCCACATAGAATCAACTCTTTACAACGGTCTCCAACTTTTCTACTTCATGGGAGGTAATGTGGTGAGTTCTTGGGAGGATTTAGTTTGTTGTCCTCTTCTTGTGTAGTCTTTTATACAAAGTGTTGTGGAATGTTCTGTGTTCTGGATAAATTTGTTAGGTTTGTTTCACCCTAGTAGGTCGTGTTTCAACCTATGAAAGTCTGTCTCAACTTTGTCATCCTTAGATTTGTGTCTCACTTTCCATTGAAAGAGAGAGTCTTATGTATACATGTAAAGCTTTAGAATGAGAGCTGTTTGATGGTTATATAGTCAACCCCTGTAAGGTAGTATATAACCTAGAGTAGAATAACGATAACAAAACTTATATAGTCAACCCCTGTAAGGTAGTATACAACTTTAGAATAGAATAATGATGTGTCTTAGTCTTACTTCAAGGCACATTGCCTGCACTTTTATTCTTACATACTCTCACATGGTTTGAGAGAAGAATGAAAAATGGGAAGTTATATTTCATGGGTGAAAATGGGGTCCTTTTATACCTTTTGGAATCCCCTTACTAAGCATGATTCTGTCAGATGGATTGGTAAGAATGTGGCTTACAAACCAGGTGATGAATCAGCTTTTACTAATATACATTATAAATACAGTGTAATCTTACAAAGAAATTACAAAGCATGACAGAAAGGTGCTGACTCTTCTCAGGGATTGGTCATGCAGAAGCTGACAAACCAAGCCTTTGGGTGAGCTGAATCATCCTTCTTACTAAGTACATTACAAACAAAGTTCAGTGTCTTACAAAGAACTTACAAAGCATGACCAACCATGACTGATCATGTTGAGTCAGCTTAAATAATGTTACAAACCAGAATATTCCCCAGTCACATGATGTGCTGACAAATAAAATCTGGTGGCTGAAAGAAGCCAAATAAAAATAAACAATCAGAGATAAATAGAGATACAAAACTTGGTGGCTGAAAGAAGCCAAATAAAAATAAACAATGAGAAATAAACAGAAGGTCACATGTTCATAAAAATACAAGATAAAACAAGTCTGAAAAGTGAGAAATAAAATATAAGACAATGAATCAAAGGAAAAACAAAGAGGTAACTCAGTGATAGAGGGCTAGACAGTCTCTCATACCTTCCTTATCACTCTCTATTCATAACTGACATGGTATGAATCACATACCATGCATGACACCATGCTCGGATTATTGACCTCACATCACTCACTGACCCCCAAAACTATTCCCAGACTGCAGACCCCTGGGTTGAACACACTTGTCCCGCAAGTATAGCAGATAGGCAGTGCAAGACCACAACATAAAGATATCAGTTTGGAGCCATCTTTGTATAGCCCCACTCTGTGTTGTATACCTACAATGCTGTAGCACTTGAGCTCGCGCTGAGCACATATTCATTGATTTCCTGATACACGTCCAATGCCCGTCACTTTCCAATGTAACCTGACGCTAACCTGCACAACCCGACACAAACCCGACACTTTGACTAGTGGACCCGATGTTTTGGCCGCATCGGCCAACCCAAAATCCTGTGCACTTGTCCTATCCATGTCCCGTTATGTCTTGCTAGCCCCACTAGGTGCATAGTTGATTATTTCACACATTACTCACATTGTAGGCAGCACTATTACATGTTTGCCCATTGTCTGCAGCACCTCGTGTTAGTTTACATGTATTTTGGACCTAAAATCATCGGCCGCTACTTTCACCTATAGGATTCCGGATTTCTACATACTTACATATATATTGGACTGACTATGAGTATTCTCATTATCCAAGTAGTAGGGAGCCATTTCCTGATACTTAGTGGTCAAACCTGATATTTCATAGTTCTTAGTTGACATTGTGAATATTACTGCTCTTTCTATCCGAAATACCCATCATTATCATTAATCCGCATACCGCTCACTTTCCCGACATTTGCTATCATGATTCCCACTAACCTGCTAAACTTGAACCCGAACCCCACTAACCTGAAAACATCGGACCTGTCACTTTGGCATCGGACATCATAGATATACCTTCGGACATTGTTTCTCGCGCTCGGACTTTTGACCATATATCAATTCACTAACTACAGATCTATTCCAAACAGCTAACCCCTCGGGTCAAACACACTTGTCTTGCAAGTATAGCAGACTAGGCTGTGCATGACCACAACACATTATTATATTGCTAAACACTTACTTCGTGTAGTGTCCAGCAATTGTTGTATCTCTACAGCGCATTCTCTGGGAACCATGAGGGTAGTATGAAGTAACTTGCTGTATAGCTGCTGGATGTCGAGGAGAACATGTGCAACACATTCCCACCAGCTTTTAATGGCCATGAGATACTTAGATGTCTTGTTGTCTGCCAAAAAGACCTTGTTATGAGCAAGACTCCAAATGAAACCAATATAGGGATTAGTGCATGCAAACTGTTTGTCCTTGAGAATCTCCCACAGGATGTCCAGGTCTTGAGAGACCTTGTTGATGCCTGATAAGTTGCAGGAGAAGAGAGCATCTTTGCTCAATCTTGGTGAAGCACTGGATAAGTCCTTGATGGGGAATCAGCAATCCTCATCAAACTCTTTGTTGTTCCATCATTGAACACGTGTCCTCCGAACCATACTCTTCCTTTGTCTTGATGCCAACCCCTTCTAATGATCTCCTTGTGCCATAACCTTCTTTTTTGATTGTATGCTGCAATATGTTCCTTAAGAATCCATATGAACAGGTGATCGTCGACCCACCTCGATGCCGGCCTGATTCCTTTCGACCTAAACAGGTCGAGACCCACATCCGCAAGGTTGCCATAAGCTCCTGCTGAAGGGCGCAACCCAAAGGACATGCAAGTGTCAATGCAGAAAAGGTCTTCTGAGACTCACATGACTGATCCAGGCCATTGGGACCAGTGAATCAGTGTTGTTCTGTAAGCTTCCAAGATGTCCCTGATGGCAAATTGTGATCCCAGTGGTAAGTGACTGATTGTGAGAGCGAGTGCATGAAAAGTGCCCCAAGTACTGGGGAAATTATCCAGATTAATGTACGAGCTGATTGATGGATTAGGGAATTCTGCTGAAGATATATGCGGGAAGGAATAGTTTTGAATGATGCGATATTGTCCAGGTCGTCCAGGTTTGGGAATAATGGAGAAAGGGGAAGATTGAAAAGGACCAATAAGTTGCTCAACATCGTTAGCCATGAGCAGACCAACATATCTTCCTTTTTTAAGCTCAGTTTGTACGATGGCACAAAATTCCTCTTGATATGTAATAATAGAGTCTTTGTTAGGCAGTTTTTGAGTGCAATTAATACTAGGAATATTAAGATAGAATCCTCGATGAAGACCTTCTGGTATATGTGCACATCTGTCAATGAGTCCCACTGAAATGAGTTCCGCTTCCCAAGCTCCTGGGTTGTAGGGCGTAAGTGCCTTAAGCTTTCTGCGCTTGAGGACAAGCTTGAGTGAGCTCCATGAGTGGATGTGCCACAACCAGAGCAGAAGTGCCTGCAATCGTGGTTGACTTCATTGCAGCCGTTGACGCATTGCCAATTGCTGCAAACGAGCTTGTTGTCTCGCATGGTGAGCACTCTGCCAATTTGTGAACAAATGGTGTTGTGAGCGTCATCCCATGTCCGAGCTGCTTTGCATTCAATAATCCTGTGTGGATTTCATCCAAGACATACTGCACAAGCAGAGAGGACGCCTCTACTTGTGCTTGACTAAAAATCCTGTCGCTGTCTCTTCCCCCTTCTGGTATGTTCATGGGAAGCAGGACATTTGAGCGAGTCCCTCAAGTCATATTGCTTCAATGAAGAGACATTGCATTGGTCCAACTGTATTTTAGCATTGTGGCATGTGGTGTGTGGCAAGAAGCATGTGGCATGGAGTGCATGGCATGAAGTGTGTGGCATGGGGCATGTGGCATAGGGCGTGTGGCATATTGTTATGATGCGATAATTAAATGTATCACCAGAAGGATAAAATGATGAGCGCATATTCGTTGGTTGAACTAAATGACACTGACCCTATAATCTTGAGCATTGTCTCTTTTGTCTTGCTCTTCCCAATAGACTCTCTCCCTTGTGGCCTCTAGGACTTTCTCATTGATGAGAGATAAGTTGTAGGGTCCTACTGATGTTTTTACGGCAACGTGCCAACACTTGCATTGCTCTGCCTGATAGGCAAGCAGAGCCTTCTGTGCGATCGGATCCCTTAAGGAACGAAATTTGTGAACTTGGATGTTCCTCCAAAAGAGTGCCATCATTCTGATCCTATCCACTGGCCAGTCTGCTTCATCTATTGCAGTTAAAAACCGAGGGCAGGCTTGACAAAACTCCTTGAAAGGCAAGTTTTTGTTGTTGATGACAGCACGTGCGCTCTGTGTAGATGCTGATGAGACCCATGCAGTCAATCCATCCACTGATGTTGACAGGATCATTGCGTCATCGTCAATAGTCTTCTTGGTACTCGCTTTGTCCAGGCTGTCATTGGTGAAATACCAAAGTTCCATGTATTCACCTTTGTCTAACTTTCAGAGAGTGTAGGAACACAGAGTGACAGCCAGGTCATCTGGGATACCTGCCACTAAGATTGGGGTGAATTTGTGTTTATTCTTCTTCCTTTCTTCTTTGCGAGCCATTTCCTATTCTTTGACTCGAGCTAATTCTAGTCTTTCTCATTCTTCCTTTTCTACCTGATCGCGGTGTGCACATTCCTTTCATTTCATCTTCTAATTGACACTGCCATGCTACTTTGTCTGCATCATTGTTAGTCTCCCAAATATTTCTGAGAAATTGAATGGCTTGTTCTTCGGTGGTATTGTTGTTGACGAGATGAGCACATGTGTTAGCAAAAGTGTCTGTAGCATAGTCCGGACAAATATTGAAGTTTGGATCATTGCGCATTCTAGGCATGATTAATTCAATATGGAGAATGTGATAAAGCAGAAGCAACAAAACGAGTGTAGTCGAGTAGTAGAGGACTTGCAAGTACTATGTGATAGTACAAAGCAAGAAGGGTGGGAAAACTCGAAATGCTGTGTCACCACATAGACCTCATTCTAGGTGCATTCTCATGCCTCGAACTTACTTAGAATATAAGTAGTATGAAATGCAAAGAAAATATTTGAGATTTAAACTAACATAAAGATGGGCACATAACTTCAAATTTAAATGGTCTGCCAAGAAGAACATCAAAAGTGGCGACCAGGACAATCTGGATTTGAAACAGCATTTCCCCGGCTCTGAAATCTATTGGGAAGTTTTCCATAACTCCCAATGTATTGACCGATTCCATGGTCATCTGGTAATCCAAGTGGAGTGGGATGCCTCCAAGACTGCACCATACCAACTGTGGCATTACTATCACCTTGGCACCTTGATCGAGGACACAGGTAAGTACCCAGCCCCCAGTCGTAGTACCTTGGATCGTTCATAATGCTTTAAAGTGGTTGGCGACAATGCATCCGTCATTAGCCCTTTTCATATGCTTGTCCCACCCCTTCAGGAATTGTTCCATCTGGGGCAGGCTGCTGAGTTCATTGACTGATACCATACCTACCATGACATGTTTCGATGTTGTCAGGTCTTTCAATGCTTTCCGAATGTCCGACGATGATGCGGTGAGGTCCCAGATGGGAACATTGACGTCCATGTTCAGGATTCTGTCCATAACACATTTTTCTGCTTCCCTGTCTTCCAGCGGAAATGCATAGTGATATTGCGCAGTCTGGGTTGCCAGGGTAGCCATCAATGTTGATGCAACTGGTGCAACTGAAGTTGCGGTTGTTGCCTTCATTGCCGGTTTGACAACTACTGTTCCGGGATTGGGTACCTTCTTGGCCTTGGCTTCTCTTACCTCTGGAGACACAATCTCTTCCACTTGTTCCGTGACTTTTGACAATGGACCTGGTTTTGGATGCAGCGGTACTTCAATGCCTTCGAATCTCGCAGTCTTACCCTTGTTTGACCTTCTCGCACACTTGGCGGTGAACGCGACGTATTCCTCATTGGCTTGTCAGATCCTCTCCAAATGGTCTTGCTCTTCCTCATCTTCTATGGTTTCACTGCAGGTGTGCAGGAATGCTGATGAATCAATTTCTGCAATGATCTCGATGTTGAGTGCGGCGCAGTAATACAGTTTGGCTTGTACCTGAATAGTGTTAGCTCTGGTTACCGGTGTCTGACCCACATATTTGTCTATCCACTGCTTAAAGTATCTGTCTTCCTGAGATCCGGGGATTCCACTACTATCAGGCATGTATACTTTTCCCTCATTCTCAATAATCTTTCCGCTGGAGATATACTCCTGATGCACATTACACCATTTCGCGATATGGTTCTTACCTCCACAAAAATAGCACTCGTACAGTGTACTCTGCAGGTTGTATTCCTTTTTCACAACAATGCCACCGGAAGGCTGCATTACTGTTACAGAGGGTTGCGCTGCTGGTGCTGATGTTGTAACCATTGTCATTGTTGTGGTGTGGGTCAGTTGTCTTGGCAAAGGAGATGCGACACTGGTTGTAACAACCACCATGGTTCTGGATAGCAAGAATACTGCTGTGGTGTACACCTGGTCCATCAGATATGGTTCGTCCGAATGATGATCTACCATTTTAATCTCTAAATGCCTGCGAATGATAGTGTTAGTGGTCTCATGAATACCATCCAAAAACAGCTTGTTGCATTCAAGCTCAGCAAGCTTCTTCTTCATTATCAAGAACTTAGAGAGCTTCAAGAAACTCTGATAGTACACTCCAAACTCGTCGTGCATGTGAATAGTGATATGCAACTGTTTTGCGCAGAGGTTTTCCAAGTCATTCTGAGTGTAATGGTGATCGCCCTCGCATCCTGGGTACAGGAGCTTAAGTGCATCATAGAACTTCTTCCAACTTGTTCCTGCAGCTTCGTCAAGCATTTCCCATGTCTTGGATTCTTCGATGGGGGCATAGCAGATTGCGGCCTTGATGTGCGCTTCATTGCCTAAGCTTGCATGGTTGCCAAGTAGGCTAACATCTTCTAGGAATGCAAGAAGACGAGTTGTGGTGCCGTCAAACTTAGGTGTGGCATTGGTGCCATGGAGAGGCATTCTGTAGGTTGAAGTAGACATTTGGACAGGTGCGATTTGCGGAAGTGGTAATGAGATGGGTGCGGTCAGCGGGACTTGTGACGGTTTTGCGGAAAGCGACAGGATCTGAAGAGCAGGTAATCTAGGTCCAGAAAACGAAGGGAGTGTGGCTACACATTGTCTGGGGGAAGGTGTGAGAAGTAACAGAGTTGCGGCTAAGAAAGGGTTGTCTGGTGAAGGAGTGTGGGGAAATTCCAAAGGAAGGGTTTTGCGGGTCTCCAATAATGGTGGAGTAGGGGACCCCTAGGCAGAGGGTGAGGGCAGAGGAGGTTTTGGTGGTGTTTGGGCCTGGTTTAGCCAAGGAGAGAGTCATTAGAGCCATTGGATGCAGTAGCAGTCTTCAGGTCTTTGTTGTCCTTTGAGAGCATAGTCTTTGGGCATAGCCCACTCCAACTGGTAAACAGAGCGAGTTTGCCTCGACCAAAAAGCTTCACATTTTGGTCTTCCCCGCAGAGTCTAGAGTTCAGATGCAGAAATTAGAAGCCTCATGGAATATACGAGTAGACGAGCTGACTAGTCAAACACAAGAAACACAAGAAGAACACATTGCAGAGCATAGCATTTTTATTCATAAACTGAGAAAGTATACTGACAACGAACAAGTCCCTCTAGCCAAACTGTCTAAGAAAAAGAATCTATGACCTAGAGGGCCAGGAGGCAAGTTCCTACCCAAAGCCCTCTCGGACACCGAGAATTCGAGCAGCATGTTCGCCTCGTCAGAGTCATTGCCTCTCGACACACCGGAGACTAATGAACAGCAGCTTACGGCAGACGAAGAAGAATCAGAGAATCGTGAAGTCTCGGATCGTGAAGACAGCAGGTACTTAAGAGAGGATGATGAAGATTCATTACCCGAAGCACCAGAACCAAACACAATACTCCTCCCAGCTTTCCAGTGGGACACAGGCATACCACTATCCATCCCTAGAGAATCAAGCACTCGAAACGTCCCATCAGCGCAGCCACCAGTAGTGTCAATGAAGCCTAGTGTAAAACCCACCACTATACCAAAGCAAGCACAGACAATTAAAGCCAGAATGTCAACAACGTCAGCAAACTCCCCATCCTTGTTCCATGGACACGACGACGAAAACTCAGCTAATTTTATATGAAGCCTCGAAGTGTACATCGCTGTCAACCACATCACAGATGAAGCGATAATGACCTTGCTGCTTGGCACGTTCATCTCTGCAGGCTCAGATGCAGATGTGTGGTGGACAGGCCTAGGCCCATCGCAGAAAGCTACACGGGCGCAAGCCAAAGCAGCATTCCTAGCGAAATGGCCAGCGATAGTTGTCGCAGGCAAGACACAGAGAGAGTACCAGAAGGACTTACTAGAGCTGTGATTCAAAGAGGAAGAAGTTGGGGAACGAGTCACAGTAGCAGGGATCGCAACATGGGCGCACATCCAGTTCCACAACAAGTTAAAGACACTCGTGAAGGACGCAGGAGTCAAAAATGTATCCATTCTAATTCTACCAGTTCGTGAAGCGCTCCCATGAGCACTTAGAGACCTAACATCAGCAGCACCTGCAGACTGGGACACATTCCTAAAAGAGATCAAGGACGTCAATATCGACACCCTGCAGGAGAAGGCAAAGAGAGTAAAGGAGAGGAAAGAGGTGGAGAGAGTGCAGAACACACACATCGCACGATTGGAAAATCGACAAGACCCTATCGAAGTGTTATGTTTACAGATGCAACAAACGACGATTGGAACTAACACCCTAGCTCCAAAAGCAACAGTACCCACAAGAACCATGGGAAACGCATCCCCAAACGTCACGACACCTCGAAGAGCAATGCGCTATGTAGCAGCCAACCAATCAATGCCCAACCAATATCCTAGAGGACAGCCACCCACGCAGGAAGAGAAAGATGTATTACACACCCACATCAACGAACTACAACACCATGCAGATGGGGGACACACAGCATACGGAGAACAGTTAAGGCAGTGGGCAGCGAAGTGGGGAGAAGGAGCTAGGTGCACAGAAAAAACACCTTTCCTGCTAACTCCAGGAACAGCGCAAGTGTGCTCAGGTGAATGCTTTAGATGTGGTACGCACAGACACATCGGACCAAGGTGCCCCATCCCAACAGATGATCAGTTACCAAAGAATGAAAGTATATGGCGCAGCACCTGCACTCGAATCCTTGGCACGTTTAACAGAGCCACAGCCCCCCAAGTAAACTTCGTGATAGAAGAAGCTTTAGACCAGGGAAATGGGAGCAGGTCGTTGGCATAGAGGATAGCTGAACAACCCGAAAACACTTAGCACCTCATTTGTCTGGACAATCAGTCCTTGTGTGCAAGGAGGAGACACGCGAGGACCAACACACCTTCCCCGTCAAACACGCTCATCGTACAAACCATGTTGTTATGCAGCCTGCTAGCGAACAATGCAATGTTATTGATCTGTATTCGGTGGACGAGGAAAGAACACACCATAGTTGCCAACCCTTCTTGCACTATGTATTGTTTGCGGGACCGAAAGGAGAAGTAGTACGAGTCAAAGTGCTCTTCGACGAGGGCACAATGATCAGCACAATGTGCATAATGGTCTTCGACAGTGTCAAACATCGCTTAGGAAACTGGAAAGTGTCAGTCAAGAGATTAAGAATGGCCAACGGAACACTAGTTCCACCGAAAGGAACATGGAAAGGCAAGGTCACGATAGCGGGAGTCAATACGCAGGGAGAGTTCGAAGTCTTCGATAGTGGAGGAGGATGGAAGTTCTTACTCGTGAAACCGATGCTACAGTGATTTAAAGCTATACACAAATATGAAACTGATACAGTCTATATAACAGGAAATGGGATCTTGACAACCATCACCAATCAGAACAAAGCCAACACAACCAAAAGGAATACATCGACAGAACCACCAGACGACGACGACGGAGCATCACAGGACGCCATCTCAGCAGACTTCCCCAACAACGACACGAAAACCTTTACAAGAATCATGGACCCCAAAAATCCAAAAAGGGTGGCGTACATTGTAAAATCAGTACAAATCGGAGAAGACCTCAGTCCTGAAGAATGAGAAAAGGTGAAAGAACTTATTTCCCATTATGCTGACATTTTTGCGTGTTCATTGTCAGAAGTATTGCTGGTTCCTGGAGCAGAACATCGACTCAAGACGCTACATTCTGCATCAGAGTCCACCAGAAAGCTCTAATGCCACCTCAAACTCAGTTCCTACATAACAAGATCGACGAGATGTTAGCAGCGGGTATTGTGGAAAAGGCGCCTCCGGAGGTGGTCAAGTGTTGCACCATGACGGTTCTTGCGCAAAAAGTGCACGAACAAGGAGGACTGACACTCGAGGAGCTACAGTATCAGGTCAACAAGCAATGTACGCAACACGGGAAGCCACCAGCATTCACGTTGCCAGAACGAGACATCGTCGCAGAGGAACCACCAGAGCAGCCAGGTCCACAAAAATGGCACATATGTCAGAATTTCAATGAGGTAAATAAGCATACAGTGATTGCACCAATGCCCCAAGGAGATATACGAGCAAAACAACAACATTTAAGTGGACATAGGTATGTCTCAGTGTTTGACTTCGCTTCAGGATTCTACACTGTTGAAATACCGCAGGAATCAAGACCGTACATGGTGTTTTACATCAAAGGAAGAGGATACTTCTGGTATAAACGGATGCCAATGGGCCTCACAGGAGCACCATCGACATTTGTGAAATGACAGCTAACCACCTACACAACCTACTAGCAAACAGTATGATGGAGCTCTTCGTAGACGACGGAGGATGCGCAGATAACATGTTCAATGGAATGCTAGGAAAATTAGAACAGATCTTCCAATGGTGCCGAGAATGCAAGCTGTCGCTATCCCCAACAAAATGTCGTCTATTCATGACAGAGACCACATTCGCAGGAGCTACAGTAGGACCAAAGGGCATCCAACCAGACTTAGAGAAGCTCACCGCTATTGTCAATTGGAAGCAACCCGCTGATGCACTTAATTTAGAGTCTTTCTTGGGACTAACGAGCCACTTCCGAGACTTGATACAGGCATACGCCCGACAAGAAGGACCATTACGAGACTTAGTCAAAGCAGCACCGCTCAAGATACCGTACTCGAAGAATACGTACCAATGCACTTTACAAGACTTCAAGCTCAATGAACGATGGACAGAAGTGCACACAGCAGCATTCCTAGATCTAAAAGCAGCTCTAGTGGCGAGACCCATTCTACAAGCACCAAAGTACGACGGGTCAAACTTCATAGTCACTTCAGATGGGTGCCAGGAAGGATTTGCAGCCGTACTAAGCCAGCATGTAAGGCTACAAAAACCATCGGGTAAATGGGTAGAGCACCTGCTCCCCATTGGTTTTGCATCCAAGCGCACATTGAGAGCAGAACAGAAGTACAAACCTTTTATTCTTGAGTTCATGGCACTGAAGTTCGGACTCGACAAATTCGCAGATATTATCTGGGGGTTTCCCACAGAAATAGAAACAGATTGTCAGGCCCTGCGAGACATTTTGATGAGTGACCAGCTCAATGTGGCGCACACAAGGTGGAGAGACGGAATCATAGCACACAAAATCATGAATGTACGCCATGTTCCAGGCAAACTAAATGTTATTGCAGATGGGTTAAGCCGACAATGGGAAGGACAGCCAAGAGATGCCGGGCTAAACAACAGAAGCGAATGGACAGTGAGCGAGGATTGGGAAGCAAACTCTGGACTAACCAACGACATCCTACTCACCGACTCAATGACTCGGCAGAAACCAGTAAGTCTGTTACAAGAAAGATTTGCTAACGAACCTGTTTTTCTAGAAGTCGTAGAATCAATATTAGGAATGAACACGACAAGACCCTTACGCGATCGGAAACGAGCAATGCACCAAGCATCGCAATACCTAATAGAGGACGGTAAGTTATGGCATTTACGAGGAACAGCAGTGCGAGCTCGCAGTAAGGTGGAGTGTATTACCAAGGAGGAAGCGAAACAATTAGCCAAAGAACAGCATGAGAACAAAGGACACTGGGGAAGAGATGCCATCAAGATCACACTAACAGATCAGATTTATAGTGCTGGACTTGACACATCAATTCTAGAGGCGATAGGAAACTGCACCAAGTGTAAAAACTTCGGAACACAACACCTACACTCACTTTTAGAACCAATCACCCACAGACACCCATTTGAACTGCTAGTCGGCGACTATCTGACCCTTCCAAAAGCACGAGGGTATCACACGCTAGGAGTTTACCTCGACACGTTCTCACAACACGTCTGGGTCTTCAAATACAAATCAGCAGGAATGGCACACACGACGATCAATAGCTTATCCAACATATTCTATAACTTCACATCGTCAGAGACCTTCATGAGCGATGGAGGAAGGCACTTTAATAACGAAGAAGTTCGAAATTATTGCGCTAAGTGGTCCTGCAAAACTCATATTGTAGCAGCATACTCACCATGGGTCAATGGACTGGTAGAAGGCATGAATAAGATTTTGCTACACGTGCTCAAGAGACTGTGCGCACCAAATCTTGGCGAAGATGATTACAAAGTGATCTCATGGGATAAGCTACTGGGGACATGGCCAGACCACCTGGAAGAAGCAGTAGTAGCATTGAATCACCGCATACTACCAGCATTAAAGTTTTCGCCAAAGGAGTTACTACTAGGCCAAGTAATCAACATGCCACGAACCGATTTAGCTAACTGCACTTCAGCGCTATGACTGTCAGACGCCAACGTCCATATGGCATATGTTGCACAGCAGCATCTAGATGGCTATGAAGCTATAGTTCAGCACGCCATAAAGAGGAAGGCCATATTTGATAAAAGAGTATTAGCTCGCTCACCAAGGGAAGTAATATTCGCAGCGGGACAACTTGTTCAATACTTTTACAGCAGCCAACACAACACGCTCGAAGCGAGACGCAAAGTGATACTGAAATGGTCACCTCCACATCGTATAGTCGAATGGATACGGAATTCATATCGTCTGGAAACAATCAATGGTGAGCCGCTATCAGGTGAATTCCACGCACAACGCCTGAGAGCATTCCACCCAAGGGAAGGCACAAAACTAGCTGAAGAACAGAGAAGAAGGGAATCGCAGTCGCAGAACGAAGAAGATAGTGACACAATCGAGGATTCAAATCAGAACGGAAGCAGCCAAGACCAGTGTATAGATGAAGAACAGAACAGAGAGAGTGAAGACGAGGACAAAGAAGATGAAGAAGAGGAAGAAACAGCAGAAGTGTCAACAATGGACGAAGTGGTGGGCGACGAGGACGTCGCTGTTTTTCAAAGGGGGGCACATGGAGTAGGGGACCCCTAGGCAGAGGGTGAGGGCAGAGGAGGGTTTGGTGGTGTTTGGGCCGGGTTTAGATGAGGAGAGAGTCATTAGAGCCATCGGATGCAGTAGCAGTCTTCAGGTCTCTGTTGTCCTTCAAGAGCATAGTCTTCGGGCATAGCCCACTCCAATGGACTATCTAAAAGTAAGGAATGGAGTGCTAGTGTAGTGTGGGTGTCTTCTTCTTCCTGAGTTTTGAGAAGTAACATAGAGTCGGGTGAATTTGGAGAAAGCTGTTGCAGGATAGACAATTTGGAAGATACTTGCGAAGGAAGTTGCGATGGTCTGGGAATGTTCACTTCTGTGATGAAGTCTTCTTGTGGAAAATCAATGGATTAGAGAATGTGGCGAGGATTCTTCTGAAGCTCTTGTTCTCCGATCTTAATGGAGTCCCTCACGGTGGGCTCCAGTTGTAAAGAGTTGATTCTATGTGGGCGCTACAAATGTTGTTACCTTAGAACTCAATGTGTGAGTGAGATGTTCATCCCAAAGAGACTGCCTATAGAAATGCTCCTTGATATAATGCAAGGGATATCTTGTTAAGATCGAAGGTGAGAGAAGGGAAAGTTACCAAGAGTGCACTCAGTGTTCTGAGGATGTATCTGAAGTACCAAAGTACTCATCCGAAGTGGTCTGAAGGTGGTCCAACATCAAGAAATGAAGGTCCAAGGTTGTGTGAAGCATCCGATGAGCTTTTGATGAACAGCAAAGGTTCTGAGAGAAGTACAGCGGGTGTGTCGAAGTATAACTAGGCAAAGTCTATCGAAAAAACTTAGAGACAGCGAAGTACGAAATGGCAGCGGTCAGGCCAAACAATCGTTCTGAATGAACAAAGATCGATTGCGCGAAGTACGACTATCCAAAAGTGACTCTACTGACTATGACTCATAGCAGGGAAAGTGAAGTGAAGTCTGAGTAGCTAGCAAGGCAGATTATATCCTACAGCGTGAAAGTCCAGAAACTGCATAGGTGAAAACAGTAGCGAGATAAGCCATCTGAAATGTAATAAGACTCGAGGCGAGCCGCTACAGAGATATGCATGTAATAACATGCGAGGTGTGTTGCTATATGTATTAATCAATGGTTTCGATGGGCCAATAAGATATGTGCCCCTAAGACATAATCAATAACAGATGAACAAGGTAAAAACACACCAGCGAAGTCAAACAGGCACGGATGGGACATGGTATGGAGGATCAGAAGTGTATACAGGCCTCGGATTTGGACGGACGACCTTCGGGCAACTCAGAAGGTAAAAGGAGTGTTGAGGAGTATAATGTGAGATACCTATGAGTTTGGCAGGATACGAACCCAACACTGATCCAAGTGCTACACTGCCAGCCCGGTTATATAATGAGACTATTGTCTTACCATATACATTGGTAGAACCCACCTTATTACGAGGCTGATGAACATCCTTCTGTCCAGCAAGACCACTAGATGACAAGCCATTCAGCTTAGAAAGGCTCAACCTATCCCAGTTGTAACAATGGTAGCCAGATGTTCCAGACTCCAGATCTCTATCAAAAAATACCATTAGAATAATCTCTGAGCCATGATGTATCCATAACACTGCACAATCAATCAGGTGAAAGGAAGTACCTTTATCAATTGGCTGATCAGTTGAATGACACCCAGGGAAAAGGCAGTGGCATGTTGGAGCCTGTATGTTGATAGAATGCAATATAAGGTCTATGATTCAGCAGTCAATCATGATGACTCCTTCATGGGAGTTGTGCAGCTTGAAGGCCTGCACTGTGTGCAGCATGGTGAAGAGGCTTCTACCATGGGAATCAGGAAATTTAGGAAGGAGAACAATTTCCATTGGCATAATGTAACTATACAGCTTTGTCAGACCTACAGGCTACAGCACTGGTAATATATATACATGTATGTAAAGAGAACATATAATTTCACCAGAGTGTCACAATCTAGTGACCAGTCCCTTTTTTCTGATGTGGTGTTGAAGTAATTTCACATGGCAGGAAGCCATTACACAGACATAAGCTTGCAGACAATCGATCTTAGCTTCATTCCACAAGTGGGAAAATAAAATGGAATACTCACATATGAGTTCTACAAGGAGGCATTACCTTCAGCAGGCATGGGGTCACTGCCTCAGCTACCAAGCATTCACTGGAGAACGGAGGGGAACATGTGACCATTGTGACAGGATCACTGGACTGGCTGAAATCTAGCAAGTCTGTTGTTGATACAGAAAATGTAGCACGAATACCATGAATCAATGAACAAAGGTGGTCATAGTCCAGGTCCTCTGAGAATGCGAGAGAGCATGTGTAGATAAGCAAAGTCACAAACTCAACAGGAATACCATGGCATAGAACTTCAATGGTAGTGTTTGCTTTGTGCTCAAGCATAGAAGAGCTAGATAGCTTCTCATGGTCACTGGTTAACCATTGGAGAGACCCATGCAAGAAATAGATCAGCATGTATGTGAGTGACTCGAGATCATCACAATGACCTGGCTCGACTCCTAAGTGATTGTTTATTGAGGCAAAGGCAGGATTGCCAGTGAGACATCAATTATGATGGAATGGTACATAAAGTCTGGTTGAAGTGTCACAGTATTCCTTTGTGATGCCAAAATCGATGATAAAGGCAGTGTGCCTCAAATCATGGAGACCCACCATAACATTCTGCGGTTTGATGTCACCATGGACATAATTGTGTGAGTGGATGTACTCAAGACATGAGAGCTGTGAATGGGTTAGCCTATCTGCAGTGGCCCTACGACAAACTGACTGACCAACTGGTCCGCTAAGTCGACAAAAGTGTGAAGGGAGAATTTGTGATTATGTGCAAGGAAAAGACTGTGCAGCAATGACCCGAGGAGGTCAAGAACTAAAGTGTGATATGTCGACTCTCTGCTGAACCAAAGGGCACAGGGAATTCCAACTCCACCTTCAAGTCATTTCAAAATATAATATTCACGCTGTACAGAAGATGACCTGTCAATTATGGGTTCAAGTTTAACAGCGACTATGTCACTGGTAATGATGTTTTGTGCATGGTACATGACAGCTAAATGTTGGGATCCATACATTGAATCTGAATGAAAATGAAGTTGGTATGTGAAAAACATATCATATGAGCTGGATCCCAAAACATCGCCAAGCCTGAATCTGCCATCAACTCAAATGAGGACCTTATTCATCATATAAGAGTAACAAAAATATAACAATGGATCCAATGAATAAAAAGCATCACTGAGTGAGACTGTGAGAGAACTTTGGACCAGATGCCATGTTTGCAAGCCAGCTTGAGCTGGCTTAAGCTGTAGTTCTCAATTTTTTGGGCTGAAGCTGGTTTAATTGGGTTCATGTGACTAGCAAACCACATTAAATTCAAATCAGTGACTCAGTTTGCATTGGGTCAGCCAAATTATTAGTAAACTGGACAAGACCAAGCCTGAGCGGACCGGAACTGAGCTATGGCATTACTACTTCAGCATGTGTTTGGCACTAGCATGCCTTTGTGACACTTATCCACACAGCATCACACTTCATCACATGCATGTGATGTTTGTCAAATTAACAAGACCACTACTATTGTTGGGCCAGAGTTGCAAAATGGTAGAGAGTTGCAAAATGCTTCATAGCTCATGCAACAACACATCTTAAGTCTTCTACTCTTGGATCTAGGACCTTCCAACATGGATTCATAGTACTGTATTTTTTTAAAACAAAAAAAGGATGAGGAACATGTACGGCTTCAAATCTATCACTCAAAGTTACCTTTTTCATGTAGAATGGTCAGGGGAAGGTGAAGTTTTTAACCAAAAAATTCAAAAATTTTCCCTATACACTTTATACCTGTCCTCACCCTCTGAGCATTTTTCCAGTGAGAATCAAGCAGAGTTACTGTTGTTATTGACGATACAATCATTGATGCCAAAGAATGCTCAAGCATGACGGGTTCGAGCGGAGAACCAATTATAAGTGCGGCAGTGTGCGGCTGCCAAACTGCCACCATCATTTCCGCCCCCAATCCAGTCAGTGTCCCCTTTTTCATCACATAATAGACTCTACTCACCAACACAATTTAATTTGAGCAATTATCCATCTTCCAGTACAATACCACAGCCTTTTTATCCTCCAGCATCTTACTCGTACTATAGCCATCCATGAGTATTCTCCTAGCTTTTGCTGTTATCTTGTGTGCCAGTCGGGGTTCAGTTTTGCAAAATCGATGCCATGACACAGTGTGACACTTGTGCCAACTCGCTCATGAGAAATTTTGCAACTCTCTACTGTTTCTGACATTTTGCATCCACATCCCTCTGGCAGCATCATTTGAACACTTTTTGTTTTTCTATAGACTGTATCTTTCCTGTGGCACACGTAGCTACAGCTCCATGTATTTTTTTTATTTTAATGTGTGGTAATTATTGAGATATGAAAACGAGGTCCTCAGATTTTGCAACTCTGGCCCAACGATAGCATCTTATCTTTAGACACCAGAGACATTGCCAGATTTGCTGGAGGGTAATATGCGGAACATATTTGTAAAGTATTTTACATCTATTGTTCAATGTTGAACCTAAACAAATAATGCACAAATGTGAAATTTGTGGTCAAAATTGATTCCCTATCAGATTTATCTCCAAATAAAGAATATATAGACACCAATATTCAGAATTTGAAAGGAAGCCTTTGTTTTTGCACCAGATCCATGCTCATATTGAAATTATGACAACAATATCTTGTATGTGCAGATCTGGTTTGTATTATTCTGAATTTGTTCGATGACTGACCAATAAGAAATCTCTATACCAAATATGTATAGGGTTCATATTGAAAATTTGTAATTAAAATTGATCAGCCACCATATTCATACTTAAATTCTATATATGACATGTATCTTAGAGCAAAATAGATTTTATTTCAAAGTTTAGATATGGGATGCCATCGGATTTAGGATATTGTCCACCCAATTTGCCTAAATGTCATATCACAAACATATGTAAAATTTGATACCCAATACTACAGCAGTACAGATTCTATTACTAATGCAAAATATTTTTGCGGATATGATACCAATCTGTCCTGCAGACAGATTCCGTCCTGCCTCAGGTGAGATGAACAGTTCTTACAGTACAGCCTAATTAAGACGGGCGGAAATGTCCGTGCTAAATCTATCTTTAGACAAGCATCCTAATTGAGACGGGTGGAGATGTCCGAGAACCATGCTAAATCTATCTTTAGGCAAACATCTTAATTATGTAAGACGGGCGGAGATGTTCGAGAAGACCTGTTTTCTAACTGTGTGCTTCATGTACGCTTCCTCAAGTGATTAATTGATTCTCCACCTGTACGCATACATGTATAGGGGCTGGCAATGCTAGGTGAGTATGCATAACTATTGTTCTAGTATCCCTGGCGTTGTATCAAAACTTATGACGGTATAGCCTCCACCACTGAGACAGGACCCAGACAGGACCCAGAGTAGACTCTACGTAGACTGGAACTAGAGTTACCATGTCCCGAACCTCGGACTAACTTACTAACATAGATAGCAGCGCAAACGGTCAGTCAGGCTGAGTCATCTAGACTACAAAGCGCGCATCACATTTTGTAGAATGCGCAAGTGCAGGCCACAAAAAAGGAATGGCTGCCTCCCTTGTGTGTAGACTGTAGCTGATCAACTATAACCTCTGGTGGGTGTTTGACACCCGTAAGTGAACCTTTTTCAATGTCCTAGGCCTCTTACTAGCATGTATCAAGGATCGATACCAACACCATACTCTATGCGTGCGTGTAACCGTATTGCGCCCAATTGGTTGCATTTCTAATTCATACCCCCGTTAGAGGAGGTCAGGCACTCCAACGCAGCATCTGATGGCACCACTGGCTTCTAACAAGGTACGGGCTTTTCCCCATTCCCATATGGATTTGGTTCCGCTGGCATGACGGCGCCTTTTTATTCTAGTTCTATCGTTATCAATCTTTCCAACTGTGGCGGCACTACATCGCCCATAATCCATGCTGCATACAGGTATAGTTCCGGTGTTCGAGGATGCTAATCAAGCTCAGATGCTTACCAATGAAGCCCCTCAGCCTTTAAAAAGAGTCTCAAGATTGGCCGTAGCACTTCAAACCCCACGTCTTATTACACCATGACGCAGACACTTGTCCTATATGATATCGTCTCCGACTTACCAGGCATTAGCTGGTCGCCCAACCCCGCAAAGCCGAGGTCAGTAATTTATGTTCTGCATGTCACTTTGATATCTGACCTACGTCTCAGGTTCGTTTTGAGCTACAAGGGTCTTCCGTTCGTGACTATCTGGGTCGAATACGCAGACATCTCGACCGCTATGCAGGCCATCGGTGCAAAGGCAGACAAACGTTTAGACGGCACGGATGTTTACCCCATCCCGGTCCTCAGCGACCCTAACACCGGTGCCCTCATCACCGACTCCCTCGAGATCGTCTCCTACCTTGAGAAGACATATCCCGAGAAGCCTGTTTTTCCTAACAACTCAGAATCCCTGATCCGCGAGTTCAACTCTACCCATTTGGACCAAATCATTACGCCTTCTATCAAGTCTATCTGGGTCCGCTCCACGGAAATCATGAGTCCCCGCAGTGTGAAGTTCTTCACCAAAGCTCGTTCCATAGACATCGCGCTGCCTTGGGATAAGAGTTACGATGAAGACTGGGCCCTGCTAGAGAAGGGGTACAAGAATACTGTTTACGACTGGTACCAGAAGACAGACGGGAAGTGGTTCATGGGTGACACTTTTTCGTATGCAGACATCGTCGTCGCTTGTTACTTGCTGTGGTTCAAACGAGTTGTGAGGGAAGATGAGTGGGCCAAGATCAGTTCCTGGAATGGCGGGAAATGGGCCCAACTTCTTGCGGATGTTGAGAAGAAGTGCAAGTTGGCGTAGAAAGAAGAAGTGCAAATTGGCGTAGAAGAATTGTGTATACTATAGCAGTTATCTCGAAGACGTTTCAAACAATGATAGTTCGCTCAATAGGTCAACGTTGTAATCACGAAGTGCGCTGGCTTAGGTCAATGTTATGTGGGCCCGGGCCCTTCTATGTTAAGCCCAAGCCGACCTGTCGGACTCGTGAAAAAATAGACACCAAAATCGCAACGGGGACGGTACTCAAGTGCTTACGAGTCACGACTTGGAAGAAACAGAATTCAACATTAGAAATAACTGGGCGCAGGCTGGTGATATGTATTTCTTGTATTTATCACTTCTTTGTACCCAAAACGACATCAAATATCGAACTCATACATCCTTGATTCCGTCAGTAGTTCGGACGTCCAGGAACTTTACCGCCTTCTCTGCTGCGGTAAATTTTACCTCCTTGCTCGCTCGCCCTCATTTCTCTGCGGTGGTCTGCACAGAGTCTGCCTTACAAAATGATAGTGCAAGTGACATGATCCTCGTCGAATGTAAATTAGCAGGGGTGGCACGAGCGAGATCTTCGCCAAAGCCTCTGAAATTACAAACCAAGGTAGATGAAGTTGTCGGTGGGAACAACGGTGGGTGACTACAAGGAGTTGGCAGTGGAAGAATCATGGTGATCGATGATGGTCACGGTTAAAACAGCCAGTAGGGTGCTAAAATTGTTCAAGGCCAAACCGCGAGAGGGGAAGAGCACATCGCCCGCCAGCAGAAGAAAGAGTAAAATCAAGTGGTGCAATAGTCCATTGCAAATATATGTTGGGTAGGGCAGTAGCAGGGAATAGCACTCATCTGAGCCGCCTAAGTAACCACTCAAAGGGAGAAAAACACAAGCTTACGCACCAACTGCGATAAAACCCCCAAAAATCAACGTATTGCGAATGTCGCAAGTCATACATCACTTTTCCAATTCTAGGGGTCTTCCGTCTTCGTCGTATCAGATCCTTTGCAGAATCAGATACACCTACATAATCCACAACGGGGGGTAAGTTCGTGGTTAGCGGAGATGTCCGGTTCCTACAGTGATTAAGGGTTGCAGAAAAGTATAATGCCGTGATGAGTGATAGTAAGACTTACTACATTTCCCATTTCCGAATAATGTACGACACATCGCATCAAGACGAAATCCTATCAATAGCACTACGCGTTTAGTCGGCAAAATCACAACGTGTTTCGTCCGTTGATGGCTTGGACCCTATGATAGCTGACAGATCCTTGACATTATTAGCCAGTGAAATGAGAACGTCGATCTAGAAGGAAGGCTGTTGAAGTACGTGCTGTGTCATGCCATCACCAAGATACGTGTACCTCGGCAAAGATTCGATAGATGGTTTTGCCTAGCGCACCATCGACAATGAACGGCCTACTAGGTAGATCTGTTCATCGATCTACCACATACGAGGATAACGTACCGAAGTCACTGACTCAGTGTATCTGTGTGTCGAAAGCGGCGTAGCAGCTAAGTTCGAATGATGAGTCATGTCACTCATCGTGGACGAACGACGGCATCGGACGGTCACTCTGGGATTTTGAATATTAGACTGTGACACACTGCCAGAACACAGTGAATGCCATAGCCTACCTGTCGAGTTGAAACTGCCGGAGGTAGAAAAAATGTAGCAGAAAGTTCAAAGCAGCGGGTTTGACACAAAAGCACCGACTCGAGCCTGGTCGTCCGGAAGTGAATTAGTGGATAATCACTGCTGCAAGAATTATTCGTGATAAACTTGGAACCAGGGGGATTCCCTGCGGCCCGCCAGGTGGTCCGATGTTTGACAAATGACATGCATAAGTCCTTCTGGTAGTGGTACATAGCACCGATGACTAAGTCTGGTCGTTGCTGCGACACCATTACAAATTTAATATTATAGTGGTGCTGCCAACGAGCATATTCATCCATCTACCGGTCCTCGCGATTGCTGCGGCCCTCAAATTCGACGAGGACACCAGCAGCAGTCTCCGACACGACAAAATGTACACCCAACTACCAGGATTGTACAAGCTTTATTTTGTAACATACTATGCTGGTAGCAGCGTATGCTATGATCACTAACCAGTACTACTTGCGTTCGTGTATGGGTGTCGTACGCGGTAGTATACATGAGAATAAGGTATCCAAATTGTAACACAAAGAAGCCAAAGAAAAGTAAGCGACAACACCCGAAGAAGAAATAACAATGTCCAACAAATAGCCTTAGGTATCAGAAGAAGAACGTACGGTATGGGTCACAACACAGAACAACGAATGTGACGAAAGTGAAGTAAGGAGGATGGATGCTTCATTGCCGTGGCACGTGTAGACCATTTCGAGACGAATGTTTGTCACTCGTTTGGCGAGCACGGCCAGGAAGCGCAGGGATGTGACGCGAGACGCCATTGGGAACGCCTAGCATAGTACGGTCACCATTCACAATGATGGATTCCTTCTCAGCAACTCCGTTCTTTTCGAATTGAGCACGTTTGGCATTGGCCGGACCCAGGGTCTGTGAAGGGAGACGCTTGAAAGCAGGCCGGAATATTTCGCCCTCCGAGCTTCCTGTGCAGTCAGAAGCAACAGATGACTCTCTTGACCCATCTCTTGATCCGCTTTGAGTGCTTGAACTTCCCATGCTGCTCACACGAGGTACAGGCAACGAAATGGACACCCCATTCATAGGTGGCGCAGCTCCCTTCACGGGAGGCAGATGAGACATGAATGCCTGCGAAAGTGACGATGCCGACGAGGAGCTCGAAGGACGGCTGGCGTTCAAATCAAAACCGATATTCAACTGCGAATGTGTGGTATCTGTGCGACGGTTAGTGCCACGTGCACCGGAAGAAACAGATCCAGGTGGGTTTGCCCGCGTACCTCGCCGTTTTGGGAGGTTGAGGTTGAGCGATGCGTTGCGAGCATTGACAGCAGCTTCATAGCTCCGAAGATCTTCAGGATTGCCATGGAGCGTCATGCGAGCTCCCTCTCCATTGCCGTTTGCCATACCAGGAAGGGCTCGTTCTACGGTGGGCGTTTTGGAACTTGGAAGAGAGGATACACGAACTCTTCGGCGTGAAGAGGGAGATTGAGGCATGGTGCCCGGCGCTTCTGAGCCGGCGAGTTGAGGTCCACTCATAGGCGTGCGTATGAATGCCTTCCACATGAAGTCGTCACGACCTAAACCAGGTGTGGGCAACGCAGAGAGTGACATGCCGCGATCTCTGAGCTGCTGCTGTGATAGTGCCTTGGGCGGCATCGGAGTAACGTTCGGCGAATGAGGTCGCATATTCATTGCAGCGTTTGAGAAGAAAGGTACACCATCTGTTGAGAGCCCAGCAAGGACATTTGGGTCGTCAATAGACATGAGTCCAAATGCGGAGGAGAACCCGCCTTCACCGACTCGAGAATGTTCATCGGATTGCTGGTCGTGGGATTCAGGTGCAGAGGTAGAGGACATTGAGTCTCTTCGGCGTTGAGGGTCAAGCAGCATTCGCTGTTGAAAGTCCTCTGAAACGCCCTGGTACATATCCCCCGCCGAGAGGGGGAGATGGACGTTGGACGAAGTAGCGCTAGAAGGCATGGATTGCGAAGCGCTACTGCCGTCACTGTAATCAACGGAGTCTCGGCGAGGCCGGTAGGCTAATCCAATGAAGGGCCCAGTGAACATTTCTGAGCTGAAGTTATCTGAACCGTCCGCACCATATTGATTTTGTGAGAAAGCTTCATCCAAAGACGCGAACTGGGGTTGACTAGTTTGTAGAGTCAACCCCGGGTTTGTGCTCTCGCCCCATCCAAGCCAATTGTTGGAAGGTTGATTATGGTCCGTGTAAAGCTCAGGTAAAAGTGCCGGTGAACCTTGAGGATTTGCAAGCATGGGAGCTCCGGCATGACGCATAAGGTCAGCTTGTGCGCGATTTCTTCCAGCAATATCGGAATCGGAAGAGAGCGACATGGGAAGATGTACGGCGTTTGCTGACGAAGCATACACATGATTGAAGGAAAATGGGGTTGTGTAAAGCGGATCACCCGAGGAAGTGTCCATACTGGGTACGCTGACTGGGGAAGGACCAAGGATGAAGTCGTCCATTGATAGCCGTCCATTCCCAAGAGAAGAAGAAAGGGAGGCGGGGCGAGGCACATGATGGCCAGGGCCACTTGGTGCGGTTTGACGGTGGAATTTCACATAAGTACAGCGACCCTTGCGTTGTGAGCATTTTGCTATAACAAGAGTGAGAATAGAATCGTGGGTTTTGGGGCACAAACGTACAACAAGGATTGCAACCGTCGCACGGTAAACTTGATTGGACGCATTGGTCACATGCTTGCTTCGAAGTAGTTGCTCGAGAGGTTGAAGCAGAGCCCTTGCGACGACCATTGGTGGCGGTTTGAGGCGGTTTTTCATTTGCATGACACTTGTTGACGTGGCGCGATAAAAGATCGCTGAGGTAGATTAAGTTAACGAAGATCAAATAAACCATTTGCTTGAAGACTTTACCTGCGTGCAAATTGGTCTCCACAATACTGGCACTTGTAGGGGCGATCACCTGTATCTGTTGAGGAGCGAGCCGATGTGGGTCAGTGAAATGATGATGGTGGAGGTAGATTGTAAGGACAGGGGGTAAAAGCCTCCCGTGGCAAAGTGGAGCGAAATTAGTGCTAGAATGGAAAAAAGTACATACGTGATCGCATGTGACGAGCGACGTGCTGTGGACGAGTGAAGGTAGCCTGACAGACAGGACATTGATGGTCACCACCCATTGGTATAGAATCTAGTGGATGGTAGTGAGAGTTAAAGAAGAAGTTCCAGAGTTCAAGTCGTGGACGAGTGGATGATACTATCCGATGACACAAACCTTGTACACATATTTATCCTTACCAAAACACCTGGATCTATAACCTTCGGCGTCGGCCGTTATGATGTCATACATACCTAATCGGCTGACACTGCTTTCTTACATAATATCAAATCTCTCTCCTAACTGTCATTCCATTCATTATAGGTTCTGTTCATCCTACAACTCTGACCTTCTTCCAAATCATCCTCTCCATTCTTCATCCTCCACATCATCTTCCCTAAAAATCAAAATAAAAGTTCGAAAACCTAAACAAATTGCCGTTCCCGTCGTCAAGACAATGCTGGCAATTTAGCGTGTGACGCCATTTGATGTCACCTATTTGCGCGAGATCGTGGCGGAGATCAACCCGCTACAAACACGCGGACTGACGTCAGTTCATCAAAACACTCCTACGAAACGTGTCTTTCACCTTGGTGCGGAGACGGGCACGAACACTTCAGCATTCGCCCTATCACCGTAAATTTAATCAGTAATCTCCCTCCGATTCAATCGTCATAGGGCTGTAAACATGAATAGCAGATCGCTGCCGGGCGTCTGGTAACAGGCTCCGGAGAAGGCAGGCGTCATGAAAAGGCATTGCATCGAGCCTGATCACCACCCTCGTTGTCCTGTCCCTGTTCTACGGATCTCCGCGACAGGAACAGTGTGAACACTCATCATCATGATGGATAGCAATCTCACGGCCCAACACTGTGGCTCGCTTCCTCGTCAGATTATGCCGGCATTCTTAAGAAGCCAGGGGAGCTGATGCCAAGTTAGTTGGCGCTCCCCTTAATTAGAAACTCCCGCGTCATAAGACGTCTTCAAAATCCGAGGCAGCAACAAAATTAAATGACTCGATCGCAATTGCGATCACTGGCCTCGTCCTCAGGTAACACAGGCAAAGCCGGTGTCTCCCAGGCGATGTCAAGAAAAAGAAAAAGAAACAAAGGCAATGGGCGCTGAAGCAAAAAATAAAATGATACTCAACGGTGTAGTGTTATCCACTCCAATGTACGCCATATTAACTGGGATATAGTGCTTGTTTGGCAGGTTGTACGTGACGGACTCAACGCCCGCGTTCTCCGCGATGACGCGTTGCCCCATCTTAAACAACGTTGCCTGCCATCAATAGAACCATCAGAAACGTGCACAACACGAGGATAGAAGTCTATGACGCACTTGCACACTAGCGCTGGAATCCAGGGCAAAAATATCGAGCGTCGCAGTTCTCGCCCGCGTCGCAACATTAACTGCATCCCAAACACCTCCGAGGGCGAAGCCCTCTGGGACGATGAAACCGAGTTTCTTGTCATCAGCGGGGGAGATGAGCGATAAGGGCGCGAATGTATAAGTCAGGTCCACGGAGGTTGACAAAACACGATCGTCCACTTCCTGCAGCGTGGTGTACTCATCGCGGATGTATCCATGAAACGCAGAACCACCCGACTTGAGCACTGCGATGCGCAGGAATGTGTGAATACGAGCTCGAGAGTGCAAGGATAAGCTCACCCAAGAGATCGGTAATTCCCGATGTTACTTTAGCTGAGAGCTTGTCCTTGCCAGCAGAGGCATCGACCTGGGGGGAAAGAAAGGAGTGTTTGATAAGCTCTATATATATGTTTAAGAAAGAGAAGGGTGACAGTGTCTCGACCGAGAGTTGCCGCAGCTCGGCAAGTAACGGCAAGGGAACACTCCACTTCAGCGACTTTGATACATAGTTTCGCTCCACCCGCCAAGTCGGAACTCGAGAAGCATAGACGGCGTCCAATTAAAATTCGTACCTCGACCTCGACCGTCTGTATGTCATTCCCGTCTCTAATGAACGAATGCGGGTGCGGATGGTCATTTGCACTCAAGGCAATGCGAGACCAACGTAACTTCTCCAAGGTAACGAATGCACGGTTTATATGCGCATACTTGGAAACGATGTAAGTTCCAAGATGCAATGCGAACCGTTCTGGGCTGAGGATGTGGGGTGAAATCTTGGCAAGATCTAGTAATCGCCGCAGTGTCCATCTTGGTTAGCTGGTATGTCCTCCATCATTAGTGGACGTACAATATGTGATGTTCTTCACTATATGATACGTCATGCGGTGAGCTTTAGCTGGACCATCGTACAGATTTACATACTAGAGTCTGTTGCAACAATAACGGAGTTGTCTGCAACCGTGTAGCTGAATACCCAACTATTAGAGACGGTGGAATTCACAGTATACTATGCAAATCACTGACCTTGTCTCGATCTCGCCTTCTAGGAGTACTCTGACATTATATTCCACGACTTGGTGAAACTCGCCATCCCGAACAACACGAAAGAGGCGAACGAGGTCCTTGCCATATCGAGCGTTTGTGAGAATTGATTCAGACATTATCGGCAACAGTGCTAGGCTCGCAGTTTCAGTTGGTCTTCCAACGTTCAAGACCTCGTTCAACTTGTAGTAGAAGTTTATAGATTGGCTGCATTAGGGAGTCTGTTGCGGCGTAGCGGCATATCACACGCTACTATAATCAGCTGATAAGCGACTAGGCTGAGTAAGCGCCCTGATCTTCCCCTGGACACGGTCTCCTGGATATAATATATTTCATTTTCAACCAGTTAAAATCGCATTCCGCTTTTTTTCCACATTGCAGTCCGTCCTATAAAGCAGTTTTCCTACCGTAGGTGTTTTCCTCGATCTTCCATCATACCAATGGTGGTACTCTGCCATCTCTGTTTGACGTCGACGGAACGCAACCACGGGTACCCGTTCTCGTGCGAACTGCTTATCTTGAGCGTGGGTTATCCGAACAACTACAAGTGCCATCCTCTACTCGCGACCGTGACCACCCTCAAAATTGAATCACTTCCGTTTTTTCCCAAGGAACCTTTCCCATTAATACGACGATAAGGGGACCAGATAAGGCAGATCGTCGTCCAAGAAAATGCCATGGATTGATGCGCACAAGTTTTCCCCAAACACGATTATCAAAGGACACTTGTATGCTCATGAAGCAATCACAGAGCGCTCAACTTGAGCATACGTCCGAATCCCTGAGGTGCAATAAGACGTTGTAAACGCCTCCTCCAAGACGCTGGCCAACTGCTGGGGCCGTTTTGCCCTTATCGCGAAGCTTCGATTTACTTGGACACTCAATTATATCGGCCAGCTTCACTGTTTGCGGAGGTCCGTTCCAGGTACTCTCGATGGCGTTTTGTAAATAGGACTACTCTTCACCGACTGCGGTGCAGGTCCCTTCTCTTCTTATGACGAGATGATGGAATGGCTCAACCACAAGTTGGATATGCGTCTCGTTTCAATAACTCGGGCCACTAGTCTTCACACACCAGGACTTGTGTTTTGTTGGCGCGATGGTACGGCCTATATGTTGGATAAAATCCGGACCATTCTCAGTCCAAGGGTTGGACCGAGAATAGTCGGGACTTTACCTGTCATGGTTCGAGTACATCGGCATGCGCTCTGATCAGCATTCCAGGTCGTACTTGTGAAATTGTTTGATGACTTGGATCTCACGTTGCGAGTCAAATTAGGTGCTGCAATGTAATCTTTTGTATCCGGCAGTTTTTAGGTACCATAAAGAGTACTGAACGTAGGATCCATGGCGGTGTATTTTCTTCCAGCCTTGGAAGAGACACTAATTCAATTACACCGATCCAGGTTGCTTACATATGTGCTCCGTGCTCTTATTCGCGATAGGACCCCAGCTGGGACCAATGAAGCAAGGCGACAAATCAACTGTACTTCCCTGATGAGACAGTGCCCATCGACGCATCTAACAGACCGCATCCGAGATCAGATTGGTCGCCATTACATCGGACTCAGAGTCTCGATTTCCTTGGATGGAATTTGATATCAGAAAGCACCGGATGACCGTTGGATGACCGCATAAGCATGTGCTTTGAATCAGGCGCTAACTCGTGTCAGTTACCAATACATTTAGAGAGTTTGATTAATCAAGAACCTTCAAAATGAAAGTCGGATATCAAACCCACGTGCAGGCTCGTTGCCTCAGGTTTTTCATATTCGAGGTATATAGAATTCAGATGTAGCCCATGCTACCGTTAGAGGAGTTGACTAGTGACGTGGCGCCGCTGAGGTCGGATCGGAGTATATGGAAGCATGATGCACGATATCTATATCACAAGGCTGCTAGTGGCACTGTGTAGTTGTTGTTGCCGCATGAAGAATGAGCAGGATAATTTGCAAAAAATAACGTTTAATGTTATAGCAAAGGCACGCGTGCTGCGCAGGGTTTCACAGACAAGACTCGTGGGTGGTCTAACTCACCGATGTAATCGTGGTAGAAGCCGGATTCCAAAAATGCATGCTTGAGCTTAAGATTGGCAGAACGTAATGACACCCGAGGAAACACGACGGCACAGTGACTCGAATAAAGGTACCAGATGGCAGACAGGCGTCACCTGCCAGTGCTACACAAACTTTGATCAGTCAAGTGACGAATGGTAGACATTCGTACAGACATTCGTACGCAAGCGAACCACTTCAATATCATTTACCGGTCACCAGGTAATAGACCAACCGCCCCGTATTAGGGTGCACAGCCAGCGACGCGATAACGAGCGATAGGTTGGATGACAAGGACGAACGGCAGTTGCCGAGGCTCGGCCTTGAACCTTTCTTTGCTTATCCGCCTTAACTTGCGGTCAGTATATCATCGATTCATCATTCGATGTCATCCTTAGCTCATTTTCATAGATAGTAACATCCTGGATAATCCCTGGGATTTTGCCCCTGTCGAGATGTACGTCTGAGCGCTAGCTCTTGGGACCATTTGGGTAAACATGGGTCATCGTCGGAACAACTTGTTCTTTTCCTGCGTCATTTTATTAATCTTCTCACCTCCGGTGACGTTTTCGGACCTGAAGTACAGAGAGCTATAGCGGCGATAATCGCTAGTGTCCATGATGGTGTCAGCGAGAGGTTTCAGGCATTGGTAGCCACCCAGAATTTCCTCGTTCACCCATAACTGAGTCAAACTTCGAAGAAGTGACTAAATCTCGAAAATCACCTCGAGAAATTGTGAACAGGTGCGAATATTGGCCGAAGCCTACCACTATTGATCATCATTAGCAACAAAAGCATCTTTCTCAACGAACACATTTCAGAGATCTGGACTGCCCTTGCATCCTACGAGATAACCACGCCGCTCTCTGCAGATTTATCATTAATCGCTATCGTTGTAAACTATTCACGCGCACTTTCCTCTACCAGAAGGCACGTCATATGCATATGGCCCAAAAGTCAGCTGACTGGACGCCCGCGTCCAATGAACTCTCCGAAACGCGCTGGCTTGACGCTCCTCATTGGTTTTCATCAATCCACATACTTCCTGACAAAGATGTACGCGCAAGCAAGGCTCATCAGACAACCAAGTTATCCAATGGGAACTTAAGACAATGTACTTATGAGCTTAGTTTCTCGGTCACCTCATCATGGCGCTAGAATATCATGCGGCTGGGGCCCAGACAATGTAGAGCGAGGGGGACACACTGGGATTTAAGAGGGCTACTGGAAAGTTTCAGATTGTTGCGCTGGCGTCGCGAAGACCCTGCTGATAAAGATAACGCTCGCCTCAAAATGCAACAAATTCACTACCGATGCTGATGATGCGTTGCTATTCTATGTTGGTATCCTGCAGGTAAGTGTATTCCCCATCATGGTACCGCGCTATTTATTTTCAATGCAGATTTGTATAATTCAGATGACTCCGACGAATTGGGTCGCGAACCTTACAAGTCTAGCGGCGGTCGTGTCTTGCGGCACTTGAAAGTCATTGTTGCATAGCATGTAGCCATCGCTTTTGATACCAACGTATCCAAAATCACTCGTGGCACACTTTCCCTCGGTTTGCTGGAGATTCCTCATGCCAGTTTTGATATCGCCAACTTAGATGACACCTGCGAGGCATATTTCATTGTAACTTCTTCAAAGCCCTTGTCCATTTACAAAGATATAGCCAAATCAATTATGAAACCCCATCTCCCACAAACCTTTCCTGGCACCGTTTATGCAGAGGCTACATCAATGGGCCTCCTCACGTACTTCTCGTCTTCTTCTAGACGCGTAGCTTTGGAGATTTCCAAGTTCGAGATGATCATATAGTGGCTCTGGACAAGCTAGAGCTCGAACTGACAAGCCTTATCATCAATGTTTGCATGGCCTGAGATTTACTAAGTACAGATCATCAGGCAACCACTGAAAATTTCTTATCTCGGCCACGTTCTCAAATGTACGCCATCTTCTTCTCGCCATTCGGGTTGTGTGAGTTTTGAACAGATTGGATTGTTCTTCTGCACTACTACACAGTACTGTGCTTGGATGTGTAAAACACCAAGTAGAAAGATTGTAACAGCATAAATTGGTCGTCAAACCAGGAACCTCAAACCCGAGTTTGGCTCTCCCGGTGGCTAGATGATGCCTGCAGCCAGTGAGTGACAGAAGCGGTTCAAACACCAAGATTGACAGTATTGCCTAGCATCTGCCGTGTGGAGAACGATAGACTCGACGAAGGCGCCATCATCATGACATGGGATATTTGCAAAACGTTCTTGCGACAAAGCAACGTTTATGCAGGTCACTTACATAGTTCCCGCTGCCGTTAGGAAGTGGGTCTTGTAAAACATGCATGTCTGGTCCGGAGGGTTCATGTGAGATCTGTTGGCACCTGAACGATTATCAGGGTCGCTCTCTCCAAACCTGAAGGTCTGAGGTTTAAATTCTCGCGGATACATTTCATATGAAGTGAGAAACTACCTGTTCGTGCCCTCGTGCGACGTTATAACCCCATGGCTGTGAGAGAGCGAGGTGGTGGCTTGAGGCGACAGGGAATAGAACAGCGGCACTTTGAGGCATCTTAGAGATTGACCGAAACAGGCGACCTTGTAATTCAACCTCTTCTGTTTTCATTTGACTTTGTTGTGAATGTGAGACTGCAATAGGCTCACTGAGAATTATGCAAGCGGCCGCATCGCACATATGCCGGTTATATGTTAGGTCGACAAACTGCGTGGAATCTTTGACAGAACCCCTGAATCAAGGCAATCATGGCAAGAACACCCCAAGCATGACATTGAAAATGAGTCGCCGGAAAGCTTTTGCGGTGTCTACATCTATGACCGCTTTGCAGGTTCGCAACTTCGGTCAATCAAGGTATAATTCCCATGTCGATGGTGTTCATCTTAGCGATAGTAAGGTACCGGATGGAGGCATATCCAGCATGGATTAAAACGACCGTCATGTTCACCGCTCGTTCACACCCACCCCTCGAAAATGACCGGAGTCGGAGGTTCGTGGACAGCTGGTCGAATGACATCGGTGTCGTGTCGGTAACTGCGGTGGTATGCGATTGGCTTGAGCAAGCGTATTAGAGATTCGCTTATCATATTTCCAGCACTCACATTAATTGGATAAGAGGCAAGTAGGCCTAACCGATATTGACAAAATATCATGCGAGTCCTCATGATCATTCGGTCACATGCCATGTATCAGCGATCCAGAAAGTTGTTCATCTTTCTCCTTGTGATCTCCCTAGCTATGTCGATCGTGTGCGCACTTGCTGGCGTGATATCGAGCAGAAACGTTGCAGGGGATGAGCTCTAAATTGGATGCTCAGTTTTAGATCAGGTTCATCAGACGAACATCAGAGTATCTCGTCATTTGTGACACCTATCGATACATTTATCGATGAGATGAACACCGTGCCTTGAAGTTCACGATGTGAATTTACTTCGCATACCTTACAAGGTGAGCTTGTCATTTCAATGTATAAAATCATTTGGAACGTCTCGCAATCCACCAAGTTCCCTTGATGCACCACGGGTGGGTATTACCAATATCCATTGATTACTTGACATCGGCTACGGGGTTCTGACTGGATTATGTCCAAATATATGGAGCAGGGAATGAGATGTCGAGATGGCTATGTAGGAACGAGGACCCCTTCAATGGCATCGGTGAGTGAACACAAGCGGGACCTGGACGAAGTTAATGGACCCCATCTACTGGAACATCTCTTCCGTAGCGAATGACGTGATCCCACACGCCTCTCAATATATCCTCATGTGGAGATCACAGAATTAGACGTCGTTAGCATAAATCTAGAGTCTAAAGAACTGGAAAAGATTATATCTCGTAAGCTTTCGAGAGGAAGCAGCAACGTTCATGCATTACCACATTCGGCCGAAGCCTCATTATGTCGATGTGGTGTGGAATCAATGGAACATTCTTGAGATGCTGCGAAGAACGTGGACTGAAAGGGATACAGCGGTGGTTAAAGAAGGTGGTCCCGTGAGGGTAAGTAAAAATGCACTAACCTCAACGGTCTATTCCTAAAGTGATCGTGAGCTACAGTTATGACGCAATACACCCACGTACCTGTCATCTTGAAAATAGTCCAGAAGCTGATGCAGCAGCATTCAGGGTTGCTCGAGCTCCACAAGCTGCATAAAGCAGATAAAGTAGATTTCCAATCTTGGTCTACACTGGTCGACATCTCGAATACGATAGAATTTTTACAAAACCAGACGCGTGGTAGATGGATACCCCACACCAAGAGTGGATATCACACTAACGCTTAGCACGGTGATCTTTTATAAAAGCTCAGGGTGCTCTGTCACGATTGCGAGAATCACGAAGCGCACCAGCTGAATCACTTGACTGGGAATTGTGACCTGCGTCGCTTCGATCATTGTGCGCCTATACATGCGGGTCAACAGTTGACAGTTAACTTGCATGGTAGAGGATTAACGGCAGGCATGACGCACGAGATCAAACTCGTTGTGCAAATGGACAAGACGTGCTGCCTTGGATTGTTTTCTTTTTCCAGTTTGACCTAACAGGTGTTAGATTGATTCGAAGAATCACCAGCAATATTATTCTATAAGCTTCAATAACTCTGATCAAAATGGAGATCACAGTGCAGAATATTTTTAGGTATATGGAGGTCTGCACAATGAGCACAAAACGTCACATAATGCTTTCTGCATACCTGTTCAAGCTCAAGTTGTGTTCGAGTCGTAAAGTGCGTCGGACATATCCGGGTAAGGGTAGCTCTGCCAAATTTCCCACCCTCTTTATTTCCTCAGCGTTGGCCTCCGCGTCGTGACATTCCTTTCAGTAGTTTACTCAACCTGCTCGGAAGACACCCAAAATGCGGTCTACACTCTCCACATCTGCCTTCAGACAGGCTGCTCGTCCCCGCCGTCTACCATCCCAGTATTCACGCTTCGCCAGCTCAAACGCGGAGACAGCGCAGAAGAAAACGCAGGACGCGCTCGGGTCCGCTCAAAAGACAGCGGAAAAGCTTTGGGAGAGCTCAAAAAAGTTCCTTGGTCCCCTCGGTGAGCGTGCTGGAAGCATGCTTGGATGTATGTCATTCCGTGATTTTATTCTTTGCAAACATTGATGCGGCTCTGTTTGTGTTTAGCATACCGTCAACCTGTGATGTATAACTTGTCTGTTGCACGCGAATTGTTGAAGCAGGTTTATGTGGCGGAGCGTTTGCAACCTCCCACCGACCTTGCAGTAGTGAAAAGCGCATACTCAACATTATGGAGCCGTGCTAGCAGCCAAGCATATTGGCGAGGGATACTCAGTTCCGGGGAGTGGGTCAAGGTTGCCATATACGGTGTGGAAGCATACGGTATCTTCAAGGTTTGTTTTACACTGGCTTATGATGTTACAATCATTAACTGTCGACAGATTGGAGAGATTGTCGGGCGGAGAAGTATCGTCGGATACAACCTTAATTAGACACCACATTATTTATCATCGAAAGCATGTCATAATGCTCTACACCGACTCTATTGCATAGATATTTCACATATCCCAAGATGATGCTGTGTCTCGTCCTCCCAAATCTCTATTACAGATGGTGGGTATGTTGTACCACATTGACAAGTCACGGACGATGATATAGATATCCAAGTCACGTATAGCAAGAGAATAAAGTATAGACTCTAATCCTCCTTCTTTGCACCAATCTTCTTTTCTGCTTCCGTAATTGATGCTGCGTCTGTTTGAGGACCAGCGGCAGCTGAGAACACAATAGTTCATTGAGTGACATGACAAGTGTATAGGAAAATTCACGTGCCTCCGAACATTGATGCAGCCTTGAACGGTCTCTTGAGATCACCCTCTGCAGCCTTCCCAAGAATGTGAATAGCAACAGGCTTTGCATCGTATAGATTCTTCAGACCCATGAGGGCTTGAATGAAGAGAGGCTGGGTGTACTTCATGTACAAATGGAAGAAGGCCATCATGGCGACACCAAAGTACGCAGCGCGAAGCTATAAAAATTGCAGAATAAAACCAAACTCCTTTTGATTTCAAAAATATGACGCACAAGTTTCGACGTTTCGGACAGGTCATAGTCGCGGACCGTCGTAGTCACAAGTCCTCCAGAGTCGGGCGACTGATACTATGTGAGCCTAACGTGTGCTACTTGCCATATGAATGGAATATTACCATGGGATTTTGAGCATCGACTAGTACAGACGCTCAGATATACAACGAGGAAATTTTAAGACACGGACTGACCATATTTCAAGACCGTCTGGTCATTCTTCTGCCTGACCTGTGTTATCGCACATATTCAGATGCCACGTATGTGTTCTAAAAAATCCTGCTAACCTTGTAGGAAACAAAGAAGTATGCGCCCAAGATGATGACTTGACTTGTAACATAACCTATCCGCACATAGTTGAGAACTTCCGGGTCGTCGAATGGAATCCGACGGGCAACTGAGAACACGTCACACGAGTTTCGAATGTTAGTAGCCTCCGGAATGAGATTGTATATGCTGACCTTGCATCGCACCAAGGGAAATGACGATGTTCTGTATTCCGGAGTTCATTTTGGTGTTGACTAGGTAGTCCTTCGAAAATGAAGTTTGAAGAGTTTGAGAGTCCGGGTAGAGCTTGGAAGGCGACGTGACAGTATTCTGTGACATGCCTGCGCTTGTGACAATGTGTCACATATCCTGTTTAGATGACGTCAAACTCATGTAATACTGCAACTGCATAATAAAGCAGACTAGAATTCAAAACTCCATTGAATCTCTCTTCTCGAGCTCTCGTGCATGATGTTTAACGAGGCCACAACCGTATCCCGTGCGACCTCTCTTTCGCGTGCCAGCAAGCACGGCTCGACAGCCTCATCGCGCAACCAATCTCTCATCAAGAAAAACGTTGCTCCACAGGATCTCCGCCCATCCGATATTCTTATCGAGCGATTTGTCTCCTGGAAAGCTATTGTGAAGCAGCTCATCAGTTACTTTGAAGGCGTCGCCGATATCGAGAACAACATCGCCAAGGAATACACGAAGCTTGGCGCAGTAATTCAAGTACCTTTCCGCTCAGGAAATCAATTTCTAGGCGAAGGAGGCCTGCAGGTATGAGGATCCTTGCTAGCTCCACTGTATTTCGCAGACAATGCATCAGGACGTATATTACGGCATTCGCGACAAAACACGCACCATTGCCGACCAACATGCAAACCTGGGTCGGACCGTCGATAGCTCCATCGTGCAACATCTACAAAAACTGCACGCAGAAATTAAAGCGCACATAAAGGTGCGTACTCTGCCTGAATAGTGTACGTATCACACCCTGAGTTTGACCAGAATGTTCAAAACGACACTGGTAAATTGGCCACCAGTGTTGCCAAAGAACGCGAGCTATCCGGAAGAATGATCGGTGAACTGGCAACGAGTGTCAGCATTTTCAAGAATACCCCGATGGGCGTGACCAATAAAACTGATCCGTGAGCACTTCAAGGCTTCCTGCGATGAGATGCACTTTTGACATGTCGCAGTTATGTTGCCAACATAGCAGTCATGAGACAGTTGCAAAAACAGGTTCATGAAGAAAATGCTCTTCAGAAATCCATCATAATAATGCAACAGAATTCTGCCCACTTCGAGGAAGGAATTGTACGCGCCATTCAGTCGGCTTGGCAAACTTATGATGAGTGGCGATCTCGAATGACTAATTCGGTGCAAGATACGTGGCATACTATGGGTCGAAACATGGTCTCACTTGCGCCCGACCGGGAGTGGATATCATTTTCAGCCAGGTCTGACCATCTTCTTGATCCCGAGACCCCTCTGCGTAATCCAGAAACCATTCAGTACCCCTCGAAAGAAGACACCTCGGTCATAGCCGTGCATAACGGACATCTTGAACGCAAGAAGAGGTTTACGAGGACCTATCGCGAGGCATACTATGTCCTCACTCCCGCAGGATTCTTGCACGAGTTTACGACGTCTGACCCATCTCAGTCAGGCAGTCAAACTCCAGTATTTTCATTATTCCTTCCGGCGTGCACGCTTGGCCCTCCGTCAACGCCGTCTTCAAAGTCTCACAAGTTCCATATCGAGGGTCGCAAAGACGGTACGGGTACCACTAAACATGGCTCTTTCAAATTGCCTATGACGGGTGGCCAACACGCTTGGTCATTCCGTTCTCGTAGTCATGAGGATATGATGGAGTGGTGGAATGATGTCAGAATGTTATGTGCCCGTTATCTTGTCGCCAGCGAGCAAATGGACCGCGGGGGTCCAGTTGAGGCGGCAGTCCGTTCCGCTGGATATATCAGTGACGAAGAGGACGAGGAGGATGGATCTAGCGTCGAGCAGGACCAGGAAGATGAAGATGAGGATGATCAGTATGAAGATGCTGACGCTGACGCTGTTGTTGATGATGACGAGGAGGATCATAAGACTCCGCCTTCTTACTCCAACCCCGCCAAGAACTCTTTCAATGGTACACATCAGGATGGTTACGCGGTAAGTATCTTGATTTTGGTCGAAGTGTCCGCTAATGATCTTTCTGCTCAGCCAGACAAACGAGCGTCGTCGATGAGCCACGACGACAGCATGGCTTCGTCACGCCCAAGCAGGCGTCAGCAGGAAAAGGCACCCGAAGGACGACCTCCGCATGACCAACAATCATCTAATATTGTGGGTCAAGCTCCTAGTGAGCACGACGAACGTGGCTCTATGCCTAAGAACGGCGAAGCTGGTCCCGCGCCAGTGGAAAGCAAATCTAATGAAGGCACGGAATGACCGAGCAGCGGCATGACGGCTATCCTCCACAACGTAACTTAATCAGCAACCAATCATAGCTCATCGAACCTGTTCCTTTACTTTATTGTTTTCTGTGTATTGTCAGTTAATTCGTACACGAGATTGTTTGATCTATTTAACACACCTGAAACCCCATTAGAAACTGGTGTACCTATTGATGTTATCATTAATACATTAATGTCTATGGATTGAGATCAGCTGCATACTATGATATCAGCATTTAATGACAACCATCAGAGACTTTCTTGGGAGTAAGGTTGACGCTACAAGTCCCCCACCGTCCAAGACATAAAGGGGATAAAAACGCCTAGGTTCATCCTAGTCAGGATGATAATATATCACTTTCCGTATATTTTACATTGTGTCTGCCAAAGAACTTTCTCACAAGACCTTGCGGACAATTTATGTAAATCCCACCTGTTACCTGCCGCCCGGTCCCTGAACTATGAAGTTTAGAGTGATCCAATGACAGCCTGAGGCAAGACGAAAAACAGGCCATTTCAGCATGGCGAAGCCACTCAATACTGCCATTATTTCAGCATGTACTAGAAGTTAATATGCTGGGCCGATAAGTATCCTTTCGATATATATTATTATATATGCATACCTCATTCCCTCGCGATGTTGTGCTCCTCAGCGTCGGGATAGTACTAGTGGCAACTAAATCTCATAGATGTACTAAGTCCTAGCGCCGACGAGTAGAAATAGTGAGTTTTGCATGCTTTTTATGTACTGAGCTGCTTTTCATTTCGGGTTAGTTGTCTACCTCCTTATTTGGAACACTCTCACCGTATATACCAGCTTATTGTCAATACATTGACTTGATTTCAGCTCACGGGTCCCCTTCAAGTGATTCTTATTGTTTTTGTGCTGATAGGCTGAGAGAACTCCTTCGATTACCTAAGCTTCAGAGGCTTGCAGAAGACAATTGAACCGGGACTTCGCTACACGCTTCCGGTAAACTTTGTGTCTACGCGCAAACTTTGATCTGCCTTGGCGATGGACCGTTGCGAACGTATAAGATGTCCTGATTATTTATTATTTTTGCCTAGGTTTATTCACCCGTGTCCGACCTTCAGAGCAATTGCGCTTGACTCTATTCAAAAGCCATTCTGCGTCCATGGACGCCTTCACTACTCTCAGTGCATTTTTCACGACTTCTCAGTTGGAGGAGTCATCACCTATTACCTCGGTGCCTACGGATGAGGAATCCAGTAGCAGCAGCGGAGGCTCATACTGTGTGGTAGCTTAAGCGCATCCCTGTGATCATAACACTATGTAACATATAGGTAACATGTTATTGAGTTCCGGTATGTCTCCCTAAAATCATCGCGCTGATCGCGGTCCTCATTCCATATCGACAGACTCTACGAATGATTCATTCTTATGAATAATGTCATTTTTATCCTCAATATCACCACAAGCACTCGTCAGCAACATTATGCCTCAAAATTTTGTTTCGCGGATGTACACATACCATGGCATTTGTACTGTGCATGCAACCACCACATAGCATCTCTTCGTCCATATAATTATTTTTCTTTTCGTTCTTGTTTCGTCGCATACCTTCATTTGTTCATATCTCCAGCAACTTTTTTGGGGGAGAGAACACTTATTTTCGTTGGAGTATATACATATTTTGTTGCAAGTTATTGTGACGTCGAATAGATTGCTCTCCTGAACAATAGACACCAACCGTTCCTGTCGATCTTGGCGCGGAGAGCGAATCCTTCTGTCAGTGACTCCACAAGCTAGTGGTAAGCCGCTGCAGGAGCCAAAACGGCATTACGAAGATGCAAGCCTGTAGGCTCACCTCGTCTGTTTGAAGTATACTTTTAGCTTAAGTTATTGTGGATATTGTGTCCGAGCACCATGCTATTAGAAGAGTCATTTACAAGCTTTTCCATGTTTTGGATAGTTTCTTCGAACATCCCTGAGTAATGCCGAATCGTATTCCACGTTGCAGCCATGGTATCTGCCTGCATAATCCAGCTTGAGGGTCATAATTAATGCGAGCCGCGGAGAGATTCTTACCCGGTCGGTGAAAACACCGACAGCCCGTTTCAGAATGTGGGCTCCTTCAATGTCACCGAATCCTGTTCGACACCGGCAAGCATGCGTACTCCACTTGAAACCACGCATCCATAACCGTCTCGTCAATTAACCTGTCGGGAGTTAACGGCAAAAGTCATTTTTATACTAGTAGGATGTGCATCACTCCTAAATCCGCTACGCTGTTTCGGAATGGCACTTACAAGGCTCTCATAGGTGTCGTCGATAGTCGGCGTAGCTTGACCAGAAATCAGGTCTAATCGCTGATAGGATCTGGTAAGGGGGAAATCGCATTGATATATGACCATGTCAGACGTTAGCTTACAAGTGCTAACTTACATGGCCATAGGCGAAACCAGGCCCTCGTGAGGTTAACTTGCTCACGTGTCTCTGGACACACGCAAATAGCACCAGCAGCATAACGCTCTGAGACTTTGCCACCGGTTTCGCGAGCGTTCCTTAGCATGGAGTCTAGATTCGAGAACCCTAGTTGGATCCACTCGTCCTACTTCGTGCGTGGCTAACTGCTCGATTTTCTGTCAAGCCTGCTCCGCACAAGTCACAGAGGATGTCCCAGCGTTTTGCATGGCCATATGCACGTTCTCGTTGAAGCCAATGACAGTCATGTTCGCTGATGGTCTTGCGAAAGTTGCTTGTATCGCTCGCGTTTCGTAAATGAGACACGTTAAAACAATGGTGATAAGATGTTGTATACAAGGGCAAATTTAGAGGGAGAGTCCATGGAATTTGCTCGATGATAGACACAAGCTGGTTTCTCCAAGCTTGCCGATTTGAAGCAAGTATGATATGAGGCCTTGAGCTGTCAGTCGGATTCGGAAGGAACACCATCGGTAACTACCGGATGGCTCCTGGTCACTGACCTCATCTTGTGTACCCCAAATCATCGTTATCTCTGCAGCTCCGGCCGAAAGGCATCACCCAACCCTTTAATGCCTATCCACCACGTGTTTGATGGTGGCGGTCAACCTTAGGAACTTGAGAAGTAGAAACGCTGTTCAGTGTCTTCAATACGTTCTTTATGTAAAACCATCTTTTGCACCATATTATCCAGTTCCGTTTTTGTAAAAGAAATAGGTCTGTCGTGCATGCTCGAAATCTAAGCCAGTGCCTAATTCATCACCAGAATTACTTGGCCGAATTGAGGCTGTTATCAACTCTCGGTGGTTTTCCAACGAACTTCCGAGTCACTGCTATGAATGGTTAAAATTCGTCACTATCTTCGAGAGTTGGTGACACGCCCGGCGCCGGACATTACAATGACTAATATTTGTAGGCTTAATGCCAGCTGCTACTAGTCACTGCTAATTTTAACCTGACCACAGGTTTGAAAACGTGCGACTGTGAATTAGTACCGTAAGTGACACCAAAATCACATTTTCATCATCTGGAGATTAATACATAAACAGCCAGCTCGGGAGAATGCGGAACACGACATTGGTATGAGCACTGCCAGCACTCTCTCCGTATAGCCTTGATGCGTTAGTAGCCATTGATCATCTATAAAAGCACGACATGGAGAGCTAATGAAGTATTCACCGGTTTTACTAGTCTTGAGAAGTCTCCCTCAAAATGACCAGCAGAAAACCCACTGATGCCACCGCTTTCTTTGGTATGCCTTTCACGCTGATGAGTCGACGCCCTCACTGACTCGACCAAACAGTCGATTTCATGATGGGAGGTACCGCAGCAGCTATATCGAAGACTGCAGCCGCTCCCATTGAACGCATCAAACTCCTTATACAGAACCAGGGAGCTATGATTGCTTCCGGGAGGCTCGACCGTCCCTACAAGGGCATCGCTGACTGCTTCAAGCGGACGGTCTCGGAAGAAGGGGCTATCAGCCGTGCGTTGTGGACTTCATATTATGAGCGTTCATGATCTTCATTCTCAAACGGGGACAGTGTGGAGGGGCAATGGGACGAATGTGCTGAGATACTTCCCTACCCAGGCCCTCAATTTTGCATTTAAGGACAGCTTCAAACAAATGTTTGGTTTCAAAAAATCAGAACAATTCGGTTTATGGGTTCTTGGTATGTAAAAGGTTCCTTTGAGTCTTCGAATAAATGACTGAAACGAGTTGTCAGGAAACATCGCCAGTGGAGCAGCTGCTGGAGCATCTTCCTCTGTATTCGTGTATTCCCTTGACTAGTACGTCCATGACGTTGCGGAATACAGATAGACATGCACATCATAATGATGCAGCGCCCGCACACGATTATCTGCTGATGGCAAGAGTTCCGCTAAAGGAGGCCAACGCCAATTTTCCGGTTTGATCGACGTATACAGGCAGACCCTCCGTGCCGATGGTGTTGTTGGCTTGTACAGAGGATTCGTGCCCAGCGTGGTTGGCATCTGCGTGTATCGAGGTCTCTAGTGCGTTTACGATTCTTGCTGCGGCATAAATATTCAATGACACTTTGACCAGCTTTGGAGGGTACGACACAATTAGAGACACGTTGCTAGTAGGGAATTTGCGTGGTAACTTTGCTGCATCTTTTGCCGTGGGCTGGATGTGCACGACGGTGAGTCGACAGGTATATGGCTATGCTGACCTTGAACATAAGTCTCTAGGGAGCGGCATTGGCTGCATACCCACTTGACACCATCAGGAGACGGATGATGATGACGTCCGGGGAAAAGGTAGACCATCTTCCTCATATACTGAGCACGTCTCGACCTATCAATGGGTGTAGGTACAATACAGATCCTTTATTGAGGCCGGAAGGCATATCGTGGCCAAGGAGGGTGCAAGGTCATTGTTCGGTAGGTCAAGTGTGCTGAAGCAATATAGTTAACGGTCTGACACGCACGATGAAAGCTGGGGCAGGTGCAAATATCCTTCGTGGTGTGGCCGGCGCGGGTGTGCTATCTTTGTACGACAAGTATGGCTATCCTACCATACATTTACTTGCTATCTCTAACTCCGAATGCTTCTGCAGATTCCAGGAACTCGCTTGGGGAAAGGTATACCAAGCTGGATCTGGTTGACAGTGTATCGGAGGACGTGCGATGCAGGAAGGATATCGCGGAACAGTTATCGTAGTTGAGAAGACGCTTATCAGGTGCCATGTCTTCGACCTTAGAGTAATTTATAACTCGATTGTTTCCTTTGCCTTGAACTTCCGACCCGCACGATCTGCAGATCGAAAACAGAATTGATTGCCATACAAGTCGAAAGCGATATGCGGAGCATCCAGGACAGTTCCTGAATATTGACCACTCAACGCGGAACTGACGGCTTCAGCTGGCTCGAATTGGGTTTGAAGCAATGTAGAGTATAGGGGAACTGTCAGCGTGAAAATTGAGTTCTGTTTCGGGATCACTGAATCTTTGCGTTACAACCATACTGAAGGCGAGAAATGGGAGTACTTATTCACGTTTGAGTTGATCTTTGCGAGTGATTACTTTGAAAGCATTCTCAGTTTCGTGAATCACGATACCAGACAAGCCAACTAAACAAGGATTCTTGCTCTGACGAACTGAGAAGTGAATAGAACGTGTGAGTATATGAGCGAATAACGACTGAACTTGAATACCTGTTAATAGAGAGCCGTGGAAGTCGGCCTTTACCAGTTTTGGGTGCATTGATGATGCGTTAGGCATTGCTTCGGCAACTGGAACGGAAGATGGAAGCGGAAGCCCTAAAAGTTCAGACATGTATCCCATCCACAACTGATGGAGTGGGAGGAATAGATCAAATCTGCAGATGGATGGTCAGCAGACAAGTGCATAGCGCTCGAATTCTCGACAATCACTTTTGTGCCCCATCCTCAAGCTTCCAGAGGCCTTTTGCGCCCGTGGGTCTCCGTCCTAGCGCAACTATTTTTCTCTTCTCCTTTTCCGATTTCCTTCTTCCTTTCTTTGCGCCGTGTTCTTTCTGTACGTTGCTCGCACGAGCAGGGGTTTCCAGGACGATGTGCCTATTCTTAACACGACTCGTGTATATTCCTTGGGGATCTCCTGATTGTGTGAGTGAGGCCTGGATATACCTGGGTGTAAAGGGTGCATCGGTGCTGAGCTTCACTCGCTGATTCTGAAATCAAACACTTTAGGTCATTCCGACACAGCCTCGGGTTGAGAGATGAAAGCACCGTTCTGAGAGCCAGCGGCTTGTATGGATCAACTTGGGTTGTCGTGGACATGTTTGTCGACTCAGACACCTGGCAATGAAAACTTGGACTTATCGGTGAGTCACTACGTGGAGGGTGATTAGCTTGAGGTTAAATTAAGAACTGTGGAAAGTTGCAGGCGCGACAACTCATGGTACGCAGCTGGGCTCACTCACCGCTGGCTGCGACGGAGCAAATTATTTGATGTTATTTAATCGTACTCACGTGTCATTTAGTTATCATATTTTTGTAAGTATTTAACAAAGTAATAATATCGATACCAAACTGATGACCAACATGCCCACTACCGTGACAGGGCCATCATCCAAACCATCACACCAGCCATGCAGGAGCTTCTAAACGGGAACCCATATCCAACGGAGTAAAGCTTCAAGTTATTGTGAGTAATCAGCTCTCCTCGTTGAAGTACGAGGCGTGGACCAGAGAAAAACTCACAATGCAAATGTCACAAACTACCATGATGGCCGGAAAGGGGGCGAAAGTTCTCAGCGATCACTCCCGCAAATGCGCGTCACCGGTCGCTGAACAAGTGCGGCACATCCGACATGCACAGCAGGTTGACCCCAGCCTCCTCCAACTCCGCCTCTATTTCCGACTCCACATCACGGGCGATTGTAACCATGCCACCGTTCCACACTTCAATGCGATCGTAGGTTGCGTGTGCTTCCTTGATCAAGATAACAGTGTTTCCTCTACCCAAGGCTGCGCTACAAGTAGCGCGCACACAGTAATCGCTTTGCATGCCGACGACTATGAGTTCAGCGTCGCGTGGTATAAGTTCTGCGAGTCTTGTTCCAGCAAATGCGTTATTTTTCAACTTGTCCATAACGAACTCGTGCTCAAGTGTTGGAAAAACGAGTTGCCAGCCGGGGGAGTTGGGTGTATCTGGATCACCTGACTCTCCGGAGTTGCGGATATGAATGATGCGAGGTGGCTGCTTTGCTGAGCGAGCACGGTCAAGAATGTGTTCAATATTCCGATAAACAGTCTCAGAAGAGGGGACGCCGCCTTCTTTTGGGCTGCTGACCATACAAACTTGCACGTCCAGGAGTAAGAGGACACGGCAAGTGAGGCTTGGTGGACTTTGATGACTCGGATGCAAGGCTGTGGCGGTTGTCAATGGGATGACGGGTCATGACATGCAATTGAGAACGAGAAAGTCACGGACAACCCAAGATAATCCAATGCTTTATATAGACACCGACCGCAGCCGGGGTGAAAGCCTTTAGGCCTTGAGGCGACAGGGCTGGGATGAATTCGCAGGGGTAATGGTTTGGTAATGGTTATCGCATATTTAGCTCTATTTATCAATCAGGAATTATTGATCGCGTGACGTCACGCGATCACTATAATTACATAATATACAACAAGATTTGAATCCTCCAATATTGAAAACTCTGAAACCCAGCTGGTATTTTCAGGAAAATTATACGACATTTTCTACGTTTTTTATATACAGTTGCATCAGATTCCGAAGCCTCTTTGATGGCGAATGCCTCGAGGAAGGGGGATGCTTAATTACGGCAACATGGCTCCACTTTACCAACTTGGTAGGTCATCATTACTCCACCAATTGCAGAGGGACTGAGTACCGTAATTGAATGATCTCACACCTGAGCCCCACAGCCCGGCCATGCAGGCTTGCGAATCCAACGGAGGATGACTGAAGTATCGATATTTTCATTTCTCTGTTCCATGATCTTTGTTATCCCGAGCCAAAGATTGTGACACTTTCATCCTTTCAAGCCGGAACTCTTGTAAACATTAATGATACGAAACGTGCGACCTTACCGCGAGGTTACATGGCCTAAAGGATAAAATGCCTTCGCAAGGTCCTAGTGGTCAATTGTCCATCGATCCCAGATGCATGCTTGCAGCACCGAATGATCTGAAATGGTGAATTGTTTAAGGGAACCCGTTCAGGAACAAAAATATTTCAGGCAAGGCATAAGCACATTGGTTAGAATGAGGTGATTAAGCGCAATGGCCGGCAATGTGCGGGAGGCGCTGTTCATGATGACTTGTGTTCGTAGTCTCCGACGCGCAGGGATCGTTTACCGAACTGTTCACCGGATAAGCGACCTTCTCTTGGCAGCTGCACTCCTCTTGTGAGAATAATCATCCAAGTATGAAAAGCTAACTCACATGTCTGACGTGCTTGTTGATTCGAATTCGATGTATGCGCATGGTTTGCAAAGTTCAAACTCTCTTCAAATCAAATTAATGCCATTTCTATCGCATGACAGCAACACGGTATTGAGAAGCATCTGCTCAAGGGTTAAAGTTTTATCAATAGTACATACCAGCCACATGATCAAGTAGAGAAAACCTCTTCGAACTCCCCCGAGTCCTTCATCTCCTTCACTACATCCAATCCTCCCACAAATTCCCCTTTTACTATGAATTGTGGGAAGGTGGGCCAATCGTTCAGTTTCTTGAGACCTGTCCAGGAATCAAAAATCAACTGAATTGATATCTTTCAAAACCTGCTTAAACTCACCTTGCCGCACATTCTCGTCGCTGAGAATGTCAAAGTGGGTGAATTCAACATCTTTCTCCCTCAACAACGCTACAGCACTCCTAGAAAAGCCACACCGAGGCGCATTTGGCTCCCCTTTCATGAACAATACCACCGCGCTTTGATGCATGATATCGCGCATACGAGCCTCTAATCGTTCTTCTGTCTCAGAAGACGGAGGGGAAGGAGGATGAGAGGTCGTTGAAGAGGTGTTGCTTTCCAAGTGCTTTGTGATCGTTTCCTTAAGCTGGGCCGCATCTCCGCCTTCAATCCGGGCAAGCAAAGCATGGCCCTTTGACGTTCACTTAGTCACACATTCAGGGAAGAGATTTCTAGAATACTGACCTGAATGACCAAGCACGTCGGAACGGAGTTGATGTCGAAGGAGTCTGATATATCCGCCTGCTCTTCGGCCTCCACCTGGTGTTATGTTGTCAATCTCATGGTGCCTGATAGGGTCCCGGGTACTTGCCCTAAGTGCGAGTAGTTTTGGATATGCCTTTGCTAACCCTTCCACAACTTGGTTCATTTGTATACATGGTTCAGCCCAGGACGTCCAGAAGTAGATTAGTGATATACGTTTGAGATCCTTTGAGAGCAACTCTTGAAATTGTGGGGTGCTAGGGATATCAACGAGATTCTCAAGTGTGGACATTGATTCGCTGATCGAGTGAGACTGGCGAATCGATGATTGTTCCGTTAGGCGTGAAAGCGAGGATGAACTAACTATCGATTGAGACGACTGCCACTGCCACAGTGGTGCTGTGAGATCAAATTATGACTGATCATCTGAAATGGCGTTATCGGAGCTAACTCGGAACGTGCCAGCATTCAAGGCTACTCAAGGGCACTCTGGAGACACTCATCGAAGCGACAACGCTAAGACGCAATCAAGCGTCATGTATATACGAGGATATTATGTAGCTGAGTACGAGTACAAGAAGATAGGCATTCGACAGTAATTTCCTAGAAAGCTGATTCATAACACAGATGCACAACCGTAAATAAGAAAGAAAGCCGACTTCCTTCTCATTACTTTGTGAGAGTACCTGTGGTTGCTCAGTGAGCATCCAGCCAATCGTTGACACGTTCAATTAGCTCGGCCTTTTTTCCTGACACCGGCTGGCTCTTGCTCTTGAGAAAGTCCTAGGAGGAAATGAGTGGGATGAAGCTTGGTCAGGAACAGCCAGATGATACCTTAAGTTGATCCACACGGAGCTGCAGTGATGTTGAGATCAGGTACTCAATCGGATCATTATTCAAAGTACCCACCTTGGCCAAGGCACCAACCTCGTGTTTACTGCGGATTTCCGCCTCGTCAACTGATACGTCCTGCATGATCTGATCAGCAGACAGTCTCGTCACACTAACAGGTGGGCGTACAGCCTTTCTTTTGGATCCTGTGGTTACGGGTACGATATTCGCGGATTCGTCGGCCAAAAGACCCTTCTTCCACTCCTTCATAAGATTCCCAGCACGCTGGTGCAAATTTAGACCGGACAACGCCTACCTGTGAATATAATCCACGCACCTTGTGAATCATATCATATTTCGGACGTGTAAGATCCTCAAAGGCTTCTGGATCAAATTCTTCACGGAAGGCACTTGCTTGGAGCTGGGCATTATGATATGCAAGGGCTGTAAGCACAGGTCAAGTTCATTATAACGAATAACTCGGAAGGAACTCTGACTGACCAGGATTAGGATAGGAGTCCGGTGGATATGCTCCGTCCTTGACACATAGTTTGTCAATCCAAACTCGTGCGGCATCCTTTAGCTCATCCGGCGCTATATGCGGCAATTTAGCTGTAGGCTAGAATCCGACATATCTTGGCATACCTCGGAAGGCTTGATCCAGCGGTGCTGCTCTAATATCATCGGCAAATGGCAAAGGGATAATATGAAACCCTGCAGGCTCGTTCCATCCCCCTTCTTCGGTACTTTCTGCCTAGTTAGGCAAAGGCACAATCGGTGCACAATAAAAAATAAAAAATACGAAGCTTACTTGCGGAAGCATTGCGCAGAAAACCGGAGCAGAGTTACGTCTTGTAAGTGCCAGGACAAGACCGATCTTCTTCTTCTCTATCATTTTCTTCAGGAGAGCGGCGAATGTGCGCTTGCTTCCTGAGTATTTCTGTATTACCTAGTCATTTCGGGACAAGCCAAAAAAGAAGCAAACGCACTAGTTCGTCAGGATAGATGAATACAGAGTGTTTGACGTTGTCCTCGAAAGCTAGTTCTTTACGATCCTTGAAGCCAAGTAGCTTAATGCCTAATGGTTTTGTGTGAGAAACAACCTCCAGGCTGGTATTCACAACACACCTGGTTCAAGGTCCAGCGTGCGGAAAGACTTGATCTCATCTGCGGTATAAAAAGGCTATGCGAGGTTGGCAATCGAACAAGAGAACCGATGACACATACTCTTTTCCCCGATGGAACAGCTCTACAAACAGTATCAACACCTTCACCTTCGTCGTCGCTGACATCTTCAACAGGGGCAGCACCGAGAGCCATCCCATAGAGCATCTCGGTTTTGTCCACTTCCGCTTGTTGATCCTATCATGAGAATGATCAGCACCAGCACAGGGTACCAAATTAACGCAGCACCTCGTCGACATACACCGTACGGCTATTGGCTACTTCCATGCGATCGCCCAGGTCAACGAAGTACTTGTAGGTACCTTTCCTCTGTTCTGTAACCAGCCCGTAACTGTAGAGAAGTATGTTAGAGTCTAGTAAGCTGACAAAAGAATCACTAACCCCTTGATGCTAATCACAAATCCGTCCGCTAGTTGGAAAGGGATGCTGAACATGGCACGTTTCGGCACCTCATGAAAGCGCATTTGAGACAGAAGATCATCGATACGTGTGATTGATATGGATTCAGGAAGGACGCCATTATCTTCGTCTTCGTCATTCAATACGCTTGACAACAGGACGGACTTCGGAGGTCATCAGCCAACCATGAGAACCAGTGAAGATGCTTCTTACCGAGTAAAATTTGGACGGCTCGAATGGCTTTTCAGGAGTGGAAATGAAGAATGGTTCAATTTGAACCCCTGATTGTGTCAAATCCTTATAATTCGAATTAGCTACCCGTGCACTTGCACAGAGATAGACATACTAGAAGGGTGGTTCGAGCAGAGGTGACAAGTTGCTTGCTTCCTGGGTGAGGATTGTCATCATCTGTGATCAAAAGAACGCGTTTTGAAGCTGTCTTCGGTGCTCTGAATGAAAAGGGTAAGTGATGTTACGCGTTCATTATACTGTGTCATGTTCACCCGTCACGCAAAACCCAGTTGCAGCTCGTGAATACATCACCCATGGGCATTTTCTTCCCTTTCAACGGAGGAAACGTGGATTTGAGTAGATCCGGATCTTCTCGAGCAGCTTGGAGCACATTGTTGAGTTTCAAGCGTTACACGACAGTCAACACGACAAACCATCTAACAGTTGAATAAGTTCTTGGATGGCTGGGGCACTTATGATCGTAATGGGCTGATAAACGAATGAGTTCTTCTTGATTTCTGTAGCGTGATTTTTTGTCTCAGAAGAGCGAGTCTTCCATGACCAATTGTGAACAAAGGCTCGATGTGGTACAGCGCAAACCTCACTGTATTGAATAGAACAATGCCAACAGAATCATTTGGGCCTACTATGACCTTCTTTTTCTGGATCTGCATGGCTGCTTCAAGGGCAGTGAGCAGGTGAGATGTTTTGACATCTTCGTAATTGGGGTCATCCCGAAGTTCATGCATGGACTCTGAGCAATCAATACAAAAGAGGATAACATCACGCTTCCCCTCGAAAAACTAGGATAGATTGGGGTGAGCCTTCTGGACGATGACGGTCCTGACTTGGCAGGAAGCACTCACTGCGGCGTCTTGTAGCTCTTGTTCTTCTTCTTCATCGATAATGTTCCAGTCGTCGAATGGAGGCATCGTAATGTGAATAGAGTTGGGTTCTGTTAGAAGCCCTGTTATGCAGGTTACAGTTTCGAGCCAATGTGGTTGGAATTAACCGTCCTCGTCAGGAGTCGCGTTCAATAAGGGTGAGAACGTGGCAAAATGTCAGGTGAGGAACGCGTATTACGTAAGGGATGCGTGATTTGCAGAGCTCATTGTTCTGTACGGTACGACAACGTGCAATACGCTATCGATATGCCACCAAACTCACAAACTAGGCTTTTGCCGTTGAGACAGATTGAGCTGCCCATTTTGCAAGTCCCCCCGGAACTGAAAATCCGCACTGATCAAGATGTAGAAGACTGGAAATCCACCAAGGGATATGCAGATTATTTGTTGTTCCTCCGCCGACTGAGCGAGGCAGTGGTTGACTACACGCTTCCACTAGTGAACACCCCAAAACAGAGCCAGGTCCGCAATCATGATTGCGTCATCATTATCTGATTCATTATGTTCTCAGGAAATCGACCGAATACTTGCTCTCCTGGACACCCTGAGCGACTGGGTCGATGAAATCCCTCCCCTTCAGACTCCTCAGCGCTTTGGTAATCTTGCGTTTCGTACGTGGGGCGCTCGTTTAGAGGAGGCGAGTCTCATCGGACATGGGTGACAATGTCTCATTGCAATGATAACATTCTAGCGCTCTTACGAACTTCTTTCGAAATTACTTGGCGAGAAGTTCGCCTCCGCTTCTCCATATCTAAAGCCCTACTTGCTTACGTCGTTTGGATCGTTCCTGAGGATGGATTACGGGACTGGTCACGAATCATCATTCGCTATCTTCCTTCTTTGCCTAACCCTTATACGCCTTGTAAAACCTGAGCCAGATGAAGAGCGACATTTGGTCCTCAGCGTTTTTGTACGCTATCTCCAACTGTGCTGGAAGCTCCAGGATGTCTACAAGTTGGAGCCCGCAGGGAGTCATGGTGTTTGGGGACTCGATGATTACACCTTCCTTGGATATATCTTTGGAAGCGGACAGTTACGAGGCATGACAATCCACTTTCTTATTTTGTCCATTTTTCTAAAAAATTTATGTGACTTCTTACCACAGACCAGACGGATATTACTGTAGCTTCCGTCTTAAACCCCCCGCTTCCCCAAAGCAACTTATACTTCATGTCCATTATGCGGATTCATCAGGTCAAACATGGTCCGTTTTACGAACACTCCTCTCAGCTTCACTCAATCGCCGTTGGGGTTCCCAATTGGGGGAAAGTTCATAATGGATTGTTCAAGATGTATGAGGTGATAACCCTTTATCGTCCGTATCGGACCTTTTCATTGAATCATATTTAGGCAGAAGTTCTGGGCAAGAGGGTAGTGGTTCAGCATCTACCCCTGGGCGGGCTGATGGAATGGGATACCCACGTCGATCAGCGTCACGCGCCGTCAATGTCGCACGACGCAGCTGCCACCGCAGATACCCGTGCTCCTTGGGCACGTTCTCGCTAGTGATCGTGAAATTTATCCGACGGGTTCTACAAAGTATTTTTCTCCAGTCTCTGTGCTCACCGATGTCAAGTAGATGCGAAATGCGTGGGGGTCCGTCCCTATCACCTTTACGGAATATCCTGAGACACTCAATTATTTCGTTAGTTTCGCTTGACCCTGTCTCCATGGAATGTTCTGATCTGTCTGTCATACTTTTCGTACAGTGGCCAAAGGACTGTCCGAGTGGCAAATATGAGGGACGTACAAAGGGCCAGCATTTCAGTCGATCGGAAGTTTTACTCCGAATACTAAGCAGCGCAAATCTCCATCGCAGGGTTCCTGCGTAGATAGTGGTCACCCCCTTTGATTTCATTTGCGGTCGAGAATTACCGACGCAGACTAACACATGCAATGGACATAATCGCTATGGCTATACGGCTCCGTTAAACGACCTCGACCCGGGTTTGTGTTGGCTGTGTACCCTGGGGACACACTACGCTAACCGAAGCATTCCCTCTCCCTTGCTGCACAAGGTGGCGCATTGCCCAAAACGACGTTATTTGTTTTGTCCGGACGATTCCTACGAAGTATAAGGACAGCGCCTTTGAACCTAAAAGCATATAGGTCGAGTCATCGGTCCGTTGGCTGCGCTAAGATGACTTTGGCAAATACGCCAGATGGGGATTTTGGGGCAATGACGCGACCACGTTCCTTCCCGCCAACAACGAGGCTCGCGAAGGGAACCGATGCAGCCTTCTGAAGGCATTTCTAAGGACAAGCTCCGTTCGTTGCTGTGCATAGCATCACGCCCAAGATGGGAGAAACGGGAAATGACATGACTCAGCAGAAAGAATTACTTGGTATGGACATGTCAGAATCAAGGTTCAGTCTCAAACGGGGACATTCTGACAATTGTAGCATGTTGCACAAGAGCCGGTGGGGGGTCATGGGAATGGTCTCAAATAGAAGACCGTAATAGCTGAGGAGGGGGTGTCATCGCCTCCCGATCGGGGAATGGAGTTCACGAGAGCTCACGCTGCCCTGCAATGGCAGCTCGCCGAGGAGGGCGTAGTTTTATAATCGTGGGGAGAAACTTATCTTTGGTTACCTCGCGTTCCGTCAATAGAGGGAAGAGGAAGCGAGATCTATACTGATCTCAGCTATAACGGACCAAGGCGACGAGAACACGCGGCGAAGAAGCGTTTTCGACGGAAAGCAAGGAACACACCTGTTTATATCCTTCTTCTCTCTGGGGTTCTGGCTAGTGTGAATCTAGGTTCCATCCTAGTAGATGACTAGGCGCCGCCACAAGCTCCACGCTAGTGTAACGCAGTAGATCGACGAAATGCATGTGCTCTTCGGATTTTAGATCAGTAATTACCAAATTTAAATTATATCAACTCCGAACAACCGACCAACGTGATAACCCTATGTAAATTTTCCACCGAGGAATGCTTCTAAGACGCAAATCTATTGTGATCTTGTCATAGAAGGTCCTCGAAGAAGCTATAGGTATGAAAAACGCAGCAGCGGTGTTATGACAAAATTGAACTACGTCACGCGCCGACAAGAGCACAGCGATGTGGATGGCAAGCATTACGTAATAATTTAGGTACACTAGAACTTCCAATGGATCATCCAAAATTTCTCTCAATTCAACCAGTCATTGGCAATTTTATAGACCAACCGCAAATCAGCCTTTGCCAACAGCAAATCGCGTTACTTCGCTGTAGTCGTCGTAATAGCGACTCCAGAGACTCTCGGTATCATCATTACTGATCAGGAAAGGAATAGTGATCTCCGCCTCTTGACCCTCGAGTACGTCCTTCATTTTTCTATTGTATCCTAATATATCATCCAATACTAACTCTCCACCGCATTGCCAGGTGGTCATCCGTTCGTGGTAAGCTAAAAGCTCCATGCTGTGGTGGCGTTTTGATTTTAAACCTCGGTTCAGGCGAACCTCCTTGACAGGACCCTCTTCCTTCCTTCGCCTACCTCATTTTTTCCACTCTCGTCCCAGTTTCCTTTTCGATTGACTTTTTTATTATTACCTTACCCTTCAAGCCTTTTCCTCGCTGGACAGGGAGCGAGGAACCCATCACTTACTGAAGAGACCCTTTACTGCCGTACTAGCCCGTGGTTCCTCTGAGACCAGCGGTTCTGGTTCGGTAATTCGAGGTTTTGAAAAGAACTCCAGCCATCCACACCGGCTGCGCTCAAAACTCCGTTATTGACAAGTCCGATCACATAGTTCTATCACCCGCGGACCATCTTCCGATGGCTCAGGTTGAAATTCTTTCTGCTTTGAACCCACTCGACCACTTCATTTCAAGCAACTTCCAAAATTTCCCTGGAAATTTAGACGTCTCTTTCGACCCCGTGGTTCAGGATCTGTCACCATTGATTGACGTAGCAACCAATGACACCGCAGGAGAGAACCGGCTAGATGATGACAAAATATTTTCTTCTCTGCCCCCGCTGTTTAGGGGACACCCGGAAATCCACCTCCGCAAAGGCATTATAGATGCCGCAATGCGGGCTGGGGCGAACGAGGTTGATGCAGAAAGAGCCTTTTTCGTGGCTGATCTCAGCCAAATCTATCGCCAACATGAGCGATGGATGAAGAATCTCCCAGAGATTGTCCCACATTACGGTCTGTAGCTCGCCTGGGATGATTCCTGTAACTTCTGACCAAGTCCTTAGCGGTCAAGTGTAACCCGGATCCATACGTTATAAGGCTTCTCGCTGCTTTAGGGGCTGGCTTTGACTGCGCATCCAACGGGGAAATCTCCCAGGTCCTCAGCATTGGCGGTGTCGATCCATCGAGGATCATCTTTGCCAACCCTTGTAAAGCAACGTCTTTCGTGCGGAGCGCTGCAAGAGCCGGTGTCAACACTATGACGTTCGACAATCAAGATGAATTGTACAAAATTGCGCGCGCCCATCCGGGCGCCAAGCTTATCGTTCGTATTCTCGCGGATGATTCCAAAAGTATCTGTCGGTTCGGTATCAAATTTGGAGCACCCCTTGAGGCTGTTCCCGGCCTGTTGTCTAAGGCTAAGGAGCTCGGGCTAGACGTGATTGGGGTCAGTTTCCACGTTGGAAGTGGCTGCTATGACCCAACCACCTACGGAGATGCCATTAGGCGCGCCCGGGACGTTTTCATCATGGGATCTCAAGCTGGTTATCAATTCAGCCTGCTAGATGTCGGCGGTGGCTTTGAAGATGCACGATTTGAAGCCGCTGCATCTGTTTTGACCGACGCCATTAATCAATACTTTCCTGACCGTAAAGGTATCAGGCTAATCGCCGAGCCTGGCCGTTTCTATGTATCCAGAGCATTCAGTCTTGCTGCGAACATCATCGCACGCAGGGCGCCAATGATAGAGAGTTCTTCAGAGCCCTTGAATGCGAAGCCAAGTTCTGATGAACCAAGCGTCATGTGTATGTGTATGGCATTCTCATACTGTGACTAAACTTACACTGGTGGGGCAGACTACATCAATGATGGCGTGTACGGGGCGTTCAACTGCATCATGTTTGATCACCAGACCGTGAACCCCTACGTTCTTTCCCTTAACGGGTCGTTCCACATCTCTCCCTCGGAGCCTTTGTCAGTTTGCAGCGTCTGGGGGCCGACGTGTGACTCTATTGACTGCGTGTGCAAGGCAGTTGAATTGCCAAGCGCGCTTCAAATTGGAGACTGGCTGGGCTTTGACGACATGGGCGCATACACTATATGCGCTGCTAGCCAGTTCAACGGATTCAAGTTCAGCAACGTGATCTATACTACCAGCAAGGGTGGTGGAGACGAGGCCCGGCGGGCACTGTGGAACTTTGCTGCCAAGGGATATGGACACGGCGGTGGACCTTATTAGAATGGATATGCATATATAAGGGAAAGGTGGCAATGTAAATGGACCTGTGTTTGATGACGAGGTGATGGTAGTCGACGTGAAAAAGAGTCCGTATGAGGAGTAGATTCGTGCGATGGTGCCTCATAATGTCAGGTTTATTTTTGCGTGTGTTTTCGGTACCGAAGGCAAATGGCAGGATGCCGGGTCGTTGTTCCGGGGTTTGGTCGCTGGATCATAAAATACTAATTAGGAAGAATCCGGAAGGTATCGAGGCAATCGAGGTTTACCAATTTGTGATCGACGCTTCGCCCTTCTGAGGCACCCATGAGCTGATCGAAGCTCGCTTCCAAATAAGGATATATTGCTCTCATAACAAGATGAGGAGTAACCTCGACCGAGGGAGAGTTCATTGATTCAGGTCCATTTAAAATTATTTGTCAGCTGAATTATATTGAAATAGGAATAGTCGGGGATTATGTAGTACGTTTCCGAGGGTGGGCTCATTTTATGTAAAAATAAATAGAAAAGGATGTCTCGAAGGGAGCGAGCGAGTGGGATTCTGATGGCGGCCTGGTTGAAGAGTCCATGTGAGTCACTGGTCAAACATGACGCGAGTATCGCATGGAGAGGCCTCGACACTCATTGCATCCTAAATTGGGGTTATTTGTCCGCAGTGTCTCCATGAAAATCATGGGTGAACGCTTCTGCCGGAAGAGTGTACAAACCTTGTTCGGTTGTCTTTTCGTCAAATGTGCCTTCCGGCAGCACTTACTCCCTCCATAACACGATTGATGCGGCCGTTTAGTTGACAAGCAGAGTGTGTGACAGATTATTAGTGCCGTCTCCTCGTGATAGGCGACGGTTGACCCACGGAAGCGTGTCACAGGAAATGTCATTGCCAGCTTGCCAGCCAGCCACATAATATGTAGCAATTGCAAAGGTGTTTATTAGAAGAATTCTTTCTAGATGCGAAGGGTTCTGATTCTAAATTTGGTCATGATCGTTTTTTTTTGAACTTGCCGGTGCCGAGGGTTGCCGTCGGGGAAGCGTGCCTCGCGCGATTGCTTGGGCCGGTCAACGCATGTAACAGGTCTATATACGGCATTCATGTAATGCTATCTAGGTATATATGTCAACTACTAGCGTCGATGCCATTTACTTAGATACTAGTAACATCCGACGACGTGGCCGGAATCCCAATTATTATCATCACTTCCATCAATTCAATTCTGACTCATCATCATCCGCAGACATAACTTATAACAACTCACACCTCTTCCCTTTTTTTTATTTTACTTCCTCATGGCTTCTCCTCCTTCAATGCCTCAACAAGGTCCCCGATTTCGTCCGTACGCAAGTCCAAACCACCAAGTCAGCAAAGGCCGCTATATCACAAGTAATGACCCAAGAGGTTACATGTGAGCTCTCCTTCAACCTCGCCTCACACACCAACCCCTCATCCTTCTTCTCAGTCCTGTATATGAATACCCGCTAAACGGTCAATGGATTATGATGGACATTGATGATGGTTACATTCTCTGGACGGGCATTTGGAAAGGTGAGACATTCACTCTCGCATCGTAATTCAATTATTCACCCATCTCAGCGCTTGGCAATTCAAAGGGTGAGCATACCATCCTACTTCGCCTCCAGCTTCTGTCTCACATGCACCCAAGCCGACATTGTAAAAATGATCGATTCACAGCCTGACTTGGCCCCCGTTATCCGCCGTGTGCGGGGAGGATATTTAAAAATTCAAGGAACATGGATGCCTTACGAGGTGCGCATTTCCGTTTCCTATATACAGCTCTACTCACTCCATATTAGGTTGCCCTCCGCCTTTCACGACGGTGAGTTCGCGACCTTTGCAGCTACGACCAGCTATTAATTTCGATTCCAGAGTGGGTTGGCCAATTCGTGAAGATCTGGTACCTCTTTTCGGGTACATTTTTTTTGCATTGCTACCCTAGGATAGCTGACTTATTTTTTAATAGGCCCACATTCCCAAGCACATGCCTCTCCCCAGACCAACCAGGTTATGGTCAAGTAGTATCCACTGCATCCGGCCGGAGACGATCGCGCCGGAACAACCAAGTAGTCGCACCTGCGCCACCTGTTCCTCGCGATTCGCAATCATCATGGGCCATCCCCGCTGCAGGGCCAAGTGCTCATACCATTCCATCAGCGCATTATCTGCCCCAAGGACAACCAGCTTCCCTTCCATCGATGATGTACAGAGACCCGTCGTCTTACTCCCATCCGCAACCCACAAGTCCGCCCCTGCATATCTCCTCTTCTGCATCTCCGATCATGCGCGAGCGCTCAGCGCGGTCGCGATATTCCCCTTACCCTGCTCCACCCTCTCGCAAACCTTCGATTGCAACCAGCGACTCGGTTTCCCTTGACATTCCTTCAATTTCTCTCCAGGATATGCATTATGATAGTCGAAATGGCAAGTTCCCCGGAGACCAGATTGTGCTGCCTCCAATCCAACCTTTGGCCCCTCCAAGGCATATTAATACTACATCATATGCATTGCCTCCCATCTCTGCACTCGAAGACTTGCGAGGGATTTCTACGCACGACTCTGCAGCTGTGCTGGAACGTTTGAAGATGGACGACGAGTATGCCGCGGATGCCAGACACGAGGTCGCTCAGTGGCCAAGGCCAAGATCAGTGTCTACATCACAACAGCGGTAATTATTTTTCGTACCTGCATGACTCACAATAATGATGACCCTTTTTTTATCAGACCACCACAATCCTATCCGCCAAGTTCATGGCCGAAACGCGGATCATCAGGCACCCATCGTTCCTCCTTGGATGGGCCCTTCTGCGCGGAAACTTATCGGACGCCACATTCGCCGGAGCTCAGCCAGAGCTATCATTCATCTCACGATGGAAGCTCCGTTGATGGCGCATCTCCTGTATCGCCAACAACACCACGTTCTGCCGAAGTCTCGTCGTATAAATCGAGACATGTTGACCAGTTGTCACCCGGGAAACAGCGCGCGCACCCAGGCTATGACACATCGCGGCTGCCATCGCCTCCTGATGCGCAGAGGTACAGCCGCAAGTCAGCTGCTGGGGTTGACCCTCGGCTATCCGCCTGTCGCCATTCTTGCGATGATGACGAGGCTGAATCCGATTCGTCAGTACGAGGGCCACATCGTCCGTGGTAGTGAGTTTGATATCGATTCATTCATAGTTTTTTCTTTCCCTCATGGTCGTACATATTCACGTTCGTCCGCACTGTCGGCCTTAATCATCTTCCGTATTTGATTTTATACTGTCATGTTTGCTATCGTCGCATGGATTCAAGCTGCATTGATTTAGTTGTAATATACCAGGGTCACGTATAATAATTTTACTTTGATAGCATGTGCGGTTTTACTCCTCAGCTTGCTTCAGTTCGAGCGAACAAAGATTTAAGTACTAGGCCCGATTTCAACGTGGAGTCTCGGGGGGCTGAACATTCTGATGTCGGAACATAACATCTGTGAAGATGCTGGATGTTGCAACGTTGAAGAAGAAACCCTATCGGGACATCGAACGCAACGAAATAGACATGACAGATTCACGGGGTCGACCTGGATGACACATCTTAATCTATCTTAATCTTCTCGTTCTCCACGATCACTTGCTTGCTGGATCATGTGTATTTACATCCAAAATAAGGAGACTGGATGGTATCGAAGGAACAACACGAGATTCTTGAGTGACCGCATGGCTGATGAAATGGCCGCGTAAGCAGCCGGGCTTTTCGCGGCTGTCAAATTGACATTGTCCGACTAGACTCGTGTGGGGCCTGAGTCCAGCGGGACTGATACCGGACTGCTGGTTGCCCAGGCAAATGACATGGTTGCGATTTGGAATTCTAAAGGAACGCATCCTGGTGTTTGGCGGCCGAAGCGGGAGAACAGGGGTCTTAGTGGGGAAACTGTGTTCACAGGAGGAAGCAAAAGAGGGAGACATAGACACCGGGATCATGCGCAGGTGCCATTTCAAAAGCGTGGATTAGGAAGGCCAAGTTTGACGTTGTGTCAGGGACCTGCTACTGCGGTGCGACAACAGTTAGGCAGTTCTGTAACCTGAAGTGGATCGCCTGAGAAGACTATTTAGAGCTGAACAATACGTTCGATGGCTGATTGATAAAAATATGGCACACCCAACTTTAGAACTGTTAACATGCGTGAAACACGACTAAGATGTCTTGCTTCATTGGCTTGGTTCAGGGAGTCAGGGAGAAATTGGCCAGGTCCCTGATTGCAATATGCTCAGGAAGTTTGATCACATGCTTCGAGATGCACCGCCCGCGCCTGCGCACTCACGGACCATGGAAAGACGATTGTAGATCTGCGCCTCTGTATTAGTCACGTCGGTTATATCCTCGAAGATCTATAATTCGATCATGCGGTGCAGAGAAAATGGAGTAGATGTACCTCGAGATCAAATATGCTAGACGCGCGATAGGTGTCGGCTCTGCAATGAGAGATATCAGTTAGAGCATATCGATAGCACCTGTTTTGTGTGGTTAGAAACGCCCACCAAACTATATCTGAGACGGGAGAGACACAATAGGAGTTTTCACATGCCTCGCCTTTCCGAAGCTAAGTTGCAGTGTTACTGAATCGTAGCACCGGAGAAATGGTTAGCTGTAGCTTGGGTACGTATAGCTGCCCAGTTTACATGCGGCCATGAAACATTTTTAACAGCTTTACCAACGTAAAAGGAATCGGCATCTGGACGGAAGTTGCCGGTATGACTACCTGAGGGCGCAAGATGGGCTCATCGTCTAGTGTGCAATATAGCAATCATTATCAATTGATCACCGAGTGTGCAAAACATGGGTCCAATCTCAAAGGAGACAGTGGACATTGACCGAAAGTATCGCGTAAGATAAAGCCGAAGGCAGTTAGGTTACTTAGGTACGATGAAGCGAGGTACAGACCAGGAAATCTATTGTCTGAATGTGTCAATTTGATTTCAGTCTTCGAGGGTACAATGCAAATGCGATAGTTTCGGCTCCTCCTTAGCTCTCGAACCGATATTGACAAGTTGGGCCTCCGAAGCATGGTGACGAGTATTTTTGCCACCTCTGTACCGTCCCCCAAAGAAGCACGCACACATTATTTGGGAATCGGGATGAGGGCATCGGGGCAAAGTTTGAATACCACCTGGCTCTACATTCGGGTCCTCAGCGGCAGGTTTCAGGAGCTCAGCACTGCGAAGAATCCAAACGTGCTCACACTTGATGAGATTGGAATTTGGCGCCGTGCGCGTCTGGATGATGTAGATGCCGAGCCTGGGGCTGAAGATGTTCAACGTGTGGGCTTAGCATACGCATGGAATGCGAGATACACGTTTCACATTTGAGCGTCCATTGCGCTGTTGAACGAACAGGCCGGGAATTCCCGCTTCATACACGACAGTGTTACTATTTTTAGTGTGTATCTAGCTGCACTCATCAACGAAGGCATCAACACAGCTACTGCTGCACCTAGCTTTAACTAGACTCCCCTTTAGCGGCTGTCTCTTTTAGCGGCTATCTAAGTTCTAGCCATAGTGTCTGGACACTGGGCTTTGGGCCAGTGTAGGATTTATATCAACGGAGCCAGAAGAAATTCCGCTTAGGTCTCTCGCACCCTCGACGTTGAGTGGTGTGGCTCTTCAGGCATTTGCAATGAAATTCAGGTGTGCATCATTCTCGAATTGTAAAACAACAATTTGGTGAGGCTCTGCCAGTTCGGCATTAAAGTTCAATGCTGTCGCAGATTGGTGGGAGGAATACATCGCGTACGTTTGATCCGTCATATTCAAACACACATGTTCTTAATGCATCTTGAAGCTATGATGTACTCAAGCGGTACATTTATCAGCTGGAGAAGCGACAGCAACGGCCAGATGGTATAGAACCGCCTTATAGTGACTTGGAGGCCAATGAACAGACAACCCTTGTCGATCACAGTGATACGCCTGGCGCGGACAGCCTCTTTAAGCCACTACTCGACAAAGAGCTGCAGAAGATTGTGAGGTTTTACGAAGCGCAGGAACAAGAGCTGTTGAATGAACTCGCGCTGTTGGAGCAATCTATCACGCAGCAAGACGAGGCTGGGCTTGAGGCAGGGCTCGACTATATGGATGAAGATGAAGAAGACGAAGAAGAAGACGAGGAAGATGAATACAACATGTTATCCCGATCTGAAGACTATGGCAAAAGGTCCCGACGCAGGCGCCACAAATCCACCTCCGTCGGTTATGGAACGCGTTTTGCAACAGGTCTGCCTTGTAATACCTTGACATGTCCAGCTAACGCTCGTTAAGCAGGTTCCATTCGCGAGGAATCCACAAATCGCCGCTTTAGCGTCTCTTCTAGCGAGGCGGGAGATCTAGATGCAAGCGTCTTATCCGTTGCCCCGCGCCCACGGTCGGCCTCGCGGGCTGTATCTGGTTCGCGTCATGCAAACAGCAGCATGTCGCCGACGGGGAGAGCTCGTAGCCTGGGTGGCCGGCTGAGGACTGTGAAGGACATAACATCTACTGGAGACACCATCTGGACCGCAAAGGGCAGCTATGCCTTGGATACCCGGCTACTCTTCAAACGAAAAATTACCAACCTTTACATCACTTTATCCTCGCTGAGATCTTATGTAGAGGTCAATTACTCTGGCTTTCGCAAGATTCTAAAAAAGTGAGTTGGTTCTATCTGGTTCGCGCAATATTTGTTGAAGGGGTTGCTTCAGGTATGACAAAGTCGTGTATGGCGAGGTATCTAACATTTTATCGTACCTCGTTCATTCATAGCTTATCATTTCCTTCAGCTCAAAGACCGTTACATGCACGAAGTTGTAGAGACATCTGCACCCTTTACAGAAGAGTCGAAAGCCAAAATGTCAGATACCATCGCCCGACTCACCGAGCTCTATACCAAATGCGTGACAAATGGAGACAAGTCAACAGCACAGCAGCAGCTGAAACTATACCAGCGCGAACACATCGCATGGGAGCGGAATACAGTCTGGCGTCAAATGATCGGGCAACAGCGACACGGTACTATGAACGGATTAGGTGCTCTCATGGGCGCTACGCTGGTGCAACAGGAAGAAAGCAGCCTTATTAATGTCTCGACTCCTCTCGGAAGTCTGAAATTGACAAAGAAGAGGGTATCACTCACTGTTGCGCTAGTAGTTTTCCTCGCTTTGCTGAAGGTGGACATCGTTGCTGGTGAAGAGGCCAATAAGTGTTTTGCCATACTTGCATTCAGCACCATATTGTGGGCAACAGAGGTGCGAAATGTGCTCCAGCTTCCATTTCTTACTTACCTTCGTATTTAGGCGATACCGTTGTTCGTGACATCGCTTTGCGTCCCCTTCCTGTTGGTATGCTTACGGGTTATACGTGATGACAATGACACTGCCTTGTCTACGCCTGATGCAACAAAGTAAGTTGTTCGAAATCACCCTCTCGGAGATGCTGAGTACACGATCCAGGTATATATTCTCTGTTATGTTCTCGCCCACAATCATGCTTCTGATCGGAGGATTCACAATTTCATCGGCCTTGAGCAAAACCAACATAGATCGGATTTTAATCACGAGAGTCCTGAGCTTGGCGGGTTCAAAACCTAGTTCCGTGCTTCTTGCCTTTATGGGTGTCTCCTGTTTTGCGAGCATGTGGATCAGGTAGGCCACGTTTATTCCCGTCACTCACATGTTACTAACGTATTTCAGTAATGTTGCAGCTCCAACATTGTGCTTCACTCTCATCCGAGTAAATGATATGCGTCCTATGCCCGCAGCAACAATTATCTGATTTTTACTGTCTTCAGCCGATCCTGAGAACGCTGCCCCCTGGTTCGGCTTTTGCGCCAGCACTAATAGTTTGTTATTTACTATGTGCGGGATCAACCACTCATGACCCCTACAGCTCGCCATCGCCTTGGCCGCCAACATAGGTGGTCAGAGCTCCCCAATATCGTCTCCACAGAATCTCATTGCCCTCGCGGCGATGGATCCCAAACTCGATTGGGCGAGTTGGTTTGCTGTGGCACTTCCGGTGTCCATAATCTCTATCTTGCTCATCTGGCTGCTATTGCTTGTGATGTACCGCCCTGCTCGTTCGCCTGACGGGGAAGGAGAGATTGAGATACGGACTATTCGCCCAACAAGGGAATCCTTCACCCTCAAGCAGTATTGGGTTACGTTCGTCTGCTTATTCACGATTACTCTCTGGTGTTTTGAGCACAAAATCGAGGGTCTTGTGGGAGATATGGGTGTTATTGCTATCATCCCGATCGTCGCCTTTTTTGCCACTGGTGTGCTGAAAAAGGTGTGTGCTGAATATATCGGCAATATTCATACCAACCTACGTGTTCTCAAGGACGACTTTGAACAATTCGCTTGGACAATTGTTTTCCTCGCAATGGGTGGAATTGCTCTTGGCAAAGGTGTTACTTCTAGTGGTTTGATGGTGACTATGGATAAGATGATCCATCGCCTGCTCGAGGGTCTCTCCTTGTACACTGTCGTTCTTGTCCTCTCGCCAGTCGTTTTGGTTTGTGGTCACTTGTTGTGGTGTTCGCAGTTTACTCAAACTTCTTTCAGATTGTATCGACATTTATCAGTCATACGATTGCAAGCGTGCTACTGGTTCCCATCGCGAAAGAGGTTGGAGAAAGCCTACCCGGCGACCATGCAAATCTGCTCATTTTCATGACTGGTCTTCTTTGCTCTGTTGGAATGGGTATGCCTGTTTCTGGGTTTCCTAATCAAACTGCGTATGTCTTCACACAACCACTACGAGTCGAACCTGACGCTTTCTGAATGATCAGCGCTGCTCAAGAGGACGAGCTTGGACGCCTTTATCTCACTAATATGGACTTCTTGAAGAATGGTGTGCCCGCCAGTATTGTCGCCACCCTGGTACGTGGTATACCTTACAACTCAACACGCATGCTTACTCGGTAACGCACGTCCAGGTCGTCGCTACCGTTGGGTTCGTTCTCATGATAGCCATAGGGTGTGTTCTCCTTGTTGACATCTTGAGCGACTATTAATCATGACTGGTTCACTTTAGACTCTGATTAGTCCTTGGACCATCACCACGCACATGCACGGAGTTCAGGCAATAAAATAAACTGGGGTTCCTGATCGAGATACCCTGCGTGCATCATACCTTGCTGTATGATTTACAGCTGCGGAATACTGATAGAATTTTCAATGTCACGTCTTCCTGTAGATTTCACTTCCAGTTCGACTGATATTCTGACGAACAATAATATTGCATGTCAGGCGAATGACAAGAGGGTGTAGAGGACGAGGATATCTATGAGACATCGTTAACATAACCGACCACCTCAAGGTGCGGCTGCGAAAGAATTAAGCGAATGGTGTAGTTCATAAACAGTTTCTGCTTTCCGACTGTCCGCATTGCATTTCGTCCAACGTACAGCCGCAGACGCCTCTGTAGTCTGGACAGTCAGGTACGACCCCATCCGTAAGTGCGAGATGGGGTTGTTCTTATCACACTCTCGTCCTTGCGTTATTCGATCTCGATGCGCCTCGTGCTCCGTTTCCTGAGTAGTCTTCCATCAGAGACAGGGCCGACGCATTGGCATAGCAATCAAGGTCAAGGCCAAGGCGAAAGTAATTAACAAAAGACCAAAGCATAGCAACCACACTTGCCGTCATGATCCAACAGATCGCATATGCTGGCATATGGCCTAGACTGGTGTTCCTGTGTCTGTAGTAAGGGCACATGGACCATTGGGCTTCCACTTCGTGCGGTGAGGAAATCTGAAGTCATCAGGCCCGGTTCAAGCTTTCAACAGGTGGGCATTGAAGTCGGCGGGATTAGACCATCGTGTTCTATCATGGTCCCTGGCACCTTCCACATGTCACGGAGATAAAGTTTTGATATCATTGAGTTGTTGGTATGCTTCAATGGGATGAAGTCGCACGCGCTATTACGCAGTTTTTTACAGCCACACCAGGAAGAAGCTTTGGTAAGGAATCGGAGGCCGAGACTGCGAAGCTACACGGGAGAAGAATGGGGAATGTGAAGCAGGTTTTGCACAATTCACATGTCCAAGTAGTAGTCTCCAAAGTGTCGGAATTCGAAGTCCATCTTGCGCCTAGATGTTCTCGTTAAGCTCGGAGTTATAAAAGTTGTGCGCTGATAGAGGACATCAAGACATGGGAAGTATGCCTGGCAGGGGCCCTGCATTATACTTGGTAAATGATGACCAATTGCGTTCAAAATAGCGGACTTACAGCACACAAGAAGAAAAAGGGCTTAGTTCCGAACGACATAAATGTGCACACCACGCACCTCTCAATGGGGGTTTGAACGCAGCCTTGACTAATCTCGCCGAGTTGACGGTGGTGTACGCCGTCTCTGTCGCATATGTCCCGTCAGCAAGTACCTTTGTCCGCCCGCTTCCCTCGACCTTATTGTCTTCCTTATTGCCTTCCTCTCCGTCAGCCTCGTCCAGTAGGCGCTGCTCACTTGCAAAAATAGGGATCTCGCCAAGCACTTTGCGAATGTCCTGGAATGTGTGGTTTGAATACCTGACAGACCTTCGACGCACTCGCCCAGAATCCAGAGAACGCCGCGGAAGGCTTTACCGGAATTGATCTCTGTCAGAGTTCGAGTGAGCTTGTCGCACATGGACTGCTGGAGGTGTGGGAACTTCTCGACTATTTCACCGCGGAAGTGTTAGTGAAATAAAATGTAGGGACTAGGAGGGAAAAACAAACAGGACGAAGGCCACGACGTCCAACGCTGAGGGGTTATTCGAGTCTCCAATGGATTCCATGAGTGCATGAACACTTGCAGCCACCTCAGAAAACTTGACTGCTAACACATGGATCGATTGGATTAGAAGTTGCTATCCCAAATTTAGTTCACGGTAACGTGCAGGACTGTGAGACTGACTTTTTCGAACCCGTGTTCCTGTGTCTGCTGCAGCTGCTTCTTGAGGAAGCGAATAACTTCCTCGACGTTCCAATTCGAGGTCATGGTGAGTATGATGCTCGTGGCTTTCTTTTGGACCTCCATTTCGGCGCTGATACGATAGGATTCAGTACTATTTTCGGCTAGTGATTGATCAATACCTCGACAAGACCTGCAAGAGGTCCGTCGTCAGTTCATCCAGAATATGACCATGCTTGGAGGGTAGGGTATCCAGGCGATTCAGAACAATGAGCTTAACGTTGTTGTCGGATTCTTTGATAACCAGATTAATAAAGCACGAGGCAGCCGCTAATTACGAAGGTGAGCATATATGCGTACAGGATCTAATCGTAAACATACCTTTCACAGCAGCGGGGTTTGCGCGAGTGTAGTGAGCGTCGTAGCAGCTTCATACTTTACTGCAGGTGATGATGAATTCAACAATTTAAATATGCATCTGATGTATCGAGGCTGCAAGGCGACAAAAATGAGGATAAACAAGATGGCCTAAATGAAAAGGACTTACTCAGTGCGTCGTGTCATTCTTACAATCCAACCTGATGACTTCTATGATGCTCATCTGCAAGAGCTCGTCTAGACTCGTCAGCTGATCATACACACTAATCAACCACTCCGTAGCTTTAGGCATCGCGCAATGCGCAAGGAACACAAATGCGTTACGCTTGCACGTCGCGTCAGTCTCTGCAGCAATGAAAGTCTGCATGAGCTCGGGGGCATCTGGGATGAGGTGTTGATATTCGCGGTAGATAGTGTACACGGCAAATACGGCTTTCTTGCGGACGCAGGAATGACGGTACTCGAGACAGCTGCGGCGGGCATGAAGTGAACAACGCCTGTGTACATCAGAAACGCGAAGAACAATAATGCTATGGACTTGCGAGCGAGCAAGGCGGGGTGCGCACAAACATGACCAGTGACCACCAAGACACTCATTGCAGGGTCATGGAAGGAAGATTGAGAGGGATCGCGAATATAAGCGCTGGGAATAACATGGAGAGCGTCGGCTAACACCGTGATCAACTAGCGCCCAGAGGGACGGCATTGAAGACAACAGTGCACGAAGTAAGGATGAACGCAGCCCGGCCAGCAAAGAGGTTCAACAATGAGTGCATGGCATCACACCGACACAGACTGGACAATGGCCTGACAATTGGAGATGCGGCCTTAGATGCATGATGGTGCGAAGGGAGATAGGTACTTGATGAAGCTTAGGATTGGTGAACATATTTGGGATCACACAGACGAAGAAGGAACGACATAGGAATAAACAAAACCGTAAGCTACTATTGCTGTTCCGAATCCCTAATACACTTTGTCTTCGACAGAAACACCGAGATAAACGACGGCGTAGGTCACGCGACGCGTCGGAGAAGGGTCAGCTGATCTCTTGATTCAGCTTGATCCCCGCCCTCATGTCTCTCTCCGGTCTCAGTGAGGTAGAATTGCAACACGCCTGTGACCGTCTTTTTAAGTTGAAGAAATCCATTATCTATGCTCGAGGAGACCGAGGAGTATATATAAGCTGCCATCTGAAGAATGCGTGTCTATTGAACAGGTTGCAAGATATAGATGCGTTTGAGTTTCTTAGGGGTCCACGCGTGTGCAGGGGTGCAATACCTTCCGCAGTTTTTTCCGATGAGTTTTCTTTTCTTGTTCCGAAGCAGTGTTCAATGTTCAGAAGCAACTCATATTCCTGCTATTTTCTGATCCAAAGAGGGGCCACATTCACCGCCGGCGACGCTTATAATGACCAAGCCAATAAGGTCATCGCTGCGATAGGCATCATTCAAATTGCCAGCTCATTCGTTGTCGCGTCCATATCACAGCTCTATGCTGGATAAGATACAGTTTCCCAGTAAGTACTACGTGAACAGACGGATCGTAAAAGTCATTCGAGGAAATCACGTTAAGGTGTGCATATCAATCACAACTGTATTGTGACACTCTCAGCGAGCACATTTCAGGTATGTGGAGGTGCGTCCTACAACCATTCAAAGGAAAAATTCCTTGTTCTTGCAGATTTATGGACTTTCAATCTTGTTGGAAGCTCTATGCACGCATCTTCCTGGACGAGAAGACATGAAAGGTGACGTAGCTCAAAAGCTGTGTGAATGGATGCCGATGACGAATGGGCTATCTGAGATACATTAACTCAATGCCCCGAGTGGTCATCCTCGCTGAGCTTCCCATCAGATAAACATTTGCCGATGCGCAAGGAAGGTCCAACCAGACCATCTCCGAATCTATGGAGCGGCCCTCCATCTCCGCGACCTTGTTGCGAACACAGATTGCTGATATATTTGCCGACAACGGCATCATCAACTCCTTGTGGGGCGGACTTCAGCTTGACGGAGAAGGCAGAGTTATGGAGAGGTGCCTTTGATGCATTGGCGCCAGTATTATTGGTCGTGTGGAGGTTACAGAGCGTGCTAGTGAGCCTTGGAAAAAAGGAATTTGAAGTAGCGCAACACTAGTGCATGTCGTTTGTAGCCAAGGCTGTGGTACAATTGAAATTGATGCCGGGAATCTGAGAAAAAATCAATCGGGAGGATGTGAAGATCATATTTGAATATATATTGCTGCAGGGGTCGTGTTGAATGGCTAGTATCAGTTGTCGTCCTTCAACTCGGTCGTATGGGCTCTCTCTCTCGACAAAGTGGCTGAAGGAATTAATGGCAGTAGTAATTTTTACGGTAGTAGTGACCGGGCTTGACTTTAGTAAGTCATCAAATGAATTTGAAGACTTCTCACGTTTGTTTGTGGGGAATTTGTTCAGACACCGTCGTCGTCGCCGTCGTCCACGATGACGAACACGACTACGTCTTCTAGTCTGCCAACAGTGGCAATGCCGAGCAAGAAGCACCCTACAGTCTTACCAAATGCACATCCGTATGCAATCAAGACGACGTCCTCTGCTGTTCTTTCACGTTCGAACTCATCGCCGCACTCATCACCCTCAGTCAAACACCATTATGTTCCCCCATCGCCAACTCGCCCAAGGCATTATCACGCGTTTTCCCTTTCGTCTGTAGAAGGTGCGAGCGTCAATGAAATTCCTCGACCTTCTCCGTTGCCTGTCCCCCCTTCCTTTCATGCCATCCCTCCAACACGTGCATCTTTCTCTCTCAGTGATGACGCAACACCTTCTCGCAGACTGAAGCGTGCAGACACGCTACCATCCTCCGCAAGTGTGCCTGCTCTCAATAAAAATACTGTTACAGAGGACAATAATCTGCCTCGCAATCCCAAGCACTGGTCCACTGACGACCTCGTTTCACATCTTGCCACTTCACTCTGGGCAGGCAGCGAGTTGAGTACCGAAGACCGGGGACGCCTCCTTTGTATGATCAAGGAACAAACTATTACTGGTAGGAATTTTTTGAGATTAACTGACGCTGACCTCGCTAGGTAAGTTGTATGTTCACGTCATTTAGTGTTATACCAATGCAAAGGATCATCTGACGATTATCGTGTGTTTATAGCCTGTCTCTGACACCTGATCAACGAATTTATCTGCTCGACGCTTCCCGCGCCTTGCGCGCAGATGTTCTCCGCGGTCGCATATGGGTGGACTCATACCATTCTAAAGACATATCTGCACACTCAAAGGGTGTTCATACGCGATCCATACGCAGCTCGAATTCGCCTTTCAACTGTGATCTGTACAATTTTTCCACTTCATCGGTGGATTTAATTCTCCCGCCATCTGCCTCCATAGGAACTGATGAAGACCTTCCGCCATCCCCAGCCGTAACCTTGATTTGCTCCAACTCTGTTTCAGATTCCTCAGCGCAAAGGTACAGAGACCTTGCACGTATGCGAGTCAGGAGACGTGGACAGGTTAAGGGTCTCGTCGACACTTGGGAGCGCGAAAGAGGCGCCATCAGTGGGAGCGAAGGCTCCATGAGCGGCAGTGATGCCGATAGCGACAGTGACATTCCGTCCCCTGGGTCACCTGTTCCTCCTGCCCTTTTAAATTCGACGATCCGTCTAATCAACCCGCCACCTCCATACACATCACTCAAGGAGATTGAGGATGAACCGACCATCGAGGAGCTCCTAACGTCTCCTGGTCCTATAAAAGGTGCACGCGCTTGGGAAGAGGACTACGGGTTGGGAGAGACCGTCAAGCGGATCCCCGCTAATACACCTACCCCTTTGCCATTGGCATCTACATCTCCGAGGGTGGCAGTTGCGCTCGAAATCAATGCCGACTCAGACAAGTATGCAGCAGAATACAACCTCAGCAAGTTCAGTGACCTTGGAAACGGCCGAGCTAATACTCAGAAGCGAATAGTGACCGCGATATTTACCGGAGGCTCCAACAAGATGGACAGTGCGTTGGACAGCATACCTGTAGACGACGTACCTCAGTCCAACTTGGATCCAGGGAAGGTTGTGAGCATCCTTCATGCAGCAGAACTTGAGGTTACTACGGTCGAGTCAGCTGAAGGCGTCTCTCTTTCGCCTGACCAAGTTGTGGCACCTTCTGATAATGATACCGTCATTGCGATACTTGAAGCATCCATCGCATCTACTCGAACACAGCTCGAAGCCTTCCGAGCACGTCTGGAAGTTGTCGAAGCACAAATTGCAGCCCAGGAAGTTGTCAACCACGCTTACCTTCGTCCCGAGGAAGCTCGACGACCACTCGATGATCAACCCACAGACTATTCTTCTGTTCATGATCCATTCCCTACTCCGGATAACACGGTCTTCTCTGGTTATCATCTTGGGTTGAAATCATTTGTGCACTCGATCGTTGCTCGCACAATGGGATGGTTATATCCCTATTCTCGTCCTGGTGCACACCCTCGTCCAGAAGTAAAGACTACACATTCTGAATGGCTAAGCTTTCCCCTCGTACAACTGCGCATTTTACCTGAGTTTCGACTATCCTACGTGATCATGTTCTCTTTCGTGCTTTGTGCAGCCGTTTTGCGCAAAGTAGGAAAAACAATGCGGAGGCGTTAATCCTGGTACCTATCCAATCGATCGGGTTGATATTCTTGACTCTTGCTCTGCTCCAAATCTGTATATCATTCCTCGTCATCGCAATACCGTATCTATTATTCAATCTCACCTTCGCCTAGCCCTCAAACCTTCATCTTGCTTTTTGTTTGCGCTTGTTTTACTCCCAATTTCCTCACTTGTTATGCTTCCGCTCCCATTTCCTCCCATAATTTTCTCCCATAGCATTATATCTTTACATTGATCATACTATCCACAGCGATTCACAGCTACATTCTCTGCGCCAATAAATATGCATGTGTGCAACCCCAACTAGCGGCGAGTACTCACTTTCCCGAACTGTTTCTTTGAAGTACGAGAGTGTTACAGAAAGCTCGTGGTATCTAAGCTTCAATCATTGGTCGGATGTCCTTCATTCGAGTATTGTAAACAATATCACAATTGCTAGTTCGGACAAGGCGAATGACGTTCTCAACCACGAGGCATGGACTAGGCATGCGCTGCACGGCAAGAACTTCGTCGCCAACTTCTAAATCCAGCTCTCTTCCTTCTGCGACTATCACTTTCGCCAATAGCTGTCGAAAAATTAGAAACTGTGTGTAAGAAGGTTGTGTGGTAAGTTATTAACCGATTTATGCCGTTCGGATTCATGCAAACTCTCTGACACTTCAGTGATAGACGACTAGTAGAAGACAAGGCACAGGGCATATCGACTTTTACAGCTTTCACCTTTAGACTTGTATTTACCTTCTTGACAGTATCAGCTTCGACACCATGTGCAACGCAATTCGTCTTTGTACCTTCTTGCTTCTCGACCACACGAACCATCCGCTCGTCCATTCGCCGGTATCATTACCTAACATCATGGTCTCTCGTATTTAGTTCGCGTCGTCCCATCGCATACCTCAGTGTTATTCTCAAACTTGCTGAGGTATGTTATATCTCTTACTCGCAGCTCACTCGTACTGATGTAACCTATCATGTGCTCTCGCTAGGTAGATTATCTTTAATATAGCATTGTTCTCGAACTTACTGAGCGTGTGCTCTCGCTAGTTGCACTAGCATAAACAGGGCATACATACATCTTCCTGGGACCGGCTCCTCGCACTTCGAGACAGCTAGCACCACGGGGGACTCCATACGCCCAGCTTGCGCCTCTTGCCCAGTTACAAAATGAACTCCTTTTCGATATCTTTCGACAAGGCGCTGGGGAAGCTCCTAGTACAAGTGACTCCCTTCCATTCGAGTTGGCTGTTTCTGGAGTACGCAGGGCTTGCTACGTTAGCCTCTCACCAGAATTTTGGATCTACGTATTTATTACATCCAAGACACCGCCGGAACATCTCTTTACATATCTTAGACGCTCATCAAATCACATCAGCCGACGGCTAGGTCACGTGATGTGTTGGAGAAGCTAGCTTATGTGAGCGTAGATGGTCAAATATAAAAATTCAGTGAGTTCAAGTTTGAACTCGTCAACCGATCTCCAAGTTGATCCCCAGAGTTTGCGTTTCTTACTAGAAGACATGCGTCTTCTAAGAAGCGTAAACTCTCCTATCTCAGTGGGTTGGAATTGCAACTCGCCTATGACTCTTTTTCTAAGCTGAAGAAATGCATTATCTACGAGGAGACCGAGGAAGACCCATCTCCAGGAAGCTTCGAGCAGCACGATGCTCCATCTGTTGGGGTCGAGGCTGGAATACTCGTCGATCTATGTCCGTGCACCTGGTTCGTTCTATGAGCTCGCGCATAGATCGACATGTTCTTCTTCCGCGCATCTACAATGCTACCAGCGGATAGGCGCATTGTTCTCAATATAGAACACACTATACCAGCCACTTATCAGCTCATCAAGTTTGTAGACTCTCTGAAATCGTGGGTTACACTGTCATAGTAGAAAGTGAACGCAATCCTATGTAGTAAGTATACTTTGACTTATCTCAATCTTCCACCTCAATGTTTCCGCTAGAGTACTTTCTGAAAGGCATGAACCTTCATGAGATCAAAAAGTATAATCCACCCGGCTTCTTCGTTATGGAAGCCAAGTTATTCAATCCCTTGGACCACATTGCCCAGGCAGCGTCTGAGATGTTCGCGTGCGGAAGGTTTCTCGAGTAAGCAGATTCTGTTAGCTTTTAGGTTCACATTTCTAAGTCGCTACTTCATCTCAGGCGAAGAGTCCTCCGTGGTGCTCTGACCAATGGATATTAATGGATCTTCCTTATCATGACGTTCGCGGACGATTATCATTGACGCCTTGTACATCTCACGGCTCACACCAGTAGCCCAGTGAAGGCGTCCAGTTTGCATGCGTACTTGTCTATGGATAGGTCATCGACGTTCTGCAGCAACGCTACTGGCACCCGTAAACAATGGTATGAAACCATATAGTTCTCTCAGGAAAATTGAGTATGATACGAAATAAGGCGGTTTGAAGACGACTTGGCACGCGACCTATTTGGGGCACGTTGAAAAATCAAATGTCCAGTGTTACCCCTAACTTCTCTTGCTCTGCCCCTTATAGTGACGATACACATAGGTCTTGCCCATCAGTTGAGGAGAGGTAAGTCCATCATTCTAGTGACGAGTCCTCATCTCATCAATATTTCAGCCACCAGTAATCAATGGCGAGGAGAATGTCACGGTGCTCCTTTTCATCACTCCCTGCAGAGACAGTGTCCGGCATTCTCACAGCCGTTCTGGAAGACATTGTCCAAGATGATATGGTGACAACTCCTGAAGCGGAGCATCAGCTGCTAGCAGGAGGCCTGCCGTTCCCTCACACCATGGCATTGGTCTGCAAACGTTGGCGAGATATCGTGTCTTCTACCCCTGAGCTGTGGACTCGGATCTTTTGGATGATAAACGTACCCGAGGAGGAGGGCCGCCATTGCATAAACTCACAGCTGGAAAAATCGGGCAGCTATCCTGTCCATTTGACCATAATCAACTCGTGGTGTCACAGACGTGGAATCCGTGTTATTTTACAACACATTGCACCGCATCTTCAACGACTCAAGAGCCTTAGGCTAGCTAACTTCTACGAGGCACACCACCAGCCACACTTGGACACGCTAACAGGATATGCGCCCCAGCTCGAGAGTTTACAATTGACAGATGGGAAACATATTCATCATTGCACCGACTTGAAATCACGTTTGAAACTTGACTGTCCCGCTCTCAGGATCTTTCGTGTCGACAAAATTGTAGCTTGCAATCTAGACCACCAGTGGTTGAAGAATAACTTGATCCATGTTGAGTTCATAACCATTTCATGCGGATCTGGTAGCAATGACCGAATCTATGGCGCACGAGCAGTGATGCTTTTTCGAGCGTTGGAGGCAGTTCCACGCCGAATACCTTGCCTCACCCTCGACAACCTGCGATTATCAGATTCAGGTCTGGGCTCCATGATCACAGCTGGCGTCAAAATAGGGGCAGAGCAAGTGATCCTGTGCATAAGCATAGACGCTTTGCCTGCCATCGATGACGATTGCCAGACCATCGTTATCAAGCAATGCGATTCTATTCATGATCTTCAGAGTATCTCGTTACCTTCCTCGTCAAAATCACTGGAGTTGGACAGGTGCGGTAGCAAAGAACCGCGGCGGGTACCCGATGCCCGTATGTGGGACGGTGATACAGTCACCATCACGAACAGCCACTCCTCCTGCATAGAGATCGTCTTACACCTCCTCGGCGCACCATTCAATGATCATGTTTGTTCCCTGTGGCGCCATGTCACTACTCTCAAGCTCGTAGCCAACGATTTCGTGCCGTTGACTTTACTGAAGGCGATGATCACCAGCCGGCAGGGGGCTGCGGGGCAGAATAATTTGCCAGGGAAGAACGACGGGGATAATGTGGAATTAGAAGGTGTGCGTCCGCTCATGGTGTTCCATGTGCATGGGGGACAACATATAACAAGCGAGGAGAGAGCGTGGTTCAAGAAACGGGTGAAGGACTTCGTATGGAGGTGAGGGTGGTTTGTATGCATGGGCCGTTCCAGGAAAACGTATGTAGTAAGATTATCAATATTTAGGCTGACGACCACTAGCAATACTGAGTGTTTCATACTTATGTCCTCTCCAGGTTTCCCGCTGCGTGATCAAACAGCAACAAAGTCTATTCCGCCTAGCATCCTCTTCGTAGATTGATCCGGCGCCCTGGGGCCCTGCATAAGTACTCGGGAAGCTACTCCTCAGCATCTAGTACATATGCCATCGAATACATTCTAATCGCTTTCGTCTAAGAAATATAGACTCTAGCCTTCAAGCTAATCTATGATATCTTCACCATTTCGCGCAGTTACCTCGTCGACACGAGGCCCTTCATCATGGCACAGCCCTTATGCTCGGTTATAGGTCATGCTTCCTCACTTTGTTACTTGTTCACCGCATATATATATATAAGATGTCGTGTCCTCTACAATAATCCTCGGAATTTAATCACAAGTCCCTGCAGCGGGCTCACAGTTTTCGAACGAAAGTCGTATTCTCACCGCTCGTTGCACTTGTTACCAGTTTTACATCTATGTTTGTAGAAAGTATCCACTCAGAATCTCGCGCACGTGAGATGCGTACTCAAATCGAAGGTGAATGCGCATTTCAGGGACGCAGGATTTGTTAGATGTAAACGTTTTTCAGTGCGAGTCATCACGCGCATTTCATATTAAGGAAGGATTCACCCAGCTATGTGCTTCGCATGGCCTTCGATGGGTTCTCCTCGTGAGGCTTCCAGACTTGCAATCAAGATGGGAAATCCACGCGTCGTCTATTACTGTCCAATTATAGAGTCTTGAAGTACTCCATCCTACCTATTTACGAGAATTTATATCGCGAGAAAGTCTTCGTCTTCCTCAACGAGGATTTCTAGGAGCTTGAAAAATGACGCCCCAGGAAAACCCATAACGTTGTAAAAGTCGCCATCAATCTTGCGAATGAGCAAGTTGCCACGACCCTGTCGTCTGCGTGAATGTCGTGTTGCGCACAAGTTCGAGAGAGACTAACTTGGACTGCAAAGCCTCCTGCCCGATCTAGACCTTCCTCGCTGTCGACGTACGCCTGAAGTAGATGTTCCGGATTGTCCCCGAAGAATACCAATGTCCGTTCATCTATAGATCTATGTGCGCGACGGCAATCCGGTCAATAGGGCATACTCAAAGAGAGAAAAGCCTACTTGATCTCATATCCAGGAGCGCTCAAGATTGGATATACTGAAACAGAGGTTAGAACAGAAGAATCCTAAAAATCAGAATTTTCACATACCAAGTGAAACGCCCGTTACAACCTCACAAACACTCCCATTCAGGTCCATCAGCATGCGTATGTTGTCCTCTTTCGAGGATGGTTTCTCGAGAAGCTCTTGCCGCACACCCGTCTCCATCTCAATGGACGTCGATGGTAGGGCATGAGTGAAGACGACGGTATCCGCTGATAGAGTATTAGGTCACTTAGATGGGAACTTTCCAGAGGGCACATACCACCGATGACGAGATCTGGTGGGTCGTCTGGCGCATCTGTCTTGTGCAAGTTGTGGAAATATAGGTGAAATTGAAAGCAACGAACGTACCAGTAATCTTTGATACACCTCCACTGCTTTCTGGGTCGCAGTGGAAACGGGATATTCGTGAATATCCTCGAAAGAAGAGATAGGGAGATCCTCAGCAAACGTCGATGGGACAATTTCGGGTGCTAAGCCCTGTCTATATGTCATCTAGTGGTCGACTTTAAGAAATGCTAGGTTGGGTTCGTACCAGGGTTTGGAGTATCTCCTTTCTCCTCGGGCTTGCAGAAGCAAGAATGACGCGCTTGTTAGTCAATTTCTGGACGGCAGGTGTTTTGAGAGCGGTTGGCAGAACGGCATTGCGTTGAGGTGCCATAGCTGATCTGAGATGTCTGACTTCAAGTTGTATGATGCTTATTATGTAAAGGGTCGTGAAACCTAGGCCTGCTGACTCTCATTCTTCACATATTGGTCACATGTGAGCTGTTATTGGCAACTAACTCTCCGGGCGATCCGGATTTCTCAGTAATAGCAGACAGTACTGTACTAAGTATCCCGTTAATCATCCTTCTTACCCGAGGGTGGTGGACCCACAGCCGGGGACATAAGCGGTGAAGGAACGGCGAAGGGGGAACTGAGTCCTCCGCTAACACTTCGTGAGATATTAACTGACTTCCCCTGCTTATGCCCTCTCCCACTCGGCGGCGGGCCAAACGCCGCCCCGCCAAAGCCAAGTCCAACGCCTGTTCCTGGTGTCGGTGGGACACTCGCACTGCTAGTCAAGGGAGGTGCAGATAGATATGGTGAATAGGGATATGGACTTTGGCCGGTGAATCCACCTGAGGCGGGCGTGTTCGCGTAGGATGCGTACGGTGAGGAGGAACCTTCGACGACCCAACCTGGGCCTTGTCTGACGACATTCGTCGAGTTTTGTGCAGTGGAACGTACACGCAACTGTCCGCCGGCCCATTTTCGCTTCACACCAGTAGCTTCAGCGGCTACAATTCCCGGAGTGGTATCTGCCCCTGAGACGGCATCCGCTGCGCGAATGGCGACACGAACGAAATACTGCGCGCAGGTGAAAACACCACCAATGACACCAACACAGCTACGAGGATATGTCAATCTTGAGTAATGAACCAAGAAGATTCCCCTACCGTATTATGAATTGTACCAACGAGGTTGTGCGCTGGTGGATGCTGATAACCATTGGGTCGAGATCGAACTTGAAGAAAATACCGGGGACTCCTTCATTGTGCTCCAGCTTACGGGTGTAGTGAGTAACGCTGTATTGGTTTGTTTCGAGAGGCCGACTTCGGGGGGCAATGTATGTAGTTGGAACCACATGCAAGAAGTATTGATACACCATGAACGCTGTTAGTCGATGAGTCTGAGTACGAACTGAGAGGGAAAAAACGTACGGTCTTTTGCGATCTCAACTGAGTAGTCAAGGGGTTGAGAGATATCGGGGAAGTATGGTCCGAACGAAAACTCGCTGATCACATGGGACAAGTTCATCTCTGGAAAATATTATAGCATCTATACTCATTGAACATGGTTGCAACTACTCACTATTGTGTTCCACATGGATGTGACTATTATAGCCATGTCCGAGTGTTGTAATATGTAAATTAGCTGGTTATATTATTAATAAGAGAAGGGGGAGCATGGAGGGTCAACATACCAGTCACTTTCTTGACCTGTAGGGACCCATAGATACGACATGCACTTCCATCCTTCTCGTGGTTATATGTAGGGCGAAACTCAGGTTCAGCGCGGCGGAACCAAGAGAAGAGTCCACGCGACTTTCTGGATTGTGAGATTGCCTGGCGAGCAGAAAGAGCCTTGGCATGTTCCCTGAGTGGCGATTGAAGGGTAAGAGGTGAAAACGCTCATAGAAATTATGACTTACTTGAGAGTTGTTGCTTGGCCAATATCGAAATGAGTCTGTTAAAGTGAGTTAGATGAATGCTCGCCCTGTGGAAGATATATCAAACGTACACCCTCCCGACGGAACGCATTGCTGAGGAATAAGCGGTCACCAACTACATCACGCAAGTCCACACTAAGATCTGCGACAAGTCTCTGGTTCAGGGGCAGAAGCTCTGTGATTAAGGGAGTGGAAGGACTTACATTGACAAGGCATATTGACTACCACATCAACGTTCACATTCAAATGGGTCTGGCCCTGGGAGTCTATGCTGAATTCATAATCTGGCCAACCCCAGATATACTCTCCAATATCATTTAATACAAGTAGGAATGCGATGAGAGCGACCAAAAGAGTGAAGAAACCGCGGGACTCTGAGCGGGCCTTGTAGGTTGAAGGAAGTTTTGGGAATGCATCGAAACGTGCGAGAGGAACAACAGCATCGAGCTGGTCTAGTATGGAGGGCCCGGACATCGATGACGATGAGCCCTGCAGTAGCAGAGCAAGCTGAAGTTAATCGTAGTAGTAAGTGTAAACAAGTGCTAGAGCATCGAACCGACGTGTCATTAATAAGGACCCCGAATACCTCTAGTCATATTATTATTACAGTGCTGATCATCGTCGATTTCATCGACTTTATCATCATCGGCAATGACGACAAAACGCAAAAATTCAGATACGATCGATCTGACAACGTCCTTTACACTGTCTACACCGTTACCGGCGCCATCTACTAGCAGAAACCGTCTTCCGCGCTCTGCTACCAGTTCCAGGAGTAGCTCACATGCTTCTCGTTCACAGAGTGGCGGGCCAAGACCAAGCGAAGATACGATATTGTTACCAGATCATGAAGAAGAAGACCTCTCGCATCACAGGAGAAAGAGACGAAGAATTGATTTCGGTGGAGAAGAACAGGACAACGTGCACCAGCTGCATGAAGCACGTCCGAGTCTACTCTCCAATCCCCCAGAGAATAATGTTTTAGAGGCAAGCACCTCGTCACAGGTCGCATCAAGCTCGCTGCTGTCTAGTTGGAACATGGCTCCCGATCTCATGCTAGAATCATCTTCATCTCTGGACGAGGAGCTAGGGCTAATTGACCAACCACCGCTCACCCAAGAGTCAGTAGCATCCCAAGCTTACTCAGATGCTGCAGATGCAGGAACTGAAGTTGACATCATGGAACAAAGGGGAACATCCCAATCGGTCTCCGAAATAACCAATGTTCCTCCAGACGACGTAGTCGTGGTTAGTCCCACATTGTCACCGCGTCGAACTCAGCCTTCACTGCGCCCAATCGTCATCGATGATCCTATTCCCCTAGAGATGACGGGTACATTCACACCCGAACCAGCTACAAGTCAGGACACTCATGTTTTCTCCCCTGAACGCCACATCTTCCTCATCGTCTGCGCCGGAGCTACTATCCGCTTATACGTGTCCCATTTGCTTCTCGCCTCCCACTAACGCAACTCTGACACCTTGCGGTCACATTTGCTGTGGAGCATGCCTCTTTGCTGCTGTCAAATCCACAGTGAAGCGGAACATGGTGATTGCTATGGACAGAGCCCCTGTTCCAAGGTCAATTTTTATCTTTCATACTCTTTACGCCATTGTGATTCATCATTTGACCGATCATACTCAGATGCCCCGTTTGCCGCGCTGAAATACCTGGGTGGGATGGACGAGGGGGAGGGGTAGTTGGGTTGAAAGTGGAGGTTGTTTATTCTCTTTGAATTTGAGTACGCCTCGTGTGAAGCACACATGCATATGTCAGTATATTCACCATGCTTGAGACACAACATCTTCTGGTCGAGACCATATAATTCCAATAACGACCCTTCTAGAAATCACATAGCAGTGCAATCATGACCGTCCCTTTCCGTGTCACCGCGGTCGCCACGAAACCAAATACTTCTGTGACTGATTGAAACGCCATGTCGTTTCAGCGTGGTCGTATTGATATTAACGATCGATCATGGTCGAGCCCGAGTCCGTACATGAATATACAGCCTCTTCATAATAGGTAATTACTCCCTCGAACTCGCCTTCACTGCGACATGGCAAAATCATTAAATATTCCACTCAGCGAATTAAATGCACAGTAGCAAGGCGACGAAGCGGGCATCGGTTACGTTCTCGGCATATTTGTGCGTAAGTGCGGTTTGTTTGGCAAAAGCTTTCGATCCAAACAACCCAAAAGCTGATAATCACGACTCAATCGCAACTTGATAAGATAACATCAACCGCTACATCAACAATCTCTCATTTTCAACGTCAAGATTTTTTTTCCAGTTCGCAACAGACATGAGCGCCCGCCAGTCTTTTGTTCCTCGTTCAGCATCTCGTGCTTCTAACCATGCGGCAGACACTGAACATCCGTTTGATATGTCGCTCCGTGACCAGAATTCCCTAGGCCAGCCCCAACGTACTGGCGGTAACCAGAATGAACTTGACTCAATGCAGCCAAAAACAGACTCAGAAAAAAAGGCTCGCTTTTCCGGGCTTATCGGGAAGAAACTCGCTGGAAAACTCGGCTCCGGAGATCATCCAGCGGTCGTAGACGCGTCGTTCTCTAGCGCGTCTGGGCGTTTCACCGGAATCTATCGCCCCGATATGCAATCTTTAGCCATTCCACGCAGCTCTAGCTCTCCATTCCACGGAAAAGGCTCGCCTTTTGTTCCATCCTCCAATCCTGGTATATCTTTTGCTCGACCCACGTCGCCTGTGGCAAAATCTGCATCACACAGAGGAGATTTGACCATTTCAGGTTTCAAAGACGCGCATATATCCACACCAGGTGTCTCAGGGCTCATTTCTACTTCTCGTGTCATTGCAGCGCCTGTCCCTGGCTATGGGTCGTTTCACGATGGCAGGCACGATGACGAACACACATTCAGCTCCAACAAATCTTCCCTAGCCAAGTCACAGCCTGCGCAACTCCTTGAGAGAATCCATGAAGACGTCGAGCCAGAGACAGCAAACGAAGAGGAAGACGAAGCGCTGCTTGACGCTCGCAGGACAAACGTTGTTGCGCATCCCGTGTTGCGCAGGGTGAAGCGCACCATACAAGGCACTCAGGAGGACGAGGCTGGTTTCTCACCCCCCGACGAGATTGGATACATGCGTAGAGTCAAACGGGTCAAGATCGACGAGTTTCCCTGCGAATTGGAAGATAGCCGTCCTGACGACACTAGCCACTCCGGCATCGACCATACTCAACTACAGCCTGATATTGATGACAATACGGCTCGTCAATCTTCACCACCCACGGGCCAAACTGGCGCGGGTTCCGCGGAGGAACACTCTCTCGATGGCATGTTTGCGAACATGGATTCGTTCCTGGACGTGGATACTTACCTGGGCCTCCTTCACAAGTGGTCTACCTGCTCAAGGGAAGAGTGGCTTCAAGGCGCTGAAGGTTCGCGGCTGTTTCCCTGTTTCTTTGCATTTTTTTGCTTCTGCCCCTTTCTGCCTATCAAATTTCCGTCAAATTCTTGTTCACACAACATCTGATTTGTTGTTCAAATGGGTGCTAACTGCAGTCGTGTAGAAATTGTCGACCAGTTTAAAGATATCATTGACTCCGTGAAGGAGAACCTCACGTGCGTGCCTTTTGAAACACATCATGTCCCTGTCTTGGGGTGGAGTCACTGATCATGATCACACCTCCTGTTCATTATATAGAGCCAACGTCACTCTTTACTCACACCTGGACGACCAAGTGCGCGATCGCCGTGAGGAACAGGCTCAGCTCACCGAACATTTGAGGCGAGGACTGGGATCGGCCAGGACGGATCTGATCGCTATTTGCCGGGGAAAGTAAATTGAGGCTGTGTGGTTAATGCTGCGGTGAGATGCTTATACGACGTGCCTTTTCACCTCCTATACCGAAGACAACTTGGACTTCATATGAGATTATGCATGTGCTTCGTAGAACTCAGCGATTCTAGTTTTCAAATGTCAATTTGCAAAATCGCAATCCTATCTTTTTCTTTAGATCTCAGGGTGAAGCGAACGGTAAAGACGTCGGAGTCGGACGTTTGAGTTTTTTTTCTTCAAATCCGGAATGGCACCATTGGAGGCGCATGGGCTCCTATGTAACATTGACTGCAAGCTGGTGTAAGACTCATCTAAGAATATTTTCGTTTCCTCGGCCTCTAACAGAGACGATTTAAATCCGGGGCATTTTCCGCTCTTGATATCGATGACGGTAACGTCATAGTAGAGCGCCGATAACGACGATTTATTTTTATGTAAGAATGATCAAGCAGTACCTTGGCAATCGTCGCGCACAAAATTAGCACCCTTGCCTCATCGTCTCCTCCCTCATGCCAAGATAAGCCTTAGAACGCCTTAGACCACTTTGCCAGTTGCCTGCAGACATCCAATTCAGGAATATTTCTCACACTAACAAATAAGGTACGGCAATTTCTCAAGTTCCCGCCACTCACCTTGTCACGGTAGGTGCTTGCGGCAGCCTTGTGTTTATCCAGTAACTTTGTAACGCAAGGCTCAGGCGTCAATGCTTTAATGCACCTTATCTCTCTGGTCACGCCGATAGAAGGTCTCCCTGAGACTTCTACCGACTTCTATCTCCCAATGCGAGGATACCTCGTGCACAAATCACCGTGGCGCTCTATCAGAAGTCTTTTTTCAGCATAGAACAGGAGAAGCGTTCGTCGCACCATGAAATACAGCCGTTCAGTCATTGGTGCAAGTAATCACCGGTCCCTGTGAAGACTGTTAGGCCTGGGTCGCACCACAAGTCATACAGACAATATGTTGCTGTACTCAGACGTGTGTCGTCATACTGTTGTCATACTTTTTGGTGTGTCGCGACAAGTCGCGGCTACATACTAGTAATACTCACGACTCTATCTTAGCGACGTTTACGCGACGAGAGAATTCATCGGTTCAGGTCGTATACGAACGTTGCTGGCCTGATCAACATCGCTACATTGAAAGGTTTACACTTCGGAAGGACGAGGCTTATCTGAGTAAGAATTTGAAATGAAACTTTGGTTACCTCTGATTACAATTTCATAAATCAACTACTCGTTGCAAGTTCACATTAACGAGGAGAGGTACCCCCCGGTTGCCGCATCAGTCAAAGGATAGCACCGCAGCCAGTGGATCCTATCCTGAGGTATGAGCGTATCGCTCTGCATATATTGTAGCAGACTGAAGTCTTTGAACAAGGTCTCGGACTAGGAATATCATGTTTAATCGGGTGATAAAGCGGAGTGCTGATAGATCGTTTCCACACCACCCCTCCTGAGTTCTTATCATATGGCGTGATGCTTTGCCGTCGGCCGCATTGTCCCTGAAGTTACTTCACAGTTAATTTTTGCAAGAACTTCTTCGGCACACCTCATGGCATATGCCAGTCGTGGCTCCAATGGCCAGAATTTGGGAAGATAGTTTCCGTTGTCCTAGGAAAACATTAACACCACTGCCTCACGCCTGGCCGTGTTATCCGGCCCCTTACGGCAGTTTCTTTGGTCCTTCCGCGGTGCTGTATCTGCTCGTGGACCTTCGGCGAACGTTCTATGACTTTGTTTTCCCGACATGATGGACATCCGCTGTGGGATAACTTTCAACCTCATGGCTGCGTGGAGTTTATTCCCGTATTCCATTTCAGGATATGCGGACCTTAAAGGTATCTCTGTTATAAAGACTACGTACTCCAAGTTAGATTCGTCATTCTTCAACGAGACTCCTCGATCCAGAAATCCTTCCGGATTCATTATGCCTCCTGGTACTGTTAAAAACTGTAGATCATGTTTTCTTGCTTACTGTCGCACAATAGATCCTGAGCTTGTCTTGGACTCGAAGCGCAAAGAAACGCTACATGAATTTCTCGAAGTGCTAAGGGAGATTGTCGCTCGCGACTCTGCGACAGTTGAGGAGAAACCGCAACAGAGTACAGACAGAAAACAATGTGAGAATATCTATTTTGAGGGCTTTCGCCATTTTGAACCATTTTTAAGATCCGGCTAGCCCGGAAGAAAAACTCGTTTTAGAAGGTATAGAGACCTTCACGAATTTTGAGAAGTGAGTGATCCATTCGACCACTCGCTTTTTTGACTGACCATGGTTGACCCCTTCACTCCTCGAAAGGCGCGTTGAAAGATTGGACAAAGAGGTCAGTAGTTTTATCCGAGATATCGTTATATTTACGCGTCCTTCCAGCTCCGTAATTTTGATAACGGCGCCCGTCAATTGGGCAGCTCAGCTGCACTGCTACTGGCTGCATCCAGACTTCGTGAACGGCTCGTCCGACTCTTGTTCATCTTCCGCGACAATGCAGCCAATCTATTTCCTCGGAGGATCGCACGCCAGTCCAAAGAAACGCTTGTGAATCCAAACATCATGGATCGACGTGGCAAGGCTCATTCCGAAGCTGTCAAATTTCAAGCATTCATAGCGGAGGATGGATTGGCAACTGAAGCCATCCCCCAGGAATTGGATGGTTTTGCGCGAGATTTGCGCATGCTATTGAAGAGTTTGAACGATTTCCCTGAGTTCAGAGATGATGCGGTGAATAGTTCAATTCACGCCTTCGCAGCAGAACTCGAAGTAAGCGCTCTTTTTTGGCCGTGACACTACGTTGACAAAATTCAGTATCGGGCTTCCTGTCTGACGGAGTATAAAGGTACGATAAAATATTCAACGCCCACAGTTACTGGGCTGAATCTTTCACATAGGCTATTTTCGGCTTGCTTCTGTGCAACAATACGTGCACGGACTTACAGCGGAAATCGGAAGTCATATTGACGTTGTAGCATCGAATTTGGCGATGTTCATAGATATCGGTAATTACAATTTTAAAACAGGCGTTCACTGGCAATTGAAATGGAGGATACAGGTGTCCCAACCATTCAGCTTTCACAACAGTATGCGGCCGCTAATCTTTCTAATCTGGCAACATTTGGTACGATATTTTCGGGTGTCACCGCAACACTTTTACAGCTATCGTATGATCACACCAACACTAAGCTGGCAGTATCTGTAAATGCATTTTGGTTTTCGTCGCTAGTTTTCAGCGTCGCAGCAATAGCGACCAGTCTACTTGGTTTGGCATGGACACAGGCCATACAGTGAGCGCTTCGTATTGTCTTCTCTCGCTTGAGTTATAATAACTTGGAAATTAAGCCGCTCCCCAAATCACAGAGTACCCTGGTGGGTATTGACATGGATCAGACGATCACCTCTTGTGTTACTCGTCAATGCAGTTCTGTTCTTTTTTGTGGGACTCATATTGGTCACATACACGATAAGTAATGTTCGTCAGAATCCTTACTTTTCATGACACAGTGCCTTACTATTTGTTGGCCTATAGAACATGGTCACGCCTATCCTGATCACTATATTCGCAGTATGTTTATTGTTTATTCTTATGTACGTCGAGTTCTTATCCATTTGTGACAGACCGTTACGTCCATCGGGTTGGCTTCTTCCTTATGCTGGATTGTATCAGAACGATTTGTATCTATACACCATCAAGGTCACATATGGCTAGAGGACCTCATGTTGGAAACAATCAGACATATCACCGCGCCCATACGGACGATCACCCACCGTATTTACTCAGGTTTCGGTGGACTTCCTTTGTACGTTCGGCGACCCCCTCCTGCCAGATTATTTGAGAGAACGACAGATGATGAACCTGTCCAGAGCGCAGCCCCGACCTCATGCGGTGTCTCTATAGTATCTCCCTCTTCTCTGGAGGATATGGTATCGATTGTCTCGGAGGGAACGCCAGACGAACAAGATGAGGCTAGACGATCTCGTGCTCGAGAACGCTTCAAGAGGGCTGTTCGAACCGTTATATCGATGCAATCATACCCGAGAACTTACGGCTCGCAATCTCTCGATTGGATGCTGCATCCAAGCCCTGCTTCCCGCACCCCTTCCATAGGAGGAAAAGTAATTCGACGTTATGGCCTCTCTACTCTCTCTCAGAAGCTGCAGAATTTGGAATGCACAGAAGACATCTCGCCTCATCAAGCGCTCGTGAGAGACTTGCAATTTTCTCCGGATGGAAAGTACCTCGCGACAGCAAGGTAATTCAAAACGTCCTCTTATTTTTGTGAATTACCCTTGTTTACATTGCGCGTTGACCATAGCTGGGATAAAACAGCATGTATCTTCAAGGTCGCCGTAAGTGCTGATTTGCTTACTAGTCTCACAACAAAATTCGAAGAACCTGACCGTCATGTGCTTAAGGAACCGTCCGCTGATAACCATTTTCTTTATCATGAGAGAGGCTTTACGGAGCAAATACTCTGGTCTGCGAATTTTAATGACGCTGTTATTGCTATCACGATGATTAATTACATCAATAGGTCTGCGTGTGGTGGCCACGTGTTGACTCGGTCTCCTCGCGGCATCAAAATTTGGACAAAAGTAAGCTGTGATTCGAAATTTCTGCACCCTTCTTAAACAGTATCGCAGGATGGCGTTTGCTTGAAAACAATCCGCCGGCCTCATATCGTCCAGTTCTTACAATGGGTGCCTCTTGGAGATAGTAAGTGATGTCGAACTCTGCATGACACTTCCGAAACATAATTATCCATAAGTGTCCGTCCTATCTGTCGAGGGGAGTGAAATTGTGAAACTAGTACGTCCTGTCCAAATCATACAAGATCATAAAACGTGACATTCCTTAGGATAAAGACGGAGAGGTAAATACTACATTTTCGAAGCCAAAGTTAATCCAAAGCATCCGAAAAGGTTCTTGAAACTTACAACTGCGGGCGTGTTCAACTTCGACGGATCGTCGTTACATCAGACGGTCATCGTATAATAGGCATTGGTCCTATAGGGGAAGCGCCTAACGGACTCCATCCCAGTCGTCCTACGAGAGTGGAAAAGCGCATTATAGGCAAGTAAATCCACCCATACGAAGATCAATAACAACTCACGAATATTTCAGTGTATAATACACGTACACGTCTCT